GAGTGATCGATGCAACAAACATTGAAAAACAGGTGTGGAAAGGGCTGGAAATCAGGACAACATTACAGAAAAACATGTTGATGGGGTGTTTGCACCTTCCCTGTCTTAAAGTCCAAATTATTTTATAATCTCTATGACTGCTTGTCCTGGAGTTAATGCATTGGCCTAACATATGCACCTGTTCAAATCCTCAGAAAATAGCCAAAATCCAATATATGACTGAAATCTGTTGCGATACCGTCCGTGGTCATTTAAAAGAAAGTTATTTCTAGTTACATAGAGTAGTTTTCTTTCTCATCAATACATCTTTGCCTTGAAATCATTTGTGAAACATGTGGTTTGACCTTCATGGAAATTTGCTTAATTTTGACACACCTTTGTTTAACTTATACAGTAAAACCTGTCTTAGTGAACACCTCTCTCTAGTGAACACCTGTCCCTAGTGGACACCCTTCCTACGCACATAGTCCACTGACTTTTGTATAAATTACCCTCTCTCTAGTGAACACCTACCTACAGTGAACGTTTTTCTTGGCAAAAAAATGTTCACTATACACAAGTTTTACTGTACTGTCTTTGAGGCTGCCTTATCTGAAACCCCGAAGTGTCTCATGTTTCAAATGTTTAAACAATCAAGTCTCATCTTGCCTTTATTTCAAACTCTAGTTTCCAGACTCGAGTCCAATCAAAAATGAATTATCTACATGGAAGTTTGTGAAGTCCTTTATTTCTGAAACTGTTTTAAATACTTAATATATTCCAGGTAACTGCTTTACAAAATTATTGTGCATTGTGAATCTTCATTTTCTATCTGATAAATATTTTCCTCCGCAAACTTTATTTTCATAGAACACATGATGAATCTTTTATTCAACATTCTCAATTTTGCATCAAATATGTTTCAAGAATTTTTATCCCTGGCTCACTATGAAGGACATTTAAATAAGTCATGGGAAAGTAGGTCATAAGAAAGAGGAGCACTGGGTTCCACCCATTCCAATGATGCAGGTTTTGTGCTAATTTTGAATATCTTTATGGTACTTTTACAGGTAATGGGTTAATGGCTTTAGCAAATTGCAGCAATGTCATAGTTAGTGTTTTTGGTCAAAGTAGGTTGCTAAATCACTAAAGAGAAATCATGAATCTTATATCATAAATGTGTTTTAAATCAACTTGTTTACCTGAAAATAAAATGTTGTCACAGCTTTTCTGATGCTGATGTACCCGAATGGTGTCTAATTCATAATGAAATAAATGAAATCATTGTGGTATGTATGTGGAGTCTAGTTGCCTTATAATAATACATTTACTTTAGTACATGGATTCTCTCCTAATATAATATTATTCCCTTATAAATATCCAAACTTTAATCAAAAGCAGTTTCAAAATTATCGTATATTGTATTTCACCTAAAATATCGTATATGGTATAAGAGCTGTGAAAAATATTGTATATGGTGAAAAAATATTGTATATGGTATAAGAGAGCTGAAAAATATTGTATATGCATTTCCAAGACCCTCTATACACCCCCCCCTTTAGCGTGCGGGTGTAAAAACAAAATTTCGTAATTAGTTTGATTCAGAATTTTCGGGTCACGCAAATAGCTACGCGAAATGCATAGTGGGAAAATATTGACCAATCAAATGTTGTCCTTTTTGATTGCTTTTTCAGTATATATTTGCGAACGTTCTGATTCAAAGAGCGAACCGCGAAAGGGAGAATTGGGAAACTTCCTGGCAGATTATTTAGTCTAAATTCTACATCTGCTGAAGACCAACATAATCAAAAATATCAACATATACTAGATATCTGGTAGCGAGGTTAATAATGAAACAACTTTAGTAACTGCTTACTCGAAAACTTGCATGTCCAAATAGAAATATGATGCGATGTCTACATTTTTATGATATTAAGTCTTCAAAAAATAAAAACTATTATACACATAAAAAGATAAACGCTCTTCTCCAAGATTTTGATAATCCTAAATAAATCTAACTACGAATACAACTTGTTATCAGTTCCTAACCCATTGTAATTGAGGAGAAAATGGGAAAATTTGGATATAAAGTGAAGTAGCATCTCTCATCATGTTGTAAAGACATTTTGCGCCCCCCCCCTCCATCCCCCCTCCCCCTCCGTCCCATTTTAATTATTTCCGATTATTTTTTATACAACGTATGGAAACGTATTTTGTAAAGTCATTAAGGTCATTAATTTTATGATGATAATGTCACTTACAAATATTTATTGCAGGTTGTGTAGACCGTTGATGCTTGATTTAAAGCAAAAACATTGACTTTTGCACGTTGGTGGCGTTGCGCCTTTTTTAATAGATCTTATACCTAAGAAGAGAATCGGCTAAAAAAAATCGTAGAATACGTGACATATTTTACCATACCGTGCGCCTATTTGTTTAGCAATTAAATCATAAACCTTTTCTTGAAAAAATAATTTTTGCAGATTTGTTCATTTTTCTACCAGAAATTGCTTGCTCCCCCCCTCCGTCCCATTTTCACGATCACCGGGTGTGTCTATATTGAGCTGAATAGTACACAGGAACCTGTATCAGCACCTGACATCTATTGATTGATCGCCAAACCTGTAATAATGAGCTTTTATTCTTTATTCTTCTATTATTTAGTCTAGTCTAGGGTATTATTCTTCCAGGTTGGGCCACCAATAGATGTCAGGTGTTGATACAAGTTCCTGTGAAAGTAGAATCTAGTAGTAGATCTACATAGATCTATCCTTGGCCCTAGTTCAACGTCGTTAAACTCAATAACGGCGTTCTTTATTATTAGGAATTTTCTTGGGGCCATTATTGAGTTTAACCTCCATGCTATTCTTTCCTTTGATGCAAGTTGTGGATCTATCGAACCCACTTTTCCTCGCTAATATGACACTGATACTTAACAATAATATAAAACCACATTTCATCAGGCGATTTCACATAATATTATTGTGTTAAATGTTCATTTTTAATCGTAAAATGAGTCTTATTCTTACCAATTTATGAGACGAATATTTCAACCGGCAATGTCTGTCTGTGCGTCGCCAAAGTAAACTTGGTCAGCGAAACGAAATTGTTCTTCAATATTGATATTTATTATAACCATCCAGTATGACACGAATCTTTGCTTTATTCAAACAGCGCGTGTATTCACCCAAGTTTACTCTATTGTTATTTATAAAAACTTTAAAAAGCAATACTCGCAACATTATTGATGCATTTGATTACTGGTAATTTCAGCTCAAAGAAATATAGATGTCATTGATTGTGCTAGATTGTGATTGTGTTGAATAATTGTGCCTAAATATTAAATTATGGTAATTGTTCATGGTTTTCTGCTTGCAAAAACGTACCTAGGAATACACTCAATTGTTTATAACTGGGATCATGTATTTTACTCAGCATACATGCTTTGTAACAATTGTTACATTTTAATAACTTCAATGTGGTGATGTATTGTGATAAGATTACATGTACAGTGATCTCCCCATGTCACTTTTACCGGGGGGTCCCCCTACTTGAAACCAAAGGCCCCCCAGTTGGCACCCAGTTGGCATCTGCACTTCAACTTCTGATTTAAAGAATGAGTGAAGTAAGCACCTACACTGAGATATTGTGAGCGTAGCGAGTGCTGATTTTTTTAGACTTGAAATCTTGCACCCAGTTGAAAAATTTTTTTGGGGAGAACACTGATGTATAAGCATGGTTGTTTTATTCCTAGCTCTTAAATGTATGATGTTCTTAATAAAATCAAACAGAAGTTTTGTTTATGCTATTTTATAAAACATATTTTTCTACAATGATATTTCATTTACTCAATGAGAGAAAAGTTAAACACATGTGTTTTATCACGATATTGGAGCAAGTAAATGTACTTTTAACCTATACTTCACACCTGATTTATCTCGATACCTCCAAATCTGATTTTTTCAAATCAACACTTTTCAGCTTTTTTCGATCTCATTACTCTAATGTTAAAAAACCTTACTTGATCGTCATTAAACATTCAGTCAAAATGATGTCATACTATCTAGTATTTGAAATGTACATGTAAAAGTACATCAAGAAATATTGCTTCAAATATTGTTGATCAATTTTGAAAAATTTTTGTTTTGGAAAATGTAAATGCTACTACGGGGAGATTCAACATATAAACTCACAAAAAGTGAAATATGTTTTCTTGTATTGGACAGATAATATTTTCTTTTACATTATTTTAATTTGCATAACTATGTCATGCTATGTGACCTGAATGAGCCACCTGGTGGTGAAACTGGTAACTACCTACTCGCATCTGAGTTATTACAATGGGAAATCACTGACTTTCTGGGAGAGAAAACTTTGGCACAATATATATTTAAACATGTTAAGAAAAATATCTAATTATTCAGTATCACATGCTTGGGTCTGTCCAAAGATGTTGAAAGCTTTAGCATTTTAGCCAGAAATTTACCATAATTCTGAAAATAAAACAGGAAAAAAAGTAGGAAACTTAATCATGTTTATCGCAAGCCTCCTACAGTATTACAATATTTTGTACTTATATATAGGATAACCGGGGTTCGTTTCGTTTTATGAACTTGTTTCGTTCAGTGTTGCTAACGGCGGTTTATTCCTGAAAGGATTTGCCATTTCGATGTTACCGGAACCAGAACAGAGTTTTCTAAACTAAGAAAAAGCCTTCTCCCAACATTTTCATAATTATACATCGATGAGGTTACAGGGGGGTATGTGATGATTTGTATTTATTCATAAGGTATGTATGCATGCGTTGATCACATTATTTCTGTAACGATACCATCTTATTACGGTTTAATTAGTTCCGCATGTCGAAACCTGCTGAACGATTAAATGATCGCATCAAGGGCAAAATCATCATGGAAGTTAGACCTAGCCGGGGCCATAAGACATGTCAGATAAGAAACGAGGCCCAGGCTAGGTCTAATGTTGTTGGACTATCCTTTGCCCATGTACTGAATGCAACTTACCCAAGTGTTTAGTGAATCCTGAATAATACAGCATTCTCTCAGTGGTTGTCGTTTTTCCAGCATCTATGTGAGCTATTATCCCAATGTTACGAATTTTAGTGATGTCCATGGAGTTCTCTCCACTTTTTTCTGGTGTTTTGAATTTTGAAATCCATCTTCTTGTGTTTTGAATGCATTTTCTCAATAATAAACTTCTAAAATACATGATCAAATGCGAGTTAATACCTTAATCACTTGTATAAGTGAAATGTTCTTCACACAAGGACTCTAGTTTATCCGATAACTCTGGAAAGAGTGCAACTATCTAAAAAATTAAATTTTTCACGGGCGCAGACATATTGAATCACTCAATATTTCAAACTCAATCGACTTTCGTTAAAACAAAAAAATGATTAATTATATTCCATATATTTTCAAAATTGCAAGAAAGTACATTCCAACTAGTCTTTATGAAAACTTATTCCAAGAAATTCAAAATGAATTGAATCCTTCCATTATTTTAAATAAATTTAATGTTTTCGTTTTTGTGTCCAGTTTGCAGTAGAAAAATATTGTTCCCCGCGAAAATCGCAAGTATCTTCAATCCGATTTACTCTTCTTTCAGGTAATATATATCGTTCTTCATCTCATAATATCGGTTTCAAATACACTGTAATATTGGTAAGGCTTATAAATTAGCTTATTTGACGTTATTTTATCTGTCTTCTAAAAACTTTGAGTTTCATATTTGGGCAAATGGGGGGGGGGGTAGTCTAGCTAAAGATTGAGATTGTTAGGCTACTATACTTATAGATCTTTCTTAGATCTACCTTCAAGAACTTAGTACACATTCATGAATATATATTTCTCATGGGCCTAGCCAGGAGTGTAAGATCGATGGGTGTGATTGCAGTGATCAAACCACACTGGCGGATCGGGAGGGGGGGGTAGTATGTATCCAACAGACCGAATATAATATTCGGTCTGAATTTATTCAGACGAAGGATACAGTCTAAGGGGGGGGGGGGGGGGTACAGGGGTTGGGGGGGTACAGGGGTTGGGGGGGGAGGGGCTTCCACTCAAGATTGAAGGTTTTCCTGTCAGGCAACTGATTCTTCTCAACTTCATAGATCTGTCCATGTAGAAATTCCTAGGAATTTGCTGAGACTAAATTTCCAGCGGCCTACTTTGCATATTTTCAATGTTTTGGGGGGTTTGTAGAAAAAACCGGGTACTGGGTAGTAGTGTTGTCGCGATTAATCGATACAACGCGATATACATCGCCAAAGCTGGTTCTGGCGATGCATCGATGTCTGAAACAAAACATCGATGTTTTTAAAAAATTTAATTTGCTAAAAATCGCCCTTTCTTATTTTGACGCAAATTGCTTACCTTTTTTCATGTCTTATTTCATTTTCAAATGTTTTCTGATATTCTTTCGTTTTAAAACTGTTTTAGCTAGTCGAAATGAACCATTAATCTAAAAAAATTACTTTACTTTCATTTCACCGTTACTATGTTCCCGGATGTACCAGCGTACTCTTATTAATTTGTTCTGTTCGATATTTTAGTGCATTAGCGTTCGATATTTCAGTGCATTTTTCTCGTACTTTTTCTCGATGTGCATCGATGTTTACTCCTGAAAATTGCCGATGCATCGATGTACGATTATGGCACATCGCGACAACACTACTGGGTAGTAAATCCTCCATGCTGGGTTCAAACTTGGTACCCCCTGGCACCCCGTCATAAAAAAACGGGTACCCAAAAAAACGAAAAATTCGAATATATAACATAATTAGATCATTAGAAAACGTGTATAAGTTTTGTTTGTTGAGAATGAGAATTGGAGGTTTAGATCAATGAAATAACCAAACTTCCTGTTATTTTCGCTGTAATACATGTACATAGATCCTGGAAGCAGATTGAATAGAGCAGGGTTTATAATGAAATAATGAACATTCATTATTGGCTATGCTGCATTCTGATTGGTTTAGAAATTCAAATAGAGCACGGTCATGTTTGAATACTATTTATCAGTCAGCAGTAATCCAATCTAGCGTCGCTTTGAAAAACGTCAGTTGTGCGTCGCATTCTTTTGCAAAAATTCTTATTTTCGTTGTATTTTATCCGAATTAGAAACAAAATGATCAATCCCTTCCACTCTCTCATTTCTACATTATAACTGCTCATGCTCGCTTAGCACAACAAAATAAGTAAATGGCTCCAGACAGCGAATATGTCAACCCGTGAGTTTTCCAGCTCATTTCCACATTTTTCAAAATGAATTTTGTAATATGCATAGTGTCCAGTGGAAGAATGATGTTTTAAGATACTTAACTAACTGAAGGTGTTATGCAGGAGCTTGAATCTGAAGGAAAGACACCAGGTCGTTACATCCTAAAAGATGAATATAAAACTGGCTTACATCTGTGAAAACAACGTACAAGTGTTGCTGTTTTCCCTGTGCAAAAGTCTCACTGAGATGACCTTGAGATGAGGCGGCACTTGTTTGTTGTGTTGACATGCTAAACATATCGGCTCATCTGTGTACATCATTTTTTGGGACACTTACAGTTTGCATACCAGGCGACACTTGAGTGGATTACCACCGACGGTTTATTGTAGAAAAACTGAATTTTGACCTTGATTTTCTAAGGCAATTTTGTTTTTTTCTCAGATTTGCCAGTTTCCATCGTTTATGCCCAAAAGCCAAAAGTTGCTGGGCTGCACATACTTAACCAAATTATTTAGAGTGAACGACTGGGGATGGAACCTAAAAATGTGCACCCCCTTGACATTTGCTGGCTACGCCCCTGGACTTTGTTGTGTCAACCATTGAGCATAAGCATAATCTCCAAGAGATAAAAAAGAAAATGTAAAATGGACTTACTTCTTCATGAATTCCGGAAGTTTTGATACGCTTTATTTTAAGCATTCACACAATGTGCAAGCATTAGTAACTTTAAACTATATTTTCACATTTATTTCACATTTAGATGGCGATGCGATCTTTGAATGAAGCCTTTTTCATTTGCGCATACATGCACATGTGGCAATGCAATCTTAGAATGAAGTCCTTTTTAAATGCTTGAAAATCTGAACAAAAAACGAACCTTGGGTAGATTGCCTCTACTCGAAAAATAGGAAATTAAAAATAAGTAACGTTTATTTCTATCAGATACTGTGCTTATTCTTCTTGATCAACAGCTGATAGAGCTACATCCATGAATGTTTACTAGCTTCTCGTAGGTATGTGGCAGTCCCATTCTTTAGCTAAGTCTTATTTTTGTATGTTTTCAGATCATTCTGAAACAGATTTAATGGCGTAATAATGAGCAAGAAAACTGATATAAAAAAGATATCTCCGCCTAACAAACGTCGAAGCCTTGATGAGATTGTGCAAGATATATATGAAGGGAAGCGCTATACTCCTCTAACATTGACAGGCCATAATAAATTATCTGAATCAATTGAAAAACCCATATCTAATGAAAATGAAGCAAAAATAACATCAAAGAAACATTCAGGAAACAAATGGATAAAGAGCACTGAAGAAGATAACCCTGAATCTGAATTTGAGCCGAAGCTAAATATCTCCGGAACAATGAACTCCCATGTACCCGAAAGCTCCAATATAAAACCATTGGAGAAATATATTGGTACAATGCCATATACAATTGACAGGGATAGTGAATCCTGCATGTTTTTATGTGACTCTTCTAGCCAGAATAAAATGGACACTTTAGAGTCCCCTCCCACAAGTCTATTGCTCCCAGTCTCTTCAATCAATTTCAGCGACGTCAAAATGCACGAAGAGCTCAAAGAAGATGAATATTCATGTTATTCTCCAGAAACTATATCAATTGATGGCGAAGGATATAGAAGCGAAATTGATGTGGATATAGAACCAGCCATTCATGATGACATTCAACAGCTGAATGATGCCAATGATTATGAACAGTCAAATGAATCTAAAGATAATGACATTAAATTAGCTGAATCTCCTAATAGCTGTGATGCTTTGTACAACATTGGAGATGTATTTGGAAAACTGAGTACATTACATCCAGATGTTGATAACAAAGGAGAAGATGACTTTAGAAATGGAGCTCTGAAAAGTCCAGATAAAACATACCAATGCCTTGACAGTAAGATAGAAGATCTATCTCATTCTGGAAGTAGTGAACTTGAAGGGAAAGACACTATAGTAATAAATAAAGAAACAACTAAAACAAAGTCTGTAAAGGAAAGTACACTTACTCATACAAGATTGACTACACCTAACCATATGGCCTTGACAGAGAAAATTACATGTTCAGACTTCAAGAGAGACATTACAGTGAAGAAAGATCAGTTAATGAATTCAGAATCACTAACTGTAAATACTGCAACCTTTTCAGCACCACCTCAATTAAGGCGTTCTAGAAAAATGAAAATAACAAAAGAATTGGTAAATATTGTCAAAGAGAATAAAGTCTCAAGGCCACAGAGTGTTCCGCCAGCTATTGAAAGGACAAGGTCTTCCTCTCGGTACATGAAACCTTTGTCAAATGTCGTAACTTCATCATCATTTGGTGCATCCAGGACAATTTCATATGACGACATCAGAGTGCGGTCAAAATCAGTTCCTCCAAGTCCAAGACTCATACTAAAGATTCCTGATATAAGTAAAGGCCTTGGGCATACAACAATCAATGCCAGTATAGAAGGGGTCCAGTTTACTCCATCAACACCAAAGACAACTTATAACGATTTGGTCAATTGTTTACAAAAGCAGAGACATGAACTAGACCATACCTCAAACGCGAACACTAACTATGAGGTGAAAGATGATGATGTGGCTGATGATCATACAGAACACACAAATGATGATGATGAACACAATGAGAATGATAATGATGAGGAACTTGAGGAAATCATGAAAAACATAGAAGAACAAAACAAAGACGATAGTATCATTGATGAGGAAAACATTGTTTTAAGAGATGACACTACTCTGAGCATCTTTGATGAAGACACCATCAGTGTATCAAGTGATATTGACATAGACACAACAGTTGATATTGATATAGAAGATGACTCAAGAGATCAAATCCATTTTCTCTCATCAGGACTTGACCTTGACGAAAACACTAATCAGAGTATAGATATGGGGATCAAAGCCAACATGAAGGAAGGAGATTTGCAAATTTCTCATGATCAAGATGAACAAAATGTAGAATTAACTCAAGACTCGGGATTCGACTCCATCTTCCAGTCTTTTAATGAATCTCATTCCCAGATGGTGTCAGATGGTGTCAGAAGCTTTGAGGAGAATATGACCATTAACACACCAGAGCAGGTAAGAGATTAATTTCATGTTTCAATATTTTACTGACATAAATTATATTGACTCATAAGCTCTCCACGTTTGTCGAGTTTTCAGAAATATTATAAATTAAAAGTCAAGAAGAATTAAATAGATACTTACAGTATTAGTGATATTTCATTATATTTAATTCTCTCAAATGATTTGTAGGGGTTGTTTTTTTCATTTGGATTTTATATGATAGGGGGCCAGGGGGAGACAGGAATATGATTTGAAATATCATACAATTAAATTTCTCATTGACTTGTGCTGATAAAAATGATACCCCATATCACTAGTAATCCATACATTAAAATGACATCACTTTTTGACATCACAATTGCCATTACATCAACACAATCAAGATTAACAATAGAGATGTTAATTAAGAAATATTACACGCTCACAGGTTCTCTTAAAAACATGTGACTTAACCTCCCTAATATTTTGACAGTGGTTGGTATTCTACTTTTGACATGAGATTTTATCAGTCTCATAGTCATTTCTTTTCTTTCCTACCAGGTAGAATATGATGAAAACAATAATATAGAAGATGATTGGCAAGAGCCTCTTGGTGATGATATTAATGCAAACAGCACACCAAGTGGCAAATCCAAAGAGGAGAATCAAGAAGATGATGTTGCTCAATCAGCATGTAGCAATCAAGATAAACCTCCAAAAATAGAGAGAAAAAGTATGGTCATATCACCGTTTTCGATCATGTCCCCGATAGACCCATATTCTTTGAGTGACTCAATGCGGCTATCACCATCCATGTTCATGTTTGATCCAACAAAAGCTGTAGCCCTAGATAGGCTATCCCCTACAGCATTGTTACTTGGGATTGAAGACAGCCAAGATGGTCAACAATGTCGACGATTATCAAGTTCACCTCCAGTGATTTTGGATGCAAGGTCTCTGAGGAGTGTATGTTCATCACTCTCTGGAAACTCATCACCTCTTGTGTCTTCATCCCCTCTATCAGGGCTATCACCTCAAATTACAGTGAACCATAATATCCACATTACAAACTCTTGTCCAAATGATAACAAGGAGAATGCAACACAAGCTCCAACAAGTATCCATACTACAGTTAACATCCCTCAAGCTGCACAAACAAATTCCCAAAACACTGGAGTTCATTTTCAGAATCCGGTCGGTGCAACATCTTATAACCTTCAACAGTCTTCTGTATTACAGCCTCCAATTGGCTCATCTCAAATGTACATAATTGGGGCACCAGAGGGTGTCCCAACAGTTCCAGGGATATACTTAGATGCCCCACCCAAAGTCCCTACCTACTGTGCTATACCATGCGCCTGGAATCACATTGGAGTTCCTGTATCATATAGGGTGTGCTATATGCCATATAACCCCTCCATGGTAGGGTTCAGTCCAAAGCAAGCTTGTAATCCTCTTCTCCTAAACCTAAGTACTTCCAAACAGCCAAGTAGGGATCCTAGTTTCTCTGGAAAACAACCAAACCAGGAGCATTCTGTAAGTGCCGACCAAAACCATGTGGAAGGAAATGGTATGGACGTAAAGCATGAGAAAGATGAACAGAACTGCCAAGTTAAACATCTTCAACCTAAAGATGATGAAATTATAGAAATAGCAAGTGGGGAAGCTAATGCTGTTGATATTCACAACTGGATTGAGACGCATGGTGAAAGGAAAATCTCTAGTCAACAGAAAAGAAAAGATTTAATCAAAGAAACTTATGAAGTGAAGAAGGTACATGAAGGGAAAGATACAGGGAGAATGACACCAGCTCTTGGTAAAGCTTCACCTTATGATTCTGACACCAGTCAGGCAAATACACTCAATGGCAGGATGACTCCAATTAACGACACAAGGAATAAATCAATGTATGGTAGGGTGACACCAGATGGTGTCAGGACCAAATCTGTGAGTAACATGATGACATCGCCTGATGTCACAATGAGCAATACATCAACTGGTAGAGCAACACCTTTTGGTTCTGGCTCTGATCCTATAAATGATAGAGTGACGCAAATTGACACCTCAAAGAACCATTCTGTAAATGGTAAGCTGACACCAGTTGACATCGAAAGAAGTCAGCCCATAAATGGTAGAGCAACACCACTCAACATCGCAGCAAGCAGTTCGGATAGTGGGAGATCGACTCCTATCTCAATGAGTACAGACAATTTTATTGTGCCTACTATTAGAAAATCTAAGACTGTCCGGCAAATGATTAAACTAAATAAGCGCAACTTGGAAGATTCAGAGTCGCCAACATCCAGAAAGAGGCCAAATTTAAATCGAAGTGTTTCAGCGCCACCTAATGCCCCAAAATGTATTGTTCCGTCCAGGGGAACCTCAGCGCCCCCTTGTGCACCAAGAAATACAAATCCCTCCCCAGGAATATCACCAATTCCTTCCACACAATCCCCCAGCATATTTCTATCACCAATTGGGTTCACTGGAGCTCTATCAACTGCTAGACATATGCAACAGCCATGTCCTATAATCCTTGCCCCATTCCCTAAAACAAATACCCAAAGCTCTTTCAAAGCTTCATCAAAAGCCCCAAGCCCTAGCACTAATTCAAATCCCCACCAGTCATCAAAATGTATCAAAATGGACAGTTCACATAGATTTGGAAATCAGACAACAGATATTGTCAACTCTATGCACAAGCTGATTCAGAAAATACCAAATATGGGGCCATACGAGGAATTCAACAACTCAGATTTCACTCCAAATCTCGGCAATCTCAGAGATTTGGAAAACAGGGAATCGGTGAAGAATATGACTGAAGTGTTGATCGATGATAAGAAAGAGCCTGTTCTAATGAGCACGACACAACCACACTTTCAATGCGAAAAGAACATCTTAGATGATGGTGCTTGTGATCTTCCTCCTGCATATACACTTGAAGGTATGGTATTAAGCTCATGATTTTTGTATATGAAAAACCATGAAGTCCTTATCTGAAACTTTCTTTTGTCTGTTTTACAATAAGGACGAACTGTGATTCAAACATACCTAGACTAACTGCAGTTATTATGAATAAATTTGTTTCACCTTATGCTTAAATATTTACATTTCTTGAAATTTTGTGAAGTATGACTCACTGATATCTAATTATCTTTAACCGCCTATTTTAAATGACAAGATTATTTTTCTTCAATTCAAGATATCTTTAAAAACAGCCTCCCCAAGTCATGTGGTAACCTTTTTTATGAATTTGTTAAAATATTTTTCAGGAAGCTCCAAAGATGCCATGGCAACGAAACAATGGGGATTTTCAATGAGTAACCATAGCAACTCGCCAGCTTTTACATCCAGAATTGCTCAAAAGCCAGTTGCAACAATCAAACCTAAGACAAAGACTCCAAACAAGCAACGATCACATTCTGCACCAATAACCATAGAAACAAACTCTTTGATGTCACACCAATCTGGCGCATCAGTGGCTCAACTTGGTGTGTCAACATTGACTGAGTCTGGTGTGTCTTCCAACAAGCCCCCTAGGGGTTTGTTACATAGTCCAAGGAACCTGTCTCAAGTTACCTATGGTCAGCCATCAGCACTCCCATTTCCAAGAAACACATATTCCTTTGTCATAGATCAATTGTACACAAGCCAACAAGGATCTAATCAACAAAGCTTGAACCAACAAGGCCTAAGCCAACAAGAACAAAGTCAACAAGGTCTTAACAAACATGGCTTGAGCCAACAAGGTCAATGTCAACAAGGGTTAAACCAACAAGGACAAAGTCAACAACGCTTGAACCAATACGGCTTTGACCAACAAGGACATAATCAGCAAGTTCTCAACCAGCAAGGACAAAGTCAACAAGGACAACATAAACAAGGCTTTAGTGAACAAGAACAAAGTCAGCAACTTCTGAACCAACAAGGACAAATTCAACAAGCCTTGCACCAACAAGGACTAAGTCAGCAACTTCTGAACCAACAAGGACAAAATCAGCAAGGCTTGAACCAACAAGGACAAAGTCAACGAGGCTTAAACCTACAAGGACAAGATCAACAAAATCTAAATAAACAAGGCCAAGGTCCACAGGGTTTAAACCAACAAGGACAAAATCAGCAAGTCTTGACCCAACAAGGACAAAGTCAGCAAGGCTTGAACCAACAAAGACAAAGCCAGCAAAAATTGAATCAGCAGAAACTTAATCAGAGCATGAGCCAACAAGGCTTTAACCTTCATGGTTTTAACCTACAAAGTCAAACACTAAATTACTTAGCTTTGACTGCCTTATCTCAACAAAGCCCACAAGGCCTGCACCCTCAAGGGCTTACATTACAACATGTAAATCCAACAGCCCTGAATATTCCTCAAAAGTCACCAGGAATAAACTGCTTAATCCAACAGTCTTGTAATCTGCAAGACCAAAACAACAAAAGACATCAGGGTCTTCCTCACCAACCTGTTGATCCAAAGGCATTTTCCCAAAATTGTGTGAACGTACAAACGCTCAACCAACAATGTCTCCCCCATCAAGCTATCAACCCACAGGACCTTGATCATCCAGGCCTCTCAACACATACATTAAATTCACAGGCCTTCAACCAACAGGACCTTTCCCAGCACACTCTTAACCCACAGAAATTCAACCCTCAAGGGCTTTATCAACATACTTCTAATCCACAAGGCCTTTCTCAACATGCTCTTAACACAATGAGCTTCAACCATCAATGTCTTTCCAGGAACCCTGTAAATCCAATGGGCAATATGGATCTTAACCATATAGACATGAACACTGAGGCCATTAACAACCAAGGCCTCACCAAAGAAGCTCTGAACTTACATAGCTTCATTCCTCAAGGGATTACCCCGCAAGGTCTTTCTCAAATCCCTACCCCACAGGGTCATACCCCACAAGGCATTACCTCTCAAGTCCCTACCCCTCAGGGTCTTAACCCACAAGGCATTACCTCTCAGATCCCTTCCTCTGAGGGTCTTACCCCACAAGGCATTACCCCTCAAATCCCTACCCCTCGGGGTCTTACCCCACAAGGCCCTGCCCCACAGGGACTAACTCCACAAAGCATTACCTCTCAAGTCCCTACCCCACAGAGTCTTGCCCTACAGGGCCTTACACCACAAAACCTCTGTAGCCCTACTCTACAAGGTCCCACCACACCAAGAATTTCCCTGCAAGGTCTGACCCCACAGGGCCCTATCCCACAAGGCCTGACCCAACAGGCCCCTTCCTTACAAAGCCTTCCCCAACAGGCCCCTTCCCTACAAAACCTTACCCAGCAGGTCCCTACCCCACAAGGCCTGACCTCACATGGCACTGTCCCACAAAGTCTTAACCAACAGGTCCCTACTCCACAAGGCCTAACCCCACAGGGCCCTATCCAACAAAGTCTTACCCAACAGGTCCCTCTCCCTCAAGGCCTAACCCCACATGTCCTTGACCTCAGTATGACAGGCCTGACACAGAGATCACTCAGCCAAAAAGATCTGGTTACCCAAGAACTGACTGAAAGACTTGCAGCTGCTGAGCGCACCCACATCTCTGACCTGGCAGAAAGGGTCCAATTATTAGGTAAGTATCATTTGTAGTATACATTTTACATGTAGATTTGGTTAAGTTTAGCTTTTGGCAAACACTTATTAAAGGCCATTTCATTGAAAAATAGTCATTAATTAGGAAAATGCAGTTTTTAAACCAATAAAATTTTGAATTTTCCAAAAAATAAGTTTACCAAAATCAGTTTTTCTTTTGAGAAATATTGCAAGTGTTATAAATCATATTATAATTTCCAGTGGTTATATAATATACCTGTTTATCATGTTATCAGAAAATTATATTTCTAAAACTCCTTGGAATTTGTCATACCCCTCCCTACTTCACATTAAAAAAAACTCTTCACAAATCATCTCTCCACTCTCCTTTGTCTTTATCCACCATTGATTCTATACAATATTACAGAGCATTATGATCCCCAAGAGACCCCAGTGCGACATTCTACAGGCATTGTGCTACCCAGATTCAGGTCTGGTAAGGTGCCTTTGTCTTTATCCACCATTAATTTTATCCAATATTACAGAGCATTATGATCCCCAAGAGACCCCAGTTATACATTCTACAGGCATTGTGCTACCCAGATTCAGGTCTGGTAAGGTGCCTTTGTCTTTATCTACCATTGATTCTATACAATATTACAGAGCATTATGATCCCCAAGAGAGCCCAGTTATACATTCTACAGGCATTGTGCTACCCAGATTCAGGTCTGGTAAGGTGCCTTTGTCTTTATCTACCATTGATTCTATACAATATTACAGAGCATTATGATCCCCAAGAGAGCACAGTTAGACATTCTACAGGCATTGTGCTACCCAGATTCAGGTCTGGTAAGGTGCCTTTGTCTTTATCTACCATTGATTCTATACAATATTACAGTGCATTATGATCCCCAAGAGAGCACAGTTAGACATTCTACAGGCATTGTGCTACCCAGATTCAGGTCTGGTAAGGTGCCTTTGTCTTTATCCACCATTGATTTTATCCAATATTACAGAGCATTATGATCCCCAAGAGAGCCCAGTTATACATTCTACAGGCATTGTGCTACCCAGATTCAGGTCTGGTAAGGTGGACTGCAAGACTTTCAAACCCAAACATTTTGATCTACAAAGTCTGCAGATTGGAACATACAGGGTAAGTTTCAGACCATGGGTGTAGATTTTGCCAAATGGAGACAATGGTACTACCTGGTTAGTTCTCTCATATGTTTAGAATTACGGGTGATTTGATAAAGTACATGTTGTTTGATGGGATCTCTACCCCATTGAAATGAGAAAGCAAGTTACCCAATTGAAATGTGAAAGCAAAGGTATCGCATTGAAATGTGAAGGTAAATCACCCACTTGAAATGTGAAAGCAAAGTACCCAATTGAAGTATGAATTTAAAAAGTACCCAATTGAAATGGGAAAGCAAAGTATCAAATTGAAATGTGAAAGCAAGTACCTAATTGAAATGTGATAGCAAGTACCCAATTGAAATGTGAAAGCAAGTACCCAATTGAAATGGGAAAGCAAAGTATCCAATTGAAATGTGATAGCAAGTATCCAATTTAAAATGTGATAGCAAGTACCCAATTGAAATGTGAAAACAAAGTGTCCAATTGAAATTTGAAAACAAAGTGTCCAATTAAAATATGAAAGCAAGGTACCGAATTAAAACAACTTTCACTTGAAAATAAGGAAACACAGAAACACATTTTAAATGTTAAATCATGATACTTAGTTAATTTACTTTACAACTTAACCTGAAACTTTTCAGATGGATTATGATCCTTGTGACAAGAACAGGATTGCAAAGTTGAAGGTCATTTTTAGTAAAAGGCAAGTGTCATTTTTTATGTTAGTAAACAAAATAATTATTGCCCCCCCCCCATTTGGGACATTGGGACAAGAATCATTTCCTAAGTGACAAGCATAGTTTGTGATAAGAGGAGTAATAAATTGACGAGGAAATTTCCAAAGTGATAGAAGTAAATTTCATAACTAGACTCAAATTGTTTATTTAAATATAGTTTGACAAAAATTGTCTACAGACTTTATCAATAAAGTAATAGTAAGTTTATTTGTTATATGGGAACTATCATTTTACTTATCATTCACTACAAAATAGAAATGTATTAACTATTTACATCTAACTGTATTATGTTTTTTCTTTTGATAGGCGAATACACTACGATTTTCAGATGAACTCTTCCAAGGATGCCTTGCAGACCCATACTAGGAATATGGCAAATATCGAAGTAGATTTCGAATCAATTGTAGGCTTTACCATATTTGGAAGGGAGATTGTCATTGAAGTAAATCAGCCACCATACATGCGTATAGGTCAAAGAATGAAAGATGGATTTGATAGTGAGAGAAGGAGTGTGAACCAGTTACTTGGAGTGGATTTGACGAAGGGTCAAATTGAGACTGTTCCTTACCATAGGGTATGTTATATGATTCTCCAACCCCCAAGGAATTTTTTGTGTCTAAAATTCTTATTTAATACCTTTTTTCAATCGTATTTCAAAATGTATAAAGAATATATAGAGCCAACAAAAAGTACTAAAAATCAAGCCCAATGTCCTCTTTAAGAACCCTGTTTCTTATCTTACTATATTCACTTGGAATCCATAGAACTAATATCCTTATCACTTTTCTGTTTGTTGAGACCCAATCAATTTGAGTTTTTCTGAGATAATGAGGATTTCAGCAAGAGTGTATTGACTTAACATGAGGATATCATCATATCATCTTGGAAATACAAAATCCTCATCATCTCATAAAGAGCTCAATTTGATCGAGTCTCAACAAAAAGTAGTATTGGTGGAATCCAAGATACTGAGGACATTTGGTGTACTACTGTTTGCATTTAGATCAAATGCAGCTTACTTTTTTAACACTCATCATACATATATTTGTTTGATTCACAGATAATTTCTACTTCTTTTTTATTATAAGAAAACAATAATTAGTTAAATTCATTATCAATAATTTTGTTTATTCTGTGTGTTTTTTAATTGTCACATTAAAATTCAAAAGCTATCAAAGTTTGTCAAAGTTAATTGTTCTTTTATATTGGGCATATCGTCATGTCAACTTTTTTGAAAGAATAAAAATAGTTGTTTGGTTTGGCAATTGTGTTTGGCCAATGGTACCATGTTACACAATCAGCATAGGAAGGACATACCGGACCGTTGTTATAAAGACCAAACAAATTTGAAAAATGGCAAGCTTTATACCACCATGCCCCGTCATATAGTATAGCACAGTTGTCAGTGCTTGTTGTGTCATGATCATTGTCCTTTGTACTAAATTGCATACCATTGTGGTGAGCAAGAGAATCCCCAGCATCTCCACTGTATCCACCAATCGTCAGTTTGTAGTTGGATTTTGCGTCGCTCACATTGAATGTGGAATATTCGGCATGGCGTGTTTCATTTTGCGGAGGCCACATGGTAAGATTAATTCGGAGTTTGTAGTTCCCCTGTTTTAATAAACCATGGAGGTTGTCAAGACCCATGAAATATTCTCCTGCCGGGTTTCCGAATCCTGATTGATAATCAGCCCAGCCCTTGTAGAAGTCAACACGCCCATCAAAGCGCCTGGCCATGTAGACACATCCCCCATTGCAGTACACTCTGAATGAATTTTGTCCCAGTGGTTGGATTGTTTTTACACCAGTAAAGCTTGTATCATCTCTACAGTCTCTTGGATATGTAGCTGGAAAATTATATAAAATTGTGTGAATCACCAAGTTATTTTCTTAGCAACCGGTTAGCATTAGCATATGTAAAACTTGTAATATTTGTAGAAGATGTCATCTGTCTATCAATATGTGCTGGAAAATTGTATTGTATAAATCGGCAATACAAAGAGAAGTCATCTTTTCATTAATTTGTCTAGCCTTTTGTTCATCTGTCTGGGTGATATCTCAAATACAGTAGTTGATGGATTAGGTTCAAATTTTAAAGGCATTTTCACACTTGAAACATTTTTCATGTGGCTTATGCTTTATGGACAGAGGACCTCTGTTCAAGAAGGAATTTGCAATATGGCCACCATTTTCATGAAAATTAAGTCTTTGATAATCCGAATACAATTTTAGGGATTTGGTTCAAATTTTATTATTAGCTGGTGACTTACATGTACATGTCGGTTCCTAGGAATATGTATGCACAAATGCCAAAGGGAAAGGACAAAAAATTGTTACAGAACACATAAAGAAAAAGAAAACATCTAAGAGTAAACCAATCATGGCCTCTTCTCAAGATGAAATTTTCAAGATGACTTTTTCAAGATAGGATATTGTTTTGTAAAAACCTACAACCTATAACCTTATCAATCTAACCGATACATCATCATCTTTGATGTAGAAAATCGCGATTGGAGGGAGTAGAGGGTTGTTCGACATTATTTCTTTTCACGTTAGATCATGGTTTTTGGAAATACGGGGTCTTTTTTCTTATTAGAGGTTTACACTTAGAGTTTGTTATTCTTGCTAGGTTTATTTACGGTTTTGTTCATTTTCCTTTTTCCTTTGGCACTTGTGCTCTACTGACTGTTATTATATCATTACCCCATTGAAAACATTACGCTGTGATTACTTACCCGTTGGTTCACACTTTGAATCCTGCATCTTTTCCAAGAGATCTTTTACTGAGGCTATGTCACTTTTCATCTGATTGACATCATTTTTGATTTCTTCATCATTTTTTATCTCTTCAATGTCATTTTTGATTTCCTCGACATCAGCTTTGGTTTCTTCAATGGTTCTCCTAGCCATTGTTACATTGTTTTGTATCTCGACCAGGTTGACCTGAAGGGCGTCATCCTCCTTTCTGATGCAGCAACTCTTGGTTTCAGTTTTCAGATCATTCAATTGTGTGACAAGGTTTTCAATATCTTTTTTCTTGCATGTAGCAGTGTTCTTTCTTTTCTTCTTTGCTTCTGCATTGTCGCCAAGCGTGATGAAAAGTACTATCAGGAGTACTTTAAGATGCATGGCTTTTTCAAAATGTGACTTGACTTGTTGTTAACGCAGCTAGGTTCTGTTGCATTGATTGCTTTGAGTTAACATTTGTGGTAAAATGCCTTTTGCCTAATTACCATCAAAAACATATAATCACAATATGTCTTCATAATGTTTTCTCTGGCATTCTTGTATTTGTTTAAATCATGAATATGTAAAATAATTGTCCCAACTAACAAAGTTTTGTAGGATCATGGGGTTCTCTCGAAAACCCATGGTAAGATATAGTGAAGTCATCTTACCAATTATGACTTAAATATTAAAACAGTATGGGTAATAACCTTTAATTAATATAATACTGGATATGACAATTGAAATAAAAATCAATCTGTAATCTTCCTTTTTGGTGTAGATGTTCCACATGTTAATCAAAATTGATTTTTGTGTAAAGATTGTATGGTTCTGATGCTCTTGAATGACACATATGAGCATATTCATACAAATATTTGAGCGCTTAAAGTGGCAAAAGGGGAAGTGTTCAAAAAACAGTTAGAAAAGAACATTAAGAGAATCATTTGTCATAAGGAGAACCCCTCTTACCCCCCCCCCAACATTCAGAAACAACTAACATAAAATAGGTGGAAGAGTTACTGAGGAAAAAGTTTCAGCTGGTGATAGCTAACCAGTCTTATTCTAATTGTTTAGTTGGCTATGATGACAACATGTTGCAATTTTCTAATGGTTTTGTTTACATTTCAAAGACAATCCTTCATATTTTAGTATTAATTTATGCTTCATCAGGTAATGGTACTCATATCAATATTTTTGCTTTCTTTGTTGAATAACTTTAAATCCCCACATGTGGGAAGATTTATACTTCTGTTTATCTCTCAGAGAGAAAGCTTTTGGATTTTTATGTTTTCATCAATAAGTTTTAATAGGCACTCATCGCACATGTTTTGGTAAGTGTTTTAAATTTTGTTCTAAGGTTGTGTTTAACTTGTTCAAGATTCTGTATACATGATCTGTTGCTCGCATGGCCAATTCAAAATAAGGTTGAAATTGAAGAATACATACATGGTGTCCCAAAAGTATTTTACCTAAATGAAAAGGATTACTGTCTTTTCTTCATTATTTTTTCTTCAGTGTCACCTTTGAAACTTACCTTACTTACCAGTATAATCGTTATAGTGAAGTCTGACAATTTGGAATGCGTTCCAACCAGAAATGGATATATTGAACAAAAAAGGGGTTTCTCGGGAAATTTTTTTTCCTGTTTACCTTGGTGACAACTTGAATTGGTGAAATTGGGGTCCTCACTAAATTTGCCAAGTTAAAATAGGCCGTGGGTGCCTTTAGTCGAAGTGGTCATTATAGGTATTACTTTAAACAACTTGAATCTACCTTTACGCAAGAGTGTAATAGACTTGAAATAAATGTAATTTTAGCTGACATTGAAATCGGATGTTGGGATACTGTTGCGTCGCAGCTTGGAACTGTTTGATCTACGATTCTGCCTCATGCTGCGTCTGCCTATCTTCGAAGATGAAAAGAAAATATTGAAGGTAAGAAGATCTATATGTGGGGTAATAATTATAAAGACAATGATCTCCCATACATTAAGGCAAGTGATGCTGTGAAACTTGAAATTATGTGTGTACTTACCGTATCTAAAGACCCATTTGCAAAATCGGGAAATATTGCGAGGGAACTTCCTTACCCACCTTGGTCAGTTACTCGATCAATTACTTGCTCGGCCTCCTCATTAACATTTTACCACCCATACTAGTCTGTTAGTCCCCTCCACTCATATTGATGAATTAGTTACCTTCCCTTGCCCATCTTGGTCAATCATCCCCCCCCCCCAGCTTACCCATCTTGATTGATCAGTCACCTTTCCCTCATATTAGTCTGTAGTCACCTCTAGCCATATTGGTCAATTAGTTACCTTCCCTCGCCCATCTTGGTCAATCATCCCCCCAGCTCACCCATCTTGGTCAGTCACTCAAATACTGTGATCAATGAGTAAAAACCTCTATATATGATGAAAACTTCTGTAGTTTACAAACACATGTAATTGGTTGACATTTATAGCCTGTGAACAAGCCAACATTTGCTTTCAACATTCCTGCAGAATATGGCATGCAGAATACGAGTGTAGCAGATATGCCTAAGCATTTACTTAGCTATGGAGGTGGGTATATTATTTAGTATTGGGAACTCATAAAATACACTTGAGATTAAATAAATTCAAAATATACTATAATAACCCAGATGCGAATAGATAGTTACAAGTTTCATCACCAAGTGGCTAATTTGGTAGATACCATGACATATATAGTATATACTAGAAATCACATTTTCAAATAAGATCAAATTTTCAAAGTTGATCAATGCTTTTTGAAACCACATATCTACAGGGTGTCAAAAAATATGTTCTCTCCTTAATTTCAAAAGTATAAACTTTTATGCATAGAAGTGCATCTTGAGCGAGTCATCTGAAACTTGTGGAGTTGCTCCATGAAGCCTAGTTTTATTGAATTTTGCCAATTCATATATCATGCGGACAAAAAGTTAAGCAACATTATGTGGATGCTAAAGCTAAGGGGGAGAACATATTTATTTGACACCCTGTAGATGTTAATTTACATGTAGATTTTAAATATGATATCTCTTTGACTGAATTTTTAATGACGTTAATCAAGATCAATCGCAAGTGATAGACTTTGATACAATCCTTCATTTGTGTAAATATTGTAGTTTGAGAAAGTTGAATGCTTCAGTATGGTCTGCAGATCCCAGTCGAAAATGGTTATCAAACAATATGTAAATCATTAAGTAATAGGGGGCACCATACACCTTTCAGTGGTGTCTCGCTCCCTTCATCATCTTTGTATTGTTGTATGCATATTTAATAAATTGAAATTGAAATTGAAAAAAACAAAAAGATTGTTATCAATTTATGTAAAAATCCCAAAAAGCCATTAAATTTAAAAAGCAAAATGCTTGCTAGTTAAATACCAAAAGAGTAAGCCATGACAGGTACAAATATTCTTCAGATACCCCCATCAATTTACCACGCAAGGATGTCCCCACCTGCAAATGCATTATGGGATGCGATCTAAACTGTCAATGCACGCAAGATCAGAACCTATGTAGCATAGCATGTGGCTGCCACCAACAGTGTGCCAATCCATTGAATATTTTACAATCTGAAGGGATAGTGGTCTCCAAGGCAACACTTGACAGTTGCCTGATGGGAAATATTTACAAGGTTAGTAGTTGAAAAAATACTAAGGCAAGGCTTCGTTAATATTCTGGTTCTATTTTAGGCCCAAGTTCGGATGCTTTGATTTTCTTTAAGTAATTTTTGCTTAGCAGATTGATAGCATTATATTTGGGAAGATTTCCAATTCTTCAATTCAATTAATCCTGGGATATTGATTTGTATGTCATCACCAGAAATGGGAACATTATAGTCTCCAACGTTTTTGTGGATGGTGTTCGATGGTTTGTGTCTGTAACAAATGGCAGGTTGTGACATTTTGCATGTAAATGCCTTGTATATTTCCTGGGATATTTTCCTTTTTACCTGCATAACCAGGGCAAATATCACACTTCTCGTCTGTCATGCATCTTTTTTTCTCAATGTTTTGCACTTGTTGTTCAGCAAATGAGGGTCAATGTATTTGTACCTGGATTTGAACATACCATTAGGGGGAGTGTTGAAATAAGGATATACAGTAAAAACCTGTCTTTGTGAACACTGAACACCTCTCTCTAGTGAACACCTGTTCCTCGTGGACACCTTCCTCCACACATACTCTTCTTCTGTATAGATTACCCTCTCTCAATGTAAAATAATTAGATATGGCTTGAAATGAAATTTTACTGCAAAAAAAGAATTGTCTCAAAGAAGTTTCAAGATACACCTCCCAAAATGACTTTTATATCAGTTTTTGCCAACATCGATAGCTGCATGAGCCAAAAAATATTTTTATTGCCAGAAATGTTTTTGTTTTTCAGACTCCTCGTATACTGCAAAAACTCTGGTCTTCGCTGAAATTTCCGTGCTGCAATAAGGTGTCCATCTTGAAATTCTGCATCCCAGGAATTATCACATGCGTCAAATGTCGAGTCCAGTATGTGTATTCCTGGTGTAAAGGTAATCACAAATGTACATATCCTGCATCCGATGCCTCGGTCATATTTGATCTACGATGGCCGTGACTTCCCGAAATCGAGAGAAAGTGGCATAAAATATAGCGATAAGCAGTACAATCATAACGTAGATTTTCTATATTGAATTTTTGAAGCTACAGCTGCCTTAGAGCAAATGTGACGGAGGCTTTATGGAGCTGTCTCACTTACGCTGTGTGGACTCGCAATTCGCCAGTGTGGATACTTTGGGGCAGATGGTGGGGCATTACATGGATACACTGTTGGCAAAACAAATGATTTTACAGCAGAATATCCCCCATCACCAAATGCAAAAATTAATGCCAAAAATTAGCCACCGATAGCGAACTGTGAACACACACAGCCAATGACAGCTACTTAATATTTAAATATTCAAAAATTAGATAGAGTTCAATTATTTATTTGTTTCACAGAATAAATAAAGACTGTTGCAAGTTATTGCATAATTTAAAAAAAATTCTTATTTTATTAATTTCTCAAAATCGTGTTGATATTGTATGCCAAGTTTGTTATATTAGCTTTAGGTCTCATGGAAGTTAACAGGAAATGACAAAACAGGAAGTGACAATTTTTTGGGCATTTTTAGACATTTTTTGAACAAAGATAACAGAGTTCTGGTTTGACCTCCAGTCAATTTAACTGTTTCCACATATCATCTACATGACCAGGATCACAATGTGCATGGTCAGAATGACCCTAAACATGATGAAATAACCTTTTTAGTCCCTTGAAAGTGTGACTGAAAAAAAGCTAAAAGTAGGAGCTAGGGAAGGTCACTGAACAGAATCTTTTGAATTTTTCAGAAAATGTGCCCAATATAATGCTCTAACTGATACAATCTTTGAAATTTTAGAAAATTGTCGTAAACAAAAATGGCGGTCATAAAAAGGAAAATAGATCGCTTTTCAAGTCAGTTTTTTCATTTTTTTTCTCTTTCTATGAATGGTATCAAATGTTCAAAGATTGTACCATTTAGAGCAATATATTGGGCACATTTTCTGAAAAATTCAAAAGATTCTGTTCAGTGACCTTTCCTACCTCCTTCTTTTAGCTATTTTTCAGTCACATTTTCATAGGGCTGAAAAGGTTATTTCATGATATTTAGGGTCATTCTGACCATAAACATTGTGATCCTGGACCTGTAAATGGTATCTGGAACTAGTTGAATTGACTGGAGGTCAAAAGTGAACTCTGTTATCTTTGTTCAAAAAATGTCTAAAAATGCCCAAAAAATTGTCACTTCCTGTTTTGTCATTTCCTGTTAACTTCCATGAGACCTTAACATAGTTTAAATTTAATAATAAAATTAGATAATTATTGTTTAATACTTAGATAAGAACACATTATTTAGAATAATTGTAAGCCATTTTGTCATTGTATAATTTAAAAAAGTCTTTTTATTTTATTAATTTCTCCGAATCATATTGATTTTATTTTGTGTATTGTATGCAAAGCTTGTTACATTAGCTTAACATAGTTAAACATTTAATAATGAAATTAGATAATTGTTTAATACCTAGATAAGAACACATTATTGGTAAACCATTAATTTGACTAAAGTTAATTTATTGTATTCTAATTCACGCAGGTTTTCACTCGACAATGTGCATGCTTTTGTAAGTATCTGAATCTTAGTTTTCAAATATCTTGAGGGAAAGAAATGAGATTTATGTTTTCTGAGATTCTGGATATAGGATTTATCCAAGGGAAATATTGATATGAAGGATCCAAGGGACCGATGGAATATAATGACATTTTCTAGTATTCTATATCCAATAAATATTTACATGTTATGCAATTGGTATCCAATCCAGCCTAAGGAATTTTATGCCATTTTTAACAGCCATGTAGATGATAAGCCTAAAATCTGTAACATGTGTAGTTTTCACCTCTGTCTGTCCATCTGTGTCTCCAACCGTCCATGTGTCCATCTGTTTTGCAAATCATGTACTAATATATCATTGCTCTTCTCTTTTAGGCTCCTACTATTTAATTGTCTGCTAAGCAGGTTTTATTCTGGAAAAATTGAGTGGATAACTATTTACCTTGTTTATTTTAGCTAGAATACATGTAGAATAAGACATATATAACAATGACAATTACAACAGACAATTAATTTGTAAGGCACTTAAGTACTGCGTCTGCGTGTATGGATGGAATTTGCTCTCTGTTTTGATGCATGCCCTAGAATCTTTTTACATGTGCCTGTTTAAACACTTTTCTACAGCTTATGATTGTGTGTACATGTAGTTATAAATCCTCGAAAATTATTCTTTTAAATTGAAATATAGAGCATCATTTTCTGGCTACTGCGTTTCACAAGTTATTCTGTGATTGACTTTTTGATTATTTGAGCAATTTTTCAATAATTCTTTACTGATAAGCTACATTTATAAAAGTATCGTGCAGATTAAGTTATCATTTTTTGTAGAATTTTCGGCCAATTTTCAAAGTATATATGCAATAATTATAACTATAAGTTTCATAATATGTTTTGTTATATAATATATTATGCCTACTTCAACTTTATAGGTGAGTTACTCACATATCAAGGCCAGCCAATCCACTGTGCTGCATGTGGTAGATGTAAGAGGAATGATGGGTCAGATAGCGACAACCAATGCCAGGTTAGATTTGTTTCTTCTGTACTGTACACTTATTCTACTTCTCTAAGAGGTCATCTGTACATTTCTCTAATAGGTCATCTGTACATTTCTCTAAGAGGTTGTCTGTACATTTCTCCAAGAGACCATCTGTACATTTCTCTAAGAGGTCATCTGTACATTTCTCTAAGAGGTCATCTGTACGTTTCTCTAAGAGATTATCTGTACATTTCTCTAAGAAGCCATCTGTATATTTATTCTAAGAGACAATCTGTACATTTCTCTAAGAGGTCATCTGTACATTTCTCTAGGTCATATGTACATTTCTACTTCTCTAAGAGGTCAATTGTACATTTCTCTAACAGGTCATCTGTACATTTCTCTAGGTCATATGTACATTTCTACTTCTCTAAGAGGTCATCTGTACATTTCTCTAACAGGTCATCTGTACATTTCTCTAGGTCATATGTACATTTCGATTTCTCTAAGAGGTCATCTGTACATTTCAACCTCTCTAAAATGTTATCAGAAACTATAAAAACTAATGGCTCTTTTTCTTGTAGAAATGCCAGTCCATAAAGCATGTAGAAGATGTTACAAGTCCAACCATACCAACTCCACCTCCTCTGGTACTTGGAGACATCTTAAACCCATTGTCCTAAAGACTCCTTCATCAAGAGATGAATGGTTGTAAAGATTAGGAAACCCTTAATGTAAAGAGATCAGCAGCCAAGAAGCTTTAGTTTCTAGAAAAATGAACATTTCTATTGATTTAGAGAGAGCAATTGTAAAGATTGAGAAACCCTTAATGTAAAGAGATGCAGCCATGAAGCTTTAGTCTCTAGAAAAATGAACATTTCTATTGGTTTAGAGAGAGCAATTGTAAAGATTGAGAAAGCCTTAATGTAAAGAGATGCATCCATGAAGCTTTAGTCTCTAGAAAAATGAACATTTCTATTGATTTAGAGAGAGCAATTGTGAAGATTGAGAAACCCTTAATGTAAAGAGATCAGCAGCCATGAAGCTTAAGTCTTGAGAAAAATGAACATTTCTATTGGTTTAGAGAGAGCAATTGTAAAGATTAAGAAACCCTTAATGTAAAGAGATCAGCAGCCATGAAGCTTAAGTCTCGAGAAAAATGAACATTTCTATTGGTTTAGAGAGAGCAATTGTAAAGATTAAGAAACCCTTAATGTAAAGAGATCAGCAGCCATGAAGCTTTAGTCTCAAGAAAAATGAACATTTCTATTGGTTTAGAGAGAGCAATTGTAAAGATTAAGAAACCCTTAATGTAAAGAGATCAGCAGCCATGAAGCTTTAGTCTCAAGAAAAATGAACATTTCTATTGGTTTAGAGAGAGCAATTGTAAAGATTAAGAAACCCTTAATGTAAAGAGATCAGCAGCCATGAAGCTTAAGTCTTGAGAAAAATGAACATTTCTATTGGTTTAGAGAGAGCAATTGTAAAGATTAAGAAACCCTTAATGTAAAGAGATCAGCAGCCATGAAGCTTTAGTCTCAAGAAAAATGAACATTTCTATTGGTTTAGAGAGAGCAATTGTAAAGATTGAGAAACCCTTAATGTAAAGAGATCAGCAGCCATGAAGCTTAAGTCTCGAGAAAAATGAACATTTCTATTGGTTTAGAGAGAGCAATTGTAAAGATTAAGAAACCCTTAATGTAAAGAGATCAGCAGCCATGAAGCTTAAGTCTCTAGAAAAATGAACATTTCTATTGGTTTAGAGAGAGCAATTGTAAAGATTAAGAAACCCTTAATGTAAAGAGATCAGCAGCCATGAAGCTTAAGTCTCTAGAAAAATGAACATTTCTATTGGTTTAGAGAGAGCAATTGTAAAGATTGAGAAACCCTTAATGTAAAGAGATCAGCAGCCATGAAGTTTAAGTCTCTAGAAAAATGAACATTTCTATTGGTTTAGAGAGAGCAATTGTAAAGATTAAGAAACCCTTAATGTAAAGAGATCAGCAGCCATGAAGCTTTAGTCTCAAGAAAAATGAACATTTCTATTGGTTTAGAGAGAGCAATTGTAAAGATTAAGAAACCCTTAATGTAAAGAGATCAGCAGCCATGAAGCTTTAGTCTCAAGAAAAATGAACATTTCTATTGGTTTAGAGAGAGCAATTGTAAAGATTAAGAAACCCTTAATGTAAAGAGATCAGCAGCCATGAAGCTTAAGTCTCGAGAAAAATGAACATTTCTATTGGTTTAGAGAGAGCAATTGTAAAGATTAAGAAACCCTTAATGTAAAGAGATCAGCAGCCATGAAGCTTAAGTCTCTAGAAAAATGAACATTTCTATTGGTTTAGAGAGAGCAATTGTAAAGATTAAGAAACCCTTAATGTAAAGAGATCAGCAGCCATGAAGCTTTAGTCTCAAGAAAAATGAACATTTCTATTGGTTTAGAGAGAGCAATTGTAAAGATTAAGAAACCCTTAATGTAAAGAGATCAGCAGCCATGAAGCTTTAGTCTCAAGAAAAATGAACATTTCTATTGGTTTAGAGAGAGCAATTGTAAAGATTAAGAAACCCTTAATGTAAAGAGATCAGCAGCCATGAAGCTTTAGTCTCAAGAAAAATGAACATTTCTATTGGTTTAGAGAGAGCAATTGTAAAGATTAAGAAACCCTTAATGTAAAGAGATCAGCAGCCATGAAGCTTTAGTCTCAAGAAAAATGAACATTTCTATTGGTTTAGAGAGAGCAATTGTAAAGATTAAGAAACCCTTAATGTAAAGAGATCAGCAGCCATGAAGCTTTAGTCTCAAGAAAAATGAACATTTCTATTGGTTTAGAGAGAGCAATTGTAAAGATTAAGAAACCCTTAATGTAAAGAGATCAGCAGCCATGAAGCTTAAGTCTTGAGAAAAATGAACATTTCTATTGGTTTAGAGAGAGCAATTGTAAAGATTAAGAAACCCTTAATGTAAAGAGATCAGCAGCCATGAAGCTTAAGTCTCTAGAAAAATGAACATTTCTATTGGTTTAGAGAGAGCAATTGTAAAGATTAAGAAACCCTTAATGTAAAGAGATCAGCAGCCATGAAGCTTTAGTCTCTAGAAAAATGAACCTTTCTATTGATTTAGAGAGAGCAATTATGAAGATGAGAGAAACACTTTAAAAAAGATGGCAGTAAAACATCAAAAATAAACATTAGAGAGAGAGAGAGCAAAGAGTGGTAAACATTAGAGGACAATGAGCAGTGGAAACATTAGAGAGATGAGCAAGCACAGACTTAAAATTACTGTGATAAATACTCATTTTGATAGGTAAGGACTCCTCATCAAACATCAGAGTAGAGTCTTAAAATTAAACATCTGCAAGGGTTTCAAACAAAAGAGAAAAATGGCACAAATTAAGTTAAGTTAGGAAAAAAAGTATTGCAAATATTAAGTGAAAATACGTTAAGATTGTGTATCTTAGATTGGAATGAGAAAATATGTGTAATGTACTTATTGAGAAAATAAGACATTAATTCTTTTTATAAAAAAAGATGTAATCACCAAATAAGAAGTTATTTTTGTAACCTTTGAAACTTGATTTTTCACATCCAAGTGATTATTTTTTCAAACAAATTAATGTTATAGATGTTAGAAGTATGTTTCGAACATACTCCTGAATAATGTACAAAGGAGTTCAAGTGATTGTGAATTTGAATGGAAGCACTAATTCATGTACCTTTTCAAGTACTGCAGGGGCGGATCTGGGAATCAATAAGGGGGGGGCCCAAATTTCAAGTCAGAGAAAAAAAAATTTTGGGCCCCTTAAACCCAAAAGTGTACTGTAAACCACTAGTCATTCATTTTGCTTTATTATGTCACCACCGCAAGGGGTGACATAACAAGGTGATATGTTATAGGCCTAGTTTCCATTTTGGTTACTACATGTTACTACAGCAAGTTGTGACATATTGTTACAGTCTCCAATTTTTTTGTGGACGGTGTTTGGCAGTCGTTATTTAAGTTCAGTGTCTGGAACAAATGGCACATGGTGACATTTTGCATGTTAATCCCTCGTTATTTTTGGATTTTTGACATTTTTATTTTGCTGAATTTGTATTTATATTTAAGTTGTTGTCAGGAGTTCAGTGTAAGTTAAAAGGAGTGAGGATTTTTATAGCTTTATTTAATATAAAAGCAACATTTTAATCAGATGGTTACTTAATTCACCAAATTGCCATAATAAAATGGAGTGGCAAAGAAAGCGCATTTACAGTAAGTTCTGTTCAATGTACAATGGATGATAACGGATAACATTTATTAATGGAAGTGCATGTGGCGATTTTGTTTGAACTTATTTGGAATAAAGAAGTAAAGCATATGCTTAACCACTTTACAATATTTACAAAACGTGCAAATATCTTCTCATTTTATCCTAAGCATTAAGTATTTGACAGAGGCATCAATAAGAAATTGAGTTCCTGGTATAAGTGCTTCTGGGAACTGGCTTTCACTGAAATTAGGTCATTTATCAAAGAAATATGTTAGAATGCTGATGGTTTAGGGTTTAAGAATTTTCCAAGGGGGGTTCACTTTTCCAAAAAATTCCGGGGGGGGGGGTTCACTTTGGCAAATTGGGCCAAAAATCACTCAAATAATAGTCAGAATGGTGAAAAACTGCATGATTTTGAAAGAAATTTTGGCCAGGGGGAAACCCCAGTCCCCCCCTGGCTATGGGCCTGGTCATTTATCATGGAAATAAGGGTTGGGTGTTAAAACTGAATGTATTAATTCATTTATTTAACCTGTTAAATGATGAAATACTTAAATATAGTTGCAAATGTGTGTTTAGTTGAAGTGTCAGGAATTCTAAAGCTTAGAAAGTAGATAGTTGTGTAATATTGCACATCATTTTGAAGAAGAAGATTACATAATATTTAAACAAGCTTATTATGTCACCACCAAAAGTTATGTCACCACCAAAATTTGTGACATCGATATTTTCTCCAACTTTTTTGTGGACTGACTTCAGTGGTTGGTGTTTGGCAGACGGTGTCTGTAACAAATGGCAGGTTGTGACATTTTGCATGTTAATGCCTTGTATTCAATTATGCAGTACATGTATAGTATTGTATACTAATGGTTTTGACATTTTCCGACTAAAAAGTAATAATCAATTCTGTAAAAATCTGAAAATGGTGTAAATAAGTTCTTCAAATAATTAAGTGATCTGGTGATAGCAGTATGTTAATTATTATGTCAAAGTACAACTGTTTGAGTCCACAATAATGACGTAGTACGCAAGTGTTTTTGACAGTAGTTATGTAAACAATTATGTCATAGTATGTCATATGTTATTTTGACAGTAATTAAGTAAACAATAATGGAATAGTAAAAGTACTTTTGCACTAGATACGTAAACGATACTAGAATAGTACAAGTTTTTTTGCAATAGTTAAGTAAACAATAATGGAATAATACAAGTGTTTTTTTGATAGTTAAGTAAACAATTATGTCATAGATGTTTTGACATTAATTAAGTAAACAATAATGGAATAGTACAAGTGGTTTTGCAGTAGTTAAGTAAACAATAATGGAATAGTACAAGTTTTTTCAAATACGGTAGTTAAATAAACAATAATGGGATAGTACAAGTAGTTTTGCGATAGTTAAGTAAACAAATTATGTCATAGATGTTTTGACAGTAATTGAGGAAACAATAATGGAATAGTACAATTAGATTTGCAATAGTTAAGTTAACAATTAGGTCATAATACAGGCGGTTTTGACGGTGATTAGTAAACAATAATGGAATAGTACACATGTTTCTTTTCATTAGTAGAGTAAACAATTCTGTTATAGTACAAATTATGTTGTGACAGTAATTCCATAAGGAAACAACAATGGAATAGCACAAGTAGTTTTGAGAGTAATTAAAACTAAATGGATGATGAAAACCCATTGTAGTCAGAATTAGATAGTAAAAAATAATAATGATATGCCCAGCATCCAGAAAGCAGGCATCAATACCTTAAATAGGCAAATGACAATCTGAAGGTCCATTTAGACATCAGTTTCACGCCTTGGAGGAGCCTTTAATTTATGTAAAGACAAATGACCTGTGTACGCCCATCCTGCTAGCCATATGGACTAAATGTTGACTCTTCCAGTGGCATTTTGGATCTATCAAGCTCACATTGCCAGTCTGTGTCCAATTTCAAACCCTTTTTAAACACCTCTCCCAGGACACCTCTTTCCGAAACATTTATTCTTTTGTATTGATCTGAAATATACATGTTGTTTATTTATAATAAGTGAATTATTATGTAAGTAAATAAGTAATAAAAAATTATAAGTGGTTGTCAAAATGAATATATTATAGTTAAGCAATTTATATGCAAAACTAATGGTTTTTATTGTAATTAAGAAAGTAGTTTCGAGGGGATATATCCAATAGAGGCAAAGTCAATGCAGAAAAGCTGAATGTGAAATCTGAAATAGAATTTTAAATGGGTATTAAAACCATCATTTCAAGCACTGCATTAGATTAACCATCCATTTGAGCATTTCAGAATGGCAAGTTCTTCTGAAACATGAGTACTTGTGTATAGAAAATTGCCTCTATGCAGCTATATGATTCTCATTTTACCAAGGTATTCAATTGTTTGAAATTGTTTGATTATTTTGCACCATCATGATGTCACAAAGGTGACACAATTCATGGGTCTTATACATATACTTCAGTATGTAGAAGTACATCAGATGGATATACATTGTACCTAAATTGAAGGTACACAGGTACATGTACCCAAGTGATTTGCAGTAATATACTTTGCAGTATATGTTCAAAGTTTGTTGTTATATTTATTTATGCTTAATAGTTGTTATGTCATTGTTTTGTAGCAGCCTTACTGAACAAATTAGGCTATTCCAGGTATATTTTGAATTTCTAGAAGCTGATATATTTATTGAGTTAATTGTTGTCACATGATCATTAGTGCTATTGAAATGATCATTGGTGCTATTGAAATGATCATTGGTGCTATTGAAATGATCATTAGTGCTATTGAAATGATCATTGGTGCTATTGGAATGATCATTAGTGCTATTGAAATTATCATTGGTGCTATTGAAATGATCATGAGTGCTATTGAAATGATCATTGGTGCTATCGGAATGATCATTAGTGATATTGAAATGACCATTAGTGCTTTTGGATCATTAGTGCTATTGAAATGATCATTGGTGCTATTGAAATGATCATTAGTGCTATTGAAATGATCATTGGTGCTATTGGAATGATCATTAGTGCTATTGAAATTATCATTGGTGCTATTGAAATGATCACTAGTGCTATTGAAATCATCATTAATACCTTTGAAATCATCATTAGTGCTATTGAAATGATTATTAGTGGCATTGATATGATCATTATCAGTGCTATTAACATTATCATTAGTGCCATATGAAGTGAAAATAAGTACCATGTGACATGATCATAAGTGCCATTGATATTATCATTAGTACATATCAGTGCTATTGACATTTGACATTATCATTAGTACCATGTGATGTGATCATTAGTACCACATGACATGATCAATAGTACCACAATCATAAGTGATTTATTGTTAAATTGAACAACTACTAGACTAAGAGGAAGTTAAAGTGTTACTTAATCAGTTTATTCAGAATAAAATCATGTAAACTATTGATATTAAATAAATGTTTTGTTCAATAATACATATAAAACTAGATTTTATGTCACCTCACAGTTTTGAGACATAAGTTTGGGTGTCTTCTGTAACAAATTGTTACACTTTTGTATTTGCATTTATTAACTTCCCAGATAGTGACATTTTGTCATGTTATGCAGTTATGCCTCGATAGTTTATTGAGAATATTGAGGATCATTCATAAAACCTTAAATGATGGATATAGAATTCCCAAACTGTCTTGTGTTCTAACTTCCATGGCCTACCTAAAGATAGCCTAGTCTAGCTACAAGCGCCTGTAATCCCCATCCACCTATTTGAAAAGTCATGTATGAAAAAACACCAACTCTTTATGTTCCTTATACACAAAGGGCAACATTTGAAAGTAAATTCTTCACAAACTTGAATAGATAGATACGCCTTTTCAAATGTTCAAATACTGAAATGTCATGTGATTCTGAAATCTTGGGACATTCAGTGGCATAGCTGTAATATTGTACAGCAATACACCACAGTTGAAAATCCTAAGTGAGGATTCTTTACATTGTACCATGGGCATTCAATACTTATTCACCAAAAAATACATGAGAACATCATAAAGTGCCATACCTTTTCACTAAGACCTTCCAAAAAAATTCTCATACAGTAAACATTTTATCAATTTTTCACGTTAAAAACACTTGAATTTTCCTTGCCACTAATCTCCTATCTTCTCAAATCTCCCGGGAATGCGTTCAACAATGAAAGAAGAGAGACTGACTGCTCTACATATGTATGTCTTCTGAACATTTAATACCCTAGACTATAATAAATTCGTAGAACTCCCCCGGAACACTTTCAGTTGGATATCGAACCTAAATGAATTTCTTGTACACTATTAAAAACGATCTAGCTGTGATCAATGTTTAATTTCTGTAAAAACGAAAGTAGATAAGTCGAGGAAGACTTACAAGCCCGCTTACAAGACACTAGACCTCGTGTACGACAAAAATCGCACATGACGTCATTTTAGTAACTTTGCTGACAAGTTATTGCAGTTACTAACTTTCGAGAAATGAAACTTTAAAATAAATATTACAAACAGAAATGGACTTACTAATAACTTTACAAACTTTGACTACCAACCATCATGTTAGTTCATAACAACTAAGTGGAAAATGCCAGGAATAAAAAGTGTCAGTTCATTTGCATGCATTTTAAAAGCTTACGTGTAATACTGCTTTTGATTAATTTTAAGATGATGAAAATCAATAACAGAAGTAGACTATATAAGAAACAAAGATTAATATTGTGGGGAGGGGTGATAAGCCTGAAGTGTTGGACCGTAGAGCAGATTCACACCAAATCTTCATTCAATATTGGCGTCTAGTTGACTAAATCCTCAGCTACGCCCCTGACATTAACCCTTTATAATCATACACACTAATTCATTTGAATTTATCTGAAAGCTTTAAAACAACATTATAAATCATATTATAGTTAAACTATCAAATATGTTTGAAGCACTAATTCTGAAATCAACTTGTTAAAACCAGTGTAGAGTACAAAGATTAATAGACCTGGGAAAAGGTGTTGAACATTCTTATTATTGGCCATGGGATTAACTACAGTAATTGCATACCTTTAAAATGTGAGATGAAACACGATACTTGAGATCCATTAAGATGCTTTAAACAAAACAATGTGATGAACAAAAGCCTTTTGTGTTGAATGTACCAGAAATCGTTGTTATCATCTTTATCCCGATAATTTAAGAATAACAACATTGGTTTTTCATAACTGAGTCAATGGCGCATCTAATGTATAATTCCGTACCAGGGTTATAAAAGAGAAAGTCAACTGCAGTCAACAATAAAAACATCCAAGGTTCACAATTGGATCAAAAATTTATATCATACATTCAATAGTACCACGGTACGCGGTAGCTTATGTTAACAGTACCCGCAATTTTCAAAATGCTATATTATATACCATAGCAGACGATTCTCGAAAAATGATCGATCCCTACTTCGAATCTCGCGAGATTTTGCGAGAGGATGCAGAAAGAATCTTCAGAGAGTTACAGATTCATCTTCTTATCTTCTGTCGCGGTTGTAAGTAAGTTGTAATCATGTCTAAGATCGATATTCTTTTAGAACTTGTGCAAGGGAATAGATTTGACGAATTGGAAACGTTTTTAGAACAAAACAAAGATGAAATTCATCTTGAAAAAGAGCCACAGGGAAATCCTCCAATGATTTTTAGATGTGTCAAAGAAACTGAAGTTCAAAACAAATCAGAAATTTCAGAAAGTATATCAGTTAGTGAGAGTCGTAAAAACAGTCAAACAAATGAAAGTCAGACACATATTGCAGATGTTCATGTACATAACAATGATACGGTTGACATAGCAACTGATTCAAAAACCATGACGATGACCCATGGTTTGGATAACAAAGGTGTAAACAATTTCAATGGAGGATTGATTGATCAGAGTAAATTTCTTCAAACAGTGAAAACTTTAGTGAAATATGGTATGTCACTAGATCGCCAAGATGAAAATGGGAAAACAGCGCTTCATTGGGCAGTTTACCATAGAGATGTTCAACTTATTAAAGAATTTATCAAGCTTGGTGCTAGTCCTTTAATAGATGATGGAAAAGGTCAGAATGTGTTGCACTTTGCCCTTAGAGTTGGAGCCGATGATGTGCTCGAGACCATTATCGAGCATTCCCCAAATGAGGTATGTAAAAATGATAGCATCATGTCCCTACATGTCCTTATCATAGATTAACATGTCATAAAACATGAACTCAAATTTTCATACCAAATCAGAATTCAACAGGGACGACAAGTATATGTACATGTATTTTACTTTTTGCCAGATAATTGGATAACATAGGGATTACCAAGAAGCCAATGGAACCTGTTTTGTAGTTTTCCATATATTATTCTGAAGATTGCAAATCTCAGAGTTTAAATTATATGTGAATATTGAGATAAGTTATGATGAAACAAATTATACATATTAGATATGGAAGAAAAACACATATATATGATGTAAACTGTAAACTAAGTCATCAAGTGCTGAACTTCAGTGTTGTCAAAATAAAACTCTAAAATATTTTAAGTTCACTGACAATTGACACATATGCCTCGGTAAATCAAACAAACCAATAAAAGATTTTCAATATCTTTTAGCAATATCACAAACAACAGGAGAATTGAGTAAATAAAGTATTTTAACTCTAATAATATGTTTGATTGCCATATAGCCATATACAAAAAATGAACAAATAAAAAGTTCTAAGAGTTGCTACTTGTAGCTTCAAAGGCCAACTTTCAAAGTAATTCAAATATAGTAAAATCTGTATAAAATTGTTAACACTAGTCTTAATTGAACATCTCTGGATGTGAATACTTTTTCGGTCCTTTTTTCAATCTATCATAGACTTCAAAAAACTCAAAATTTATTTTTGCCAATCCGAAAATTTTTGAACAGTCCAAGTCGGATTTTGCATAGACACCTAATACTGCCAAATGTATTTTAAATTTGAATTTGTAAAATTAAATACTGTTTCAGGTTTATTTAAAATCATAAATAAAGATATTGAATTAATATAATATTATAATATTAATATAATATAATAAGAATATTTGTAATATTATATGATATAATGTGACATCATAATATAGTTCTTACAAAATAACATAATGTAATATAAGTTTTTTATTAGAAAAGCGTTAAATGTAACTTTAATAAAACAGGAAGCCTTAATTTCCTGCCATAAATTGATTCCATGATCAAACACTTCAAAAATTAATCAATTAATCGATTAATGAACATTTGTACTTATCTTATTAATTTTAACATATTTCAAAATATAGCAGAAGAAGTGAGTTGTCAATGGTACAATTTAGATTTATGGAAAATCCATATTCCTAGAGTACTAAATTAAAAAGAATTTCAGGAAAAATGTTGTTAGGAACAGCCTATTAGTATACATAAGTAAGAAAATCATCATTTTTCCATCCTAAAAGTAAACACAATTTTCCAATACCTGTATCGTGACATTATGTTTTCATAAGATACAAAAGCTTGTGTCTTATATGGTTTCTAATACCTATTAGAAATGTTTGGGGTTTATGTAAGGCTAAAGTAAATGTGCAAATATTCACTCTCTCTGTTTATGTATACATGAGAAACATTTCCCTTTTGTCAACCAAATTCATGGTATTTCTTTGATAATAAATAAAAAAAGTGGAATAAGGGAGAATGCAATCCATATACATAAGAAATATTATGAATAGTACAAAAATGAATAATAAATCCATTCGTAATACTCTAATTCATTGGAATAATTCAATGAAAAGAATAATCATAATCAGCGTTAAATCTTTTACTAGGGTACTCAATCAATGTTCAGTTGCTATACAGTGTTCTGTTTATCCCGATTACCTGAATTCTAAAAACAGAACGATTGTTCCATTAGTGACACTTATATTGGATTATTCTCGTGTATACTGTATATGGTACAAATGGTTCAAGTTTGGTTTACGACAATATATAACAGTGAACTATGGTTTATGTGTATGTTTGGAAATACTATACATAGATATTTAATTCTGGATTTATAAACAACTTCTGCATGCAAGTGACACATGATTTATGGAATTCTGGAATTCACTAAAAGATCTATAAAATCAGAAAAGGACTTTAAAGGACTTTGTCTCAGGTATGTACACATGTAATAGCTGGATAGATGTAGTTACATCGTGAGATATCACGGCTTTCTCTCAGTGTCCTTCATTCTTGTGCATAGCAGAGATGGTCTGAGTATCAGAATGATGTAGTTAGTTCTATTTATTTAATATTCATTTTTCACCTAATACCATGATATCAAATTTTAGTTTAAATTTATTATTAGATATTATGCCACTTATACAACCATTTCTCATTCAGATCGACAGACATGTCAATACCGGAATCACTGTTCTAATCCGAGAAAGAAGTGCATAATTACACTGGCACGAATAAACAATTTATAATAAAATATAGAGATTGACCGTTTAACCAGCTACTGCTAGAGTTTCGATTAAATGCACAAATGAATAGCAAATATCATAGATTTGATTGGTTAAATATCTTCTCTACACTGTTTGATCGCTCCCTTTGGCTTACATCTGTCAAATCGAATGATTTACTGCTAATGAGTTTTTGCTAAAGGATTCAAGCAGGTAATCTGTATCTACTAAATTACTGATGATGCTTAAATAAACTCTTCATAATGAAACGCAGTACGTATTTTATATGCTTCTGCTCTCCTCTTAAGTTGCAAAATCAAACTCTTAAAAGGGTCTTATTTTTTATTGTATACCTGTATTCCTACCAGATCAATATTGTATGTTTAAAAGAGTCAAAATGATTGCCCCGTAGCAGTGTTTTGTGAAAATGTTCTTTTCACATTTCAAATTGAAATTGATCATTCTCAAGTCTGCTTGTGCAACCCTATTTTGAAAATCTCAAGTTGGTACAGCACCTACTTGCTTCAGTGCAAAGGATGGTCACGACACTGTATCTTGTAGTCACTTGTCAGTAATCTATCTTGGTCTTATTTCAAGGTGATATATCGACCCGAGTATCGATGGCTTCATAAGCCTGTAATGACAATTTGATTGCAGTAGCCGCAAAGAAAAATCAATAAAATACATCATATGAATAATTAATACTTGAGGTAATTCATGACCTGTTGTAGAATGATCAATGAGTCTCATGTTGTACAATGTTCTACCTGGTGGCCTGTCAGGGGTTTTATGAGAATTTGTTCAAGAAATCTAAATGAAAACAACAGGCAAAATGATTGAAAACAACAGGCAAAATAATTGAAAACAACAGGCAAAATGAATATAAAGAACCGGCAAAATGAGATGAACTAGCTACTTGCAAAATTAATTCTTAGAACAGGCTAATGAATGAAAACAACAGACAAAATGATCAAATGAAAACAAGAGGCAAAATGAATGGAAATAGTAATTTAACATTGAAGCAATTGTAACTGTCTGAAAACAATCAGCAAATTTGATAAAACAACTTGAGAAAATGGCATGTACAGTTGGGGACAAAAATAAATGACAGGTCGATTTTTGATCACCATTTCCTAATTATGGTGGTCTGAAAGCCCATAATTTCCAATATTGTCTAGATACATATCCCTTAAAATTTGTATATTTTACATTTTGTATAATCTCATCCACTGATTTATGGCCTCTTGTAAATTCTCTTATTTTTAACATGGGAAATCCTCACTTCAGCAAATCCACCTGTCATTTATTTATGTCCCCAACTGTAGCTTGCTTCTTATGAAATTATTGCCATTCTACAGTTCTTAATTATTACTCAATAGAATCATTGTTGATTAATATCTGTAACTAACCTGTGATCTCCCCAGGATTTTTTCTCAGGTGCAAAATACTCATTTTCACAATTCAGAATTGGTCAAAATATGCTAATCTTTCATGATTTTTCTCATTTTCAAGTGGGTGCAAATGGATTTTCAGAAGGGTACAAGCCTATTTTCAATATCTCAGGAGGGTGCTATGCCCACTTGCTTTGATGCTGGGGAGATAACTGGTAACTGTATTTTACAGCCATCTAGAAAAGTAATACATATAAGTTAAGGAGGGTCATAAGATCTGTTCTTTTATTTTCTGTGTAAGAATCTGAATGTCATGACATCCTTGCACTCAGACTTACTAATTTACAAGATTACAAGCTTAGCAGCTTAGCAGCTTTATGCCTGTAATTCTGTATGACATGTACTCAATTTTGTACTTCAAAACAAAACCATTGTTGATCTTACATGAAAACCATTCCAACAGAGATCTATTTCAGAGATTATATTTTCAGGCTATAATAAGGGAGCCATGCATTAATGTCACTAACTTGTCTCCTTAAGGAGAAGTCTCTTAGTAACCTTGACAACCATGTTGCATCTGGTCATCCTGGTGTCTCACACATATATTATTACAATTATACTAACTTGTCTCCTGGGGGAGAAGCCTCTTAGTTACCTTGACAACCATGTTGCATCTGGTCATCCTGGTGTCTCACACATATATTATTACAATTATACTAACTTGTCTCCTGAGGGAGAAGCCTCTTAGTTACCTTGACAACCATGTTGCATCTGGTCATCCTGGTGTCTCACACATATATTAGATGTAATAAAGACTTTCCTACATTTTACATTTTATGACTTGCTTCTTTGTGTGATATATTTTACTTCTTCATAGGATGTAATATGATTTTGTCTATAGTATAATTATTAAAGAGTAAAATGGTAAAAAGTGGCGAACATTGAAAAATTACCCAGTATCTCCAATGTCTACTGTATATTAGTATAGATGAGTTGTTGCTATAGAAACAGGCAAATGGCCAAAAGTGATTCTAAATTAATATATTAGTGGAACAATTCCTTTAAATAAGCAAATATTTGAGATTTTGCCAATTAGAGTAATGGCCTAGTCACATAGCCCGGCCGATGAGGTTACGATGAGCCAGCGATGCAATTTTCACCGAACTCGGCCGAACACCGGCCGGACACCGGCCGGACATCCGTGGCGTTTGTTGCTTAAAACCGCATCGGTGGTAGCTCGGTGAAATTTTAACTTCGGAGTTAAATTTCACCGGGCTCTCACCGAGCTCCCTCATCATGTCATCGCAACCCCATCGTAACCACATCGGAAAACACGTCGGCCGGTGCACGGCCGAGTATCGGCCGGTGTCCCGTGCATCTGAGACAACCAGAGGACGAGGTTTTTTAACGGACAGCGGCCGAGCTCCGACCGAGCTCCGGCCGATGTGGGACAGAGCATCGGCCGGTCACTGTTCAAAGCCCGTTAACAACCCGGCCGGCGATCGCACGGTGTCCTGTTACCTGCTCGGGTACCGGCCGTATTCCTTACGATGTCCGGCCGACCTCCGGCCGGTAGTTGCTGCCACATCGGCAGAAAAAAACTACCATTTTGAGACAGACTCCGTACGGTCACCGGCCGGTGTTCGGTCGCCTGAAGATGTCTGGACAGAGTCCGTTCACGTCACCGAGCTCTGCTTCCGATGAGGAGAGCCCGGTGGCACCAAAAAAATCCACCGAGCTCTACCGATGCCGGACATCGGCCGGGCTATGTGACTAGGCCATTAGAACTTACTGACAATGTGATTGTATTGTAATAAGTTAGTTACTAACCTGGTGATACTAGAATTGATTTACTTGTATTCAGTTTGTTTACATAAGCAACCATAATTATTGATACCCTTTGCATTCGTTTGACTTCACTTCTTAAAAGAGAGCTTCGTCTTCACTCTTTCAAACTAAAATAAACCTGTGAACTCACCGCGCCAATCAGTGTTCGTCGGCCAAATTTGACCGACGTTCTATATATGGTCATTCCTTCTGACGTCATCGTTGAGCCCGGAATTGACCAATAACATGCGCATATTTAATTACCACGCATTTGGCGTATGTTTCTTCAAGCTCGCTGATTGATGAAAGAAAGGTCAGCGCGTAGGTCAGAAGTGATTTGTTACCCAAACTGTCATCGGTACCCGTCGTGGGGGCGGGGCTACTAAACTGTAATATGGTCTCTACTAGGCAGAGTGTAGTTTAACTAGACTCTGCGCGCAGGGTAAATTATTGATTATTGCATAATTAAACACTCATTAGAACTAATGATAGAATTGACTACTTTTCACACTGATAATTAGGACTGTACACAGGTACATGGTACATGTTACTATTGATGTACCCATCCTCTTATAAGACTTATAAATATACCGATTTACTGCTAAGATTTTGATGGTAAAATATAATCCTGATTTTCATCATTAAATGTTCAAAATTTTGTCAAGTGATATAATCTATTTGAAATGTGTGAATACGAAAATTACCAAAAGTTACATAGATTATATGTACATGTAAAATGGTCACTAGAAAATAAACATGCCAAATAGAAAATGTCTAATAATTTGTTATCAGTGGTTTTGATCTTACAAAGTCTCAAGTATTGAAAGTGACGAAAATACTTTTCTAATACTAAAATATTATTGTTGTTTTCAGATTTTGGACAACCAAAATAAGAATGGATCCCAGCCATTGATTTATGCAGTTCAGTTAGGAAATTATGATGCCTGTCGTACACTAGTTGAGCTTGGAGCAAATTGTGACGTTCAGGAATACGAAACGCATAGAACCCCAATACAGTACGCCCTCTACAATAAGAGATTGGATATTTTTAGTTTACTCTTAAAGTAAGTCTGTATTACATTACATTGTTAAATGATACTTTTGATAATGATTACATGTGAAATATATGATTACTCCTTTGAAGAGATCTGAGGTTTTTGGTAACTGACAGTTTTATGAGCAGCAACAAAATATTTGGAAAATCGAACAAATTAATCTATACATTCAACCTTTGTTTGATCAAAGTCAAAATAAGTTGCTTAATCAAGCAGTAGAGTTGAACTTATTTTTAAAAGTTGACTTTTTCAATAATTGAAAAACAATATTTGGTGATAGTTCTATGTAAGTTCATCTCTCTGGTTAATATATCAGAAACAAGTCAAATTCTTTACTTTGTTTATGACGTCACATAAATGTATACATGCTGTTATATTTTGAAAAAGACTAAGGGATATTAGTCGAAAGTCTCAATAAATTAAAAATATTCTCTGAAGTAAAGAATTTGACTTGTTTCTGAAATATTTGGTGATTAAACGATGTTTTGAAACTTTACGCAGGGCCTTTAAGTAATCTACTTTCCAACTTTTATTTCTTACAATCCTGATTGTTCTCTTGATTGTTGAAAGCAATATGTAATATGACAGGAATGTTATGAGTACATGATGAAAAGGTGATCTAAATAAATCATTTCATTATTGTAATTAGCTAATGTAATTAGTTTCGAAGATTCCCTTCGCACTGCTTTATAAGAGGTATATAGATTGGAAGCTTTGGAAAACTTGTGTTACTAGTTATTTTCGTGATCATACCATTTTTGCAATACTACATAGCCTAGGGTATTATTTGTGAAAGGATCCCTCATACATTACTGGTTTTAGGGTGAGATGTTTAAAGTGTGGAGGGTGGGGAATTGCAAATGCCAGGTATATCATTTTTTGATCTTCTGCCAAGTGTTATATATCAAGACAATTGTGTTTATCAGGGGCTCAATTTTTGGAACTTTTGTCGCTTTCTATATTGTTTGAATCCTAAGTTATAATCATACCAAGAAGGATCCCCTGGTTAAAAAGAATTGGTTTCCCTACATATTTCTCATTCTCAGACCAGAAGATATTTACAATGTTTGCAACATATTATACTCATGGGAGAACAGATTCTAGTATGTATTCTAGAATCCTTTGGGATGAGAGCACTCTAATTAATTATGGAATAAACACAATTTTTTACTAACTATTGATTGATTTAATGCTTATGTACACATACTTCAGGAACTTGGTCTGAAATAGTATTGATCATGTACTCTTGACTCAAATTTTTACACTATTTATTTCAAAATTATAGCTCATCTTTAACAACTATAAATAGAATTCTAATAATTAGGAAGAAAATGTTCGCGCTTGCGCAGAAAAACTTTTGGGCTCCTAAAACCCCAAATTAGGCCCCTATTGCAAGGCCTATTTTTCATAATTTGGACCAAAAAGACCAAGTTTTGCCTAAAAAGACTCTTTTTTGAGGCCCTACAAAATCTTTGGGGCCCAAAAAAATCTTTTGGGACACATGGGCCCCCCTGGATCCATCAGTGGACTTCTCATCATCTTTCTGTAAATCTAATTAATCCTCAAATGGATGGTTTTTGAACTCTGTTAGGACCCCAGAGCACATTATTTGCAATAATTGTATCAAAACTAATTATTCAATCTACATGAAATTCCATCTAATCCTCAATTCATTCATTTCCTTGAAGATGAAGCAAACCAGATGTAAGTCCCATAATTGTACTTCTCAATGCCTCTGCCTCATACAGTTAATACCGCAAGATGAGAAAACAAGAAAGAGGTCAATTGCAGAAAAATGATGATTTCATTCATAACAGTTGGGAGTTTTCTCTCATAAAGTTTTCTACTAATTGTTCATCTTCCTCGTTCTGAGGCATTGTGTAGGGGCTATTTGTTTGTTCATCTTGCCTAGGTCTGGGCTCACCAAGGGCATCTCGAAGCTTTCTCCAAAACACATCCTTTCTGTCTTCATCTTCGCTCCACTCAAGATATACACGAGTATCTAAAAGTGAGCGAAGTGTTGGTGTGATCAGTTCTTTAGGTAGAACATCAATTGGCTCCTTTAGAATAAGGACAACACAATCTCTCCCTCGGTTAGCTAGTTCACCTCTAGCAATGTTGAGTTCATAAGTGCACCATTTGCTACGAAGAAAGTTCTGGGAGATAATAAGAATGACTTTGTTGCTTCGGTTGATGGCATCGATGATGATATCAGAGATATAAGCCCCTGGTCTGAAGTTACGGTCATCGATACATATGCTGTAGTGGTGAATACCTACTAGAGTAGCATACAATGTTGCCTGTCCCCATGTTTTGTCAAGAGAACTGTAGCTTATGAAGGCATCAAAGTCATACTCATTCTCCTCATCATTGTTACGCTTGATTATTGCTCTGAACTGAAGGTACCAATAATGTAGTTTATACCGACGTCTATATGCAAGTATAGCCACACCAAGAAACAACAGCAAGATCCCACACGGAATTGTTCCAGCCAGTATTACAGTTTTCCAACAGGACAATTTCATCATGCCTATGTCTATCGCATGCATATTTACAACAGAATAATTGAAATACGTGCATTGTAATTCATCCCAATCCTCAATGTTTCTATTGTGGCTCTGCATCCAATCGATGAAATCAAATGAATGACAGCTACAGATAAGTGGGTTTCCACCCAAGTTAATCTTTAACTGATATGGTGAGATTTGATTCAAACGATCCACAAGATTTTGAATATATTTCGGCAAAGTCTGGAATTCATTATTGGATATGTTTAAGTACTCCAAGTGTTGGGCTGCATCAAGGTTCAGGTTCAACTGTCCCAGTTGGTTTCCATTCAAATAGATTCTTCTCAAATTTTGAGAATGTTTAAACATTGTGAAAGGGATTCCAGCCATGTTGTTATATGATAGATCTATTTCCTCAAGTCTGGAACAGTTATCGAACATTCCAACTGAAACATTGTCATTATGAAACTCCAAATTATTGTGGGACATATCCAATGTTTTGATAGATTCAAATGCACCACTTGTACAAGAAATTGTGGAAGGGAACCATGCAAGTGCAGTCATTGTAACTAAAATCAAACACCTCCAAGTGAACAAGTCCAAGGACTGGCCCTAAACGTTGTATAAGTTTCATATTTGAAAAATGAAAATATGTTAATGAATTATGTGTCTGAAATTTGATTCCATAGCTTAAGAAGCAGGGTTCCTTATAAATAATAGAGTTATCCAACTCAAAATATTGGAAACTTGGCAATGAAAAAATTATAGTTTCAGCAATATCCTTCGAAAGGATTTCAGATGAACCTGTTTTCTCCATCTGGCCACTGTTATGTGAAAGTATAAATTGCTCCAAATGTGTAAGATGGAAAAGTCGTTTATAAAGATTTCTATAGTCTACAGTCATTTGTATTGTATTTCTTGATAAGTCAATTAATCTGATCTTTGGTATATATACAAGGATTTCAATATCTATGTCTATGATTGCCAAATTACGAAGCCAAAGGAATTTGATTGGAGAATTTCTTAGGAGATTTAAATCCCCCTTTGTCACAGTTACAGGACTCATATCCATATTTCTAAAATCTATCGATTCGATTGTAGAGTTTTCCAATCCTCTAAATGTATCAATCCAGGTTCTTGACACGAAACGGTTCCTGTACAGATTTTTATCGTTTCCATTTCCCTGCACTGATAACTCCTTGATGTTAACAAGGGGACTAAATACGAGAGGATCCACTTTGTCTGCCAAATAATTATTGTTACTCAGGTTAAGGTGCGTCAAATTATTTAGTCCAGCAAAAGTTTTATTTCCTAGAGTAGAAATGTTGCTGTTTGAAATGACCAACTCTAGTAATTGTCCATAATGCCTTCCAAGCTCATAGTCATTTAGCATGTTCAAATCAGAGTAGCCTATGAGAAGTTTTGTTATATTTGGTAGACAGTCTGTTGGTAAACTAATAAGTTTCTCACAAACAACAGATGTATTTTTACATTCACATATGCTACAACATTCTCTGCTTACATTCCCATAGTTAATAATGAGGTCTCTTCCATTTTTATCATGACACAATAAAAATTCAAACATCAACATCATAATCATCAAAATGTGTTTCACAACTGAAGTCATCTTTCTGTCTTAAATGTTCATGTTAATAAACTCAATAATACTGAAGATAAACACAATTGCACAATCAATTGAATCAAATATGATGTATCTCCCACCCTTAAATACCAATTTTGATGAACCCCTCACTTAAAATCTTTAATAAGGAAGAGATATTAAAGCATCAAATTTTTCCTGCAAGCTTATCTCCATCAAATCAATGTTTTGACAAACACAGGGAAGAAAGAGATTTTGAGACAAGAAAGTGGTAGATATTTCCTGAAGTAAATTTTAAAATCCTTCTTGATATCTAGAAATTAGTTGCAATTTTATTGTAAGGAAGACAAAAAACATGGGGTAAGAAACGAAGTTTCCTGCATATGATTAACATTATCAGTGACTTCCTGATATGTGTCTCAGATCCGATCTAGAATTCAAAATCAATCAAGATGATAATCAAAACGAGAAATGATGACAAAAATTTTCCTTTTGAATTCCCAATTGTTGCTTAATCCAAAAAATAACTAGAAAGGTGTCGGTGAAATTGAACAGAGTTCAAGATTCTCAAAATTTTGACTAATATTTTGTCATTTTTTGGTCATCTTATATCAATTTAAGCCATTGGTCAGTTGGCTGGTTGGTTGTCTGTATCGTTGATTGGTTGAATGTCTGGCTGGTTTGTTGCTTGCTTGGTCGCTTCCTTACTTGGATAGTTGAGAGTGTGGTTAGTTGCTTGTTTATTTGATTGTTTAATTGAAAAAACAATATGTTGACATATGAAAATGAAAATGAAAAGAATGGGATTAAGTTAATGTGTAATATGCAAAGTTTAAATGCAGGGAAATAAACCCAGTATCACTTCAGTTCCTTTGCTTTGACATTAAAAAATGGGATTAAGTGAATGTGTAATATGCGAAGTTTAAATTCAGGAAAGTAAACCCAGTATCACTTCAGTTCCTTTGCTTTGACATTAAAGAATGGGATTAAGTGAATTTGTAATATGCAAAGTTTAAATACAGGGAAATAAACCCAGTATCACTTCAGTTCCTTTGCTTTTACATGAAAGAATGGGATTAAGTGAATGTGTAATATGCAAAGTTAAAATAAAGGGAAATAAACCCAGTATCACTTCAATTCCTTTGCTTTTACATGAAAGAATGGGATTAAGTGAATGTGTAATATGCAAAGTTTAAATACAGGGAAATAAACCCAGTATCACTTCAGTTCCTTTGCTTTTACAAGAAAGAATGGATACAGGGAAATAAACCCAGTATCACTTCAGTTCCTTTGCTTTTACAAGAAAGAATGGGATTAAGTGAATGTGTAATATGCAAAGTTTAAATACAGGGAAATAAACAGTATCACTTCAGTTCCTTTGCTTTTACATGGTTTACCCGGTGGTGAAATATGTCTTTATGCCAATCAAAATTAACAACCAAGTTGCACTTTAACTGCATTATTGACCCATTGAAGGTGGCAGTAACCATTCAGAATATCAATACACCCTTGTTGATCAATTAAGTTATACAAAGTAACTTAAATCCCCTTGAAGTTTGCCATTACGATGGCTTCCTATTATTGCTCAATGCAATTGTATATTACGCTTGACTTTCATTTCCGAAACAAACATAACTCAAAGGTAATTGTAAATAGGAAATGCTGTTGCCTAACAACACTGCCTTTATGGGTAATTTTGTTGTCCTAGTCGAAAATGAAAGAGACCTACTTTGAAACACCGACTTACATGTCATTTCCTTTCAAGAATGTAATTGTATTAAAAGCACATGTTTGTTAGATTTTCATTATATTTTCATTTTTAGACTAGGATGCCATATAATATGATTAAAAACAGATATATTACGAATATAACACAATCAGTTTTTGTTTTTGTCTGGAATTACTTAACTATTGAATGAATTGCATATTCAATACCAAAGCAAAAAATGTTTGTTGGGTACATTGCTTAACATATTTTATATCTCTCTTAATGTTCACTAATTTTTGTCGCACCCTTGGGTGCTATCTTGTATTTTGTGATCAGTTTTTATGTAAGCATATTTAACCCTGAGCAAATTTTCAAGATGGAAGATTTTGAAATTGAAAATAGATTTGAAGAGTCAAATCAGCAAAGAATAAAGTAAATAGGCATTATAGAAATGCAAGAAAATGAAGATGCTTATTTAAATTCAAAACAGTGTCATTAAATGTCAAGATGGTCATGCTTTAAAATGGGAAATTTAGTGGAAAAGAGTGGATTTAGCAAGGAATAAAGGTGAGACTATAATATGTATGTGAATATCAGTAAAGCAAACAGTTCTTTTCAATTTTAAAGAGAAAAAAACATAGATGGTCCATAGCATTGGGTACCCTTTGCAATAGTTGAATTTCACTCCTTAAAAGAGAGCTTCATCTTTATACTCAGAGCTTAAGTACAATGCTCTGTTTCAAAGGGTAGGCAGGGAAGAATTATTACAATGTACACACTTTCTTACTTAAACATGATCTCTTGATCATTTGACTAAAACATACATGAACATAATTCAATACATCTATTGTTACTTGATTTCCTTAGGATTGAAACTGCCTTGGGAATATAGAAATTCAATCAAGACAATACGGGAAATTATTACCATATCACCATGATAGACAATTGCATCTAATTTCTTCTCATCGGTTCAATCACATTTCGAGTGAAACAGACAGATGTGACTTTTAAGTATCAGAATGTTAATTTATAAAGAAACGATTTGTAGCAACAGACCTTTTAACATAGAGCTCAATGTCATAATTCACACGGAGCGATCAATAATTATGTAAAGGATGATTTAATACACAGACACTTCTTATTGATCAATTTCTTCTAGGTGTAAATAGTTCAAAACAAAAGCATGTCTCTATTTACGGATGTTTTATATTGACCCAATGTGTCTATGTCTAAAGATACTATTAACCTTCCCAAACCATACTATATCATACCATACCAAGGAATAAAAGTTATACAATACAATACAATACAATACAATACAATACAATGCAATACAATTTGATACAATACAATACAATTTGATATAATATAATGATTATATAATAAACTACATTGCCACACTATGTAATACAATACCATTTCATGTACCATACCATACCATACCATACCATACCATACCATACAATTCAATGCAATACAATACAATACAATTTGATATAATATAATACAATAGTATTATGTCGTACTACAATATTTATATTGCAAAGCACAAACTATTTCATATATGTTTCTACAGAAGTGATTTATGATGCAGTCTTTCTCTCAGTATTAAATATTTAATGGAATTTTCTTCAGCACGGAAATTTATCGCGACAACAAAGTAACCTTGTTCAAATGCAATCAAAACAAGATTGAATAGAAAGGTGATTTGACACAATCCGAGCCAATTAATCTAAATGCAATTACGATATTTGTGACATGCGAACAACACGCCTGATTTCATTTTATGAGAACTGTATTGTATATCTTCAATCTTTTTTAAAACTTGTCGTTATTTTTACATTTTGCAAGGAAACATAAATTCTATGTTTTATTCATGTCTTTCTGATAAAAATTCAGGGGAATGTAATGAATAGAACAATAACACAAAATAAATTGCTATTTGCTGTAGTGTAGTGTTAAAATATATGATGTTAGGCTTCCATTGTAACTCCAGTAGTGTAGTGTAGTGTAGTGTTGTGTAGTATAGTATAGATTAGTATAGTTAAGTTATAGTGAAATATAGTTTAGTGTATTATGGCTTAGTGCAGTACAGTTGTAATATAGTATAGTTTAGTTGAAGTGAAGTGTTATAGTGTAGTGCAATAAAGTGTAGTATAGTTATAATATAGTATATTATATTTGAAGTGAAGTGTAGTGTATTATAGTATAGTTGTAATATAATAATATATAGTTAAAGTGACGTGAAGTGTAGTGATGTTATTATAGAACAATTATATTAGGTTATGATATAAATGAAAAATAGAGTGGAAATAAATGTAATTGCAAAGATAAAAAAAAATTCATGTAATCAACTCTCAATTCAACTCTCATATAGTAAAGCCAGTTACAGTTAGTCTTGCATAGATTGTTTAGAAACACATACAGACTGTGACATGAATAAGAGTGAAAGAGGGGGAAGTACATGACATTGGTCAGGCCCGTACCTAGGATTTGCCAAGGGGGCGGTTCACTTTTTGGAAAATTCCAGGGGGGTTCCCTTTTAACAATTTTTTTTAAACAAAAAATTGGCCAAAATCACTTAAAAAGTGCTCAGAATGGTGAAAAACTGCATGATTTTGAAATAATTTTTGGCCAGGGGGGAGGGGGGTTCGCTTGAACCCATCTAACCCCCCCTGGCTATGGGCCTGTCGGTGCAGGACTAAAATCCCAGAAAACCAGGTATTCAGAATTAAAAGAGAAAAGCTTTGGAATAGACGTTATCAGAAAACAACTGAAATCCAATATTGTCAAGTAGCCATTGAGTACTGATACGCAATATAGATGTTCGTTACATAGCATTTTTACATTACTCTCAATTTTAAGAATATCACGTAAAGAAGTGTTTGTTAACTAGAAAAAAGACAAAAGATAAAAAGTAACAGTTGGATGTCATGATACTGTGCATTTAATGAATAAAATTGAGATGTGCATCTCATCTTTTCGTGCAATTACCCTGAAACTTGCAGTAGAATACTATACTCTGAGGGCTATAGATTGTATACAGTTAGAGCTTCATGACCCAGAAGTAGCTTTTATGGTCTTTGGAGTATAGAAATGTGAAGAATTACCACCTACTTGAGTAAAGGCATGCCATATTCTCTCTAATAAGCGCAAGGTTCACTTCCCAAATTGAAATTTAAAGGGTAAGATATTGATTGATTCTAATAAGCGCACTTACAAAAAATTAAGAAAAATATATCACCCATAAGCTTTTATGGTCTTTGGAGTATAGAAATGTGAAGAATACTAACTACTTGAGTAAAGGCATGCCATATTCTCTCTAATTAGCGCAAGGTTCACTTCCCAAATTGAAATTTAAAGGGTAAGATATTGATTGATTCTAATAAGCACACTTATAATAAATTAAGAAAAATACATCACCCATAAGCTTTTTAGCTGCTATCACTTAAAGGTTTACATACTCTTAACTACTGTAATTCTATCTCTGCATTAAATATTATCATCAATCGATATCTTGCTGTGTTTAATTCTTACAAAAGTTTCAAATAATCGGAACTATTACATCAAACTTTTGTTTTCTTGAGACCCTTTTCATAATAAAATGCACATTCTTTCTTCTGAGGAATTTATTCGATATTTCTGCTGTGAAGGATATTGTATACATTGAAGGGATTCTTTCTTGCGAGCCTATTTTTCTCTCTTGATATGGTAGCTAGAATAAGTTTTATACTATCCATATTTTGCATGTGATAGTGTTTTGATATGGTTAATATTGATCATTAAAGCGTAACCTTTATGATCTGCTAAGTTAGAATTTCTTTGCTGTTGACGTACAGGTGAAAAATCATTATTTTTGTATAGGGGATCAGGAATCAGAAATTAATACTGGAAATCGGGAATCATTATTTCAAGTACAGGTGATCGGGAATCTTTAAATCTGTTCTCATTGGAATCTGGTTATTGATGTCTTTTATTGTATTTAAACATTCCACAGTTATGATTATTATCTTATGATTTTATTCTCTTTGATATAAATGAAAAGTCTAAGTTTCTTTATACAGTTTTGAGAGTAAAATATCTGCCTGTTTTATAGTTCTAGCCAAGCTACAAGACCATGTGATCCCTATCTACTTGACTACATACCTTCTGTAGTAGGGGGGGGGGGGTCATAGGGGCTTGTAGCTAAACTAGTTTATCACTCTTTGCTCTTTTTCCTTGAATAGATCTATATGATTTTCCATTTTAGGATAAGACCACTGTATCATTTTTTTCATGGGGTTATTTTAAACAGTTATTGAAAGGTCAATATGATATTATCTATATTTTATTATCTCCAGTTCTATTCAGTATTTGTACACCAAATTTTGATAAGTTGTTGACATGTGATAGACTGATAGTGCTTCTTAAAAATTGTATTTTAGGGATAAAATAAGTATAGGTCCCTGGAGGGATATATGTCATTTCCAGTTTTTACTTAAAAAGTGCTCTTACTTATCCATTACCAGGCCAACATTTTCCTCTTAGCCTATCTTATATTCACTTTGGGAAAGGGTTAAATGTCCTATAACTATACAAAGCTTGGACTGAGCTATTCATTTGTATATACATGTACTATATTCTGAATTTCTTACATGCATTTCTACAATTTGAATTTATACTTTAAAAATGACATTTAGGTGATTGACCTTTTAGATTGCAAACTGTTTGAATAACTGATTTTCTCATACATGTATATATAATTTCTAGCTCAGATGTTTTATTATACTATAAAGAAAATATGATTGTTATTACATGTGTTATTGGTATCTCAGGACAATGTGTGCCTGTGGTACAACTGGATCCATGTTTAGAAAAACGTATGTGACACTAGCAATTTTATCCTGTGTTCCTCTGCTACAATCGCATCCATTCAACCTTTTATATGCAGATCCTCTCAGGAAAGAAATAATTTTCCTATACATTGCCTTATATGGGTTCCCATGTATGTATATCTATATAAGGATCAATTGCAAGCTTGTTTACTTTATTTCTTGCTGATTTTACTCTTTCCACTCGATTTAAAACATGATCAACATGTCATTTGTATCCTCTTGATTTTAATTGTTCCAATATTTTCCTTTATTTTCAGATACAAAGCTCGTGTTGACCTACTTGATTGCAAAGAAAAGTGTGTCTTGCATAGGACGTGTCTCATCCCGGAAGGAGAATATCTCCGTGAAATCTTGATTTATAACAGGGCAGATGAGATGGCGGAAGTTAAAAATGATGAGGGAGCCACTCCTCTTATGATAGCCTGTCAAGGGGGAAATGTCGACCAAGTTAATACTCTATTGGAAGAAAAGGTAAAGATCTAGAGTTCATACAGGTAGACGTAACCAGGGGGGGGGGGGTTGGATGGGTGTGATCGCAGCTTTAAAATCTTTTTTATTTGAAGCTTCTAGCTCAATTTTGAAGGAAGTTGCATCAATTTTTGTAAAATTCAAAACAAATATTTTTTTGGCTCGCGTATTCCAAAATCTCACCTACCTCCTGACTGAAAAGTGACATTTTTGGCAATCACACCCCTGTGCTGAAATCTGGCTACGCCCATGGGGTATACAATATAAATATGTTCAGAGGTTGTGATTTTTTGAATGGATATTGACAATTGAAGGAGTTGAGGGTGAGAGTGTGAAATCCTCATATGCATGAAGAACATGCAAAGTATAATGCTAGAGGCAATGTGTATGTTATCATTTTTGCCTCAATATCATTAATGTCCTGTCACTAATGTCAGTCAGATTGGTTCAACTTTAATTGGCCATGCCCAGCAAAACAAAGACAAGCCACATGTATAGTTCCCAACCTGATACTTTGTGATTACTAAGCATACTCAATTAGGGGAGGCATCAAAAGTTCGATGTCGGATAGAAAACTAAATAAATCTAGTTAGGGGGGAGGGGGTTCAAACCCATTTCAATTTGCTATCCGACAAATTTCAACATTTCAAATTTTTGGCAATTTCAACGCAGAATGCCTTGGAATGGTTTAAAAATAAAGATTTTACCTGATGCTTTCTTCGTCAAGATCATTCCAATGGATTCTATTCTATCAATAGTTGTTAAAAGCCGCAAATTACGATAGGAATTAACAAAAACTAGATCGTGTTTAGCAATAATTTTTCAAATTCTCAAACCGGAAGTAAGCGATCAACTTTCACGGTATTTAGTTTTGGGGGGGAGGGGGGGGGTCTGAGTCAAAACTAGATTTATTTAGTTTCCGATCCGACATCGAACTTTTGATGCCTCCCCTTAGGAGATTGATTTTAATCTGAAATTTTAATCTGAAAACTTCAGATCTGAGAAATCTAAGATGATTTTTTAACGGAAAACATGAACTACTGAGGCATGTTCTTCATCTTAAATACTGATTAATTGCATCTTGTATTCTCCTTCAATACTTCAAAAAATTTAAAACTACTGTTCTAAGAAACCTTTGTTCAAAAGATTGTTTTTACGTAAAGGAGCCAATTGTTATTTTCATATTTTTTTGTGAATGTTCCAGTTTTTTTGTGAATGTTCCAGTTTTTTGTACAAAAATCAACCTTCCTAACATATCTGCAACTTTGGGGATTTTTGAACAACGAATCAATAGTCTGGAACACTACCGTCTTTTAAGGGGTAACAAAATTAGTCCCTATATCCTAACTGTGCCTCTGTGAAAGTGCCTTATTTTCTGTTAATGCTGAATTTAATTCAATATATAGTATTTCTTACTTCAAGGCATTCACTGTAAATACAAATCATATATGTGAAAAAGTCACAAAATGAGAGCATTTTTATCAATATATATGGATATTGCTCCTTGTAGAAAACTGGTCTTATCCAACCACCACTAGGAGTTTCCAAAAGCATTTGAATTAGTTCACATTCAATTAAGGTTTCTAGATATATCAGTCAATGGGAGATAGCAAAAAGAGGACCAAAAAATGTTTACATGAAAAGGGGTTTGGATTAGAGAGTTGTTGAGATATTTTACTGTGCTATTTGGTTTCACAAATTTCAAAATTTGGGCCCACTTTTGGGTTTTAGGGGCAAGCGCGGAAGTTTTTTTCTCTGACCTGAAATTTGCCCCCCCCCCTTTTTGGTTCCCAGATCTGTGCCGGGTTTATTTACTATAGAATGATTTACTGGACAGAAACTGTAACAATGCTTTTCTAATAAATCTAAATTGTCGTTTTATTGAAAGTAAATTGCATCCTGAGCTAGTAATCACCAATGAATAACACTTACAGTATATGTGGCAGTGTCAGTCAGAGATTTCAACTTATATTAATGTTAATGTATGGTTCAGTCTAAGAGTACCAATGTGTATTTTTCATTTCATTGAAAGATCTAATGGAATTTCATTCCTAGGTATTAGTATTCACATACAGTAAAACCTGTTTATCTGAACTTTTCTCTAATCTGAACACCTCTTTATGTGAACACTGTTTTCTGTTCACTTTTTAATTTTGCATAGACTAACATAGATGTTAGAAACACATCAAATACAAACACCTGCCAATCTGAACATTTTAGGCCCCAGTGATGTTCAGATAAGACAGGCTTCACTGTATAATCATCAAAGCACTTACCATTCTCTGAAGTAGACAATGTCTGTTGTGTTACAATACACTGAAGCATTCTATAAACTTGAAACATTTGTTCTGGGAATTCAAGTGTGTATAATTTCCTAGGAGAAGAACTTTGATTTACACAGTGTTTTCTTGTATTCATTTTCCCAAAGGATTTTATTGAAAAATGTCCAGTCTAATCTCCATGTTAAAAAAAGTTCAAATGCTTTTTTTTTAACAAGAGTTATAACTTTAAGGTTATATCACAATCCACATGTCACAAAAATCAACTAGTTGCATGCAATGGTCTAAATTAATCCATTTGGAAAGCAATACATAAATAAAAAATGAAGTGACTGTTGTTATATATCTCAGTATTATTATATATGATTGTAGACACTACTGACATCTATACTATGTATTTATCTATTTTCATTGAGTGATATGTTTATTAGAGTCTTCTACAAGGAAAATGCTTGCATTTTTTTACACCACTATTATCAGACGACATGTAATTTCTAATAGACACTGGTACATTTGGTAAAGGAGAGGTTCAAAGAGCAAATGGGGCCCATTTTCTTCACTGAGGGTCTAAAATGGGAATCTCTGGCCTCTATTTTGGAGAAAATGGCCTCAAATTTCAAAATTTCCTAGTTTTTCTGGGCTTTCATGGGAAATCCTGGTTTAGAGCCTTTATATAAATGTTCTAATTCATTTCAATCGAAAACTCCTAAAAGAGAGTTTATTTTTTATTTCCAGACTAGTCTCTTAGATATTGATTCTACTGGTAAAACCTGCTTACATTATTGTGTGGAAAACAAGGACACCACTGTTGCTGAAATTCTCCTTGAAGCAGACACAGACCATAAACTATTACAAATTCAAGATGAAGAAGGATACAATGCAGCTCATATGTGTGTCATTGCGGGCAACAGTGATCTCCTGAAAGTTTTGCTAAAAGAGGGCACTGAGATAGAATGTACTGATAAAGAACAGCATACTGCTGTACATTGGGCAACAGGTATGATTTTATCTATAATTTACAGAAAGTGTAATAATTGCAAGATCTGAAAAGGTACTTCCGTGAATGTCAGAGCTAATTGCATTCATTACATAAATTAGAGAAAAGACGGGAATTAATTTTTGATTTTATAATGTTTGTAGATAATTTTTTTTGTAACATATCCCTACCTACTAAATTCTGCAAATGGTTAACTGAACTAAAAAAATCCATTTATAAAAAACTAAGAAGATATCAAAGGAGATTTTGCAGTTCATTCCGTTCACTTTTTGAACACCCTGTAGATTTTTACATTTTATGACTTGAACAATGGTTTCATTTCAGTTTGTGGCCAAGAAGAGATCATAGATATACTATGTGAGTATGATGCTGAACTCTCAAAGCCTGACATCCATCATGCATACCCCCTTCACTATGCTGCCCAGATGTGCGGAGAGGAGGAGGGAAATGATCCTGTTACGGGGTTAGCCATCTTGAAAAAACTGCTTTCCAAGGACATCACTATAAATGTAGAAGACAGTGATCAGAGACAGCCACTGTTGTGGGCAGCTAGTGCTGGTACGTGATTATTTAATGTGATATTGGGGTTTTTTTGGGAAAGTTTTTCATGTTTCCCTTTTGGGAGCTGTATAGGACTGTTGGTATAGCCTACCCTACGTAAATCTATATCTGCCCGCTGATGAAAATATAAGTTTTTACAAACTGGCTTTATGTACCTGTAACACATCCAAGTTTGGGAAAGAATAAACTACAGGATAGACACAACTGTACAAATTGATTGACACTGATTTGAACTATGGAATAATTGAAAGAATTGTAAATGTGAAACATATCTTGAAACATCATTGGTCTAATATATGCTTATTATCAATAACTCAAGTATATTCTTAGGTAATCATTTTAAGCGTTCTACTTAAATCAAGAATTGTTTTTATCGAAAAAATATTAAATCTTAGAACAGTTTTGCTTTTTTATTTTTGAATTCATAAGTTTTAATTGAATTTTGTGAAATAGTAATTGATGCCTTAAATTGGGAATTAAATATTTTGTTTAACAGTAATAAGGAGCCAAGAACAAAGGGCAACATTTGAAAACACAAATCAGAATCAAACAATTAAAATAAGGCACTAATATGAAATAATGTAATCACATTGTAACAATTGTTACAATCATGGCATACTATCACATAAAATGGAGGTCCTATATTAGAGTATGCCAATTTGAAATATTCATCTGTTCAGGGCTCAGTTATAGCAAATTGGTTTTCAGGACTAGGTGGAAGGGGGAGTGATTCTGTTTTATAATACCTTGTATATCTTAGTACAATTCTGCTGCAGTATAGAGTTGAATGTAGTTTAGCAACCTAATCTCTAACACCTAGTTCCCATTGCTCAGTTTATAACAAGATATTGTGGTATCCATGCAGTGTGGCTGTTTGGCTCATGATTATGTAAACACAATGGTAGCCCCATAGCCAAAAGGTCTTGCTATTACCCCAAAAATATTCAAATGTACCTTAGAAATTACTCTGGACATTTTAAAGTCAGATTTCAATAATACTTTGTTCAAAATTAGCATTTTTGTCAATTTTAGTAAATGTTGGCACAAATTACTTCAATCTGATAGAAAAAACAATTTCTTTTAAAATTATTTCAATTAATTGTGTTTTGTTTGTATTTGTATTTGCAGGTAGTGGAGATGCCTGTGCAGCTTTGGTGGATTCAGGGGCTGATGTCAATGCAGCTGATAAAGATGGCCTCAATGGTAAACACTCTTTCATTACTATAAAGCCACTGACCCCTTGTCATATGTCAATGTTTACAGTTTTTAACATTACATGATACATCGCTTTATCTCAAACTATGAGAGAAATTTTGAATTTCACTAATAAGTTGAATTATCTTACCTTCTTGAATTTTACTTGTCACAACTTTAAACTGCTGATATCAAAGAATGAAGTTCTCAGGTAATCCTCAGATAACGAGAATTTGTTTATATCTGATAATTGAAAATAAGCTTATCAACCTTCCTGAATTTGATATTTAAAAGTCAAAGAAGTACAAAAGGAATATTTTGCGACCTATAAAAAGCTGAAAACAGCAAATACATTTTTGCCCTGAATAATATTTGTAAAAAACTGGGTAAAACGGGGAAAAAAAATTTCTTGTTGCTGTGGTGATGGGGCATGAGTTTTCAAGAAAAAATATTTGCCTGTTCTGACTAATGCAAAAATGGTAAATTGTTTCTTATTTTAGCTCTACATTGTGCAGCATCACGTGGCCACACCGCATGTGTAGAAGCTCTAGTCAAGACTTGTAAGGCAGCAATTGATTGTGATGACAAGAATGGGTGTACTTCATTGTTTTATGCCATCACAATGGATCACCTAGAAACAGCCAAATTGTTGTTGGAGCTAGGTGCATCACCCAATCATCGGGATAAGAAAGGACGCAGGTATGTTAAAAACACTTACTGTTCTCCCGGTATTCGCGTGTAATTTAATTTCGCGCTTTTCGCATTTGTGGTAATAATGCAAAAATTAAACTTCGCAAAATCACATATTCATCAGGATAAGAAAGGACGCTGGTATGATCAAAACACTTACTGTACTACCGACAAATTAGTTTCATGCTTTTCGCGATTCAGGTAAAATCACAAAAATTAATATTCACAAAATTGTCAATTAAATCCCCAGTGATTTGTAATATTTTTCATTACCTGGGACTCCATTGCATTAAGTTTGTCGAGTGTTATCAGGCGATAAATCAATGGGATACTAAGCAACAATGTTATTGGCTTATTAGCTCAAATAAACCCAAAAATGACGATGTAGGAGACGATGCAGCATGTCATTTACCAAGATAACATCAGGTAGGTATACTTATTTCACATGAGGTTACTATATCAGTTTATTACAGGAATTGAGGATTCAGAAAATAATGAAATTTTAATTTATGAAATTCGCGAAATTCAATAGCCGCAAAATTGTGTTTTGTCAAAATTTGCGAAATTAAAACTTGCGAAATTGACTGGGAGCACAGTGTGTAAAAATAAGTAAAACTGGGTACTAAGGCTTATGCCATCTATATTTGAATAATGAAGTAGTGAAGATGCCATTCCAGTGACATCTATATTGAATGATTATATATTTATAATAGATTTGTTGTGATACAATAAAATCATAATTTTATAGCTTATTAAATAAATGAAACAACAAAAAAGTGTTTGGAGCTGTAGAAAGTATATTGTATAATCACATGCAATGTTACATAAGATTACATAACAAAGTAATCAGACAGTGAGCCTATGGGATCGACTTGGCCTCCGTCCGTCCATTGGTCCGTCCGTCAACATTGGCCGCACAAATTAATTTTTATATTTTAGTCCTCATAAAAAAAGAACAAAACAACAAGACATTTTTTGATCATATACTGTCTTCCATTTCAGTCCTGCTCATTGTGCAGCATCCAAAGGCAACCAAAGTGGAATAAGTTTGATCTCAGAGAAGGGTGGTGACATCTGGTTGAAGAACTCTAAAGGGGAGTTACCCTTACACGAGGCCTCACAAGCTGGACATAAAGGTACACTGATTAACCCTAAAAAATGACCCAAAAGGCGCCCCTGGGAATGACTAACTAACGAGTATAGTGTTACAAGCGAGATAAAGAAATTAAAAGAAAGTGTGGTGAATTTAATGCCCCGTGTGGGAATCAAACCAAAGTCTGATGCTCCACCAACTGAGCTATAAAGACTTAAGCCGCTACATGTGGGCCGTAGTCCCACCTTATATCAAGGGTCACCAGTTCCCAGAATTTTTTAATGAGGGGGGGGGGTAGTAATTTCCAAATTATTAAATTTGAAGAAAATATCTGGTTAGGTTTCTATATTTTTGTCTTGCACATGTTTTGTATCTTTAATTCTGAACTTTTAATTTTTAATAAAAGCAACTGTCTTCTAGGAAACTGCGATAAGTCTGTTTGGAACAAAACTACAATGTTACTTTTGTTTTCCTTCAACTTAATTCTTCAACAATTGATTGATTTTGCTCAAGTATATTTTACAAATTACAAGTATTGTATATTTTTACACGTGCCTTTTTCAGCACTTGTCACTCAAATTATGTCTGATGAAAAGCAGAGAGAGAAAATGTTGGATAATCTCAACTCAAGTAACTCTGACGGGAGAACGTGTCTCCATCTAGCGGCCATGACCAACAATTTAGAGCTTTGTAAATTGTTTCTCGACAATGGTGCAAATGTTAATGCTTTAATGTTTTACAAGGTAAGATATTTTAATGAGAGACAGTTTTGCCAAACTTTTTTATGAGAGTGTATATCTATTATTTGTATGCCTTGAATTCTCACTGTACATCTTTCAGTATCAAAGTGTTAAAACAAAATAAAAGATTTTCAAAAAGATGCGCATTTTTCAGTGATCTTTCCAGGATTTTTCAACAGGGTACTAAATCCTGTTTTTACCTAATTTGGTCAAGAGTCCTCAATATTTCACCTTTTGGCAGGGTGCAACCATATTTAGACATCAGGTTGCACATTATTTAAGATTTTCATCAGGGTACAAAGTCCTGTTTTTACCTTATTTGGTCAAGAGTTCTCAATAGTTCACCTTTTGGCAGGGTGCAACCATATTTAGACATCAGGTTGCACATTATTTAAGATTTTCATCAGGGTACAAAGTCCTGTTTTTACCTAATTTGGTCAAGAGTTCTCAATAGTTCACCTTTTGGCAGGGTGCAACCATATTTAGACATCAGGTTACACATTATTTAAGATTTTCAACAGGGTAGAAAGTCCTGTTTTTACCTAATTTGGTCAAGAGTTCTCAATATTTCACCCCCTTTTCATCTTCTATCTACTGGTTGTATTTTTATTGGTCATGGAGCCACTTCCCTGGCTACGCCTGGGTACTATAAAATATTCAAATGTTAATTTGTAAATGTAGGCAATCTGATCAGTTTTGTTTAGTTCAAACTGAAATTCTTGCATTTTTCAGAATAAATATTTGACACCGTATGATACAGCTGTTGTGAAAGGACATAAAGAATGTGCGGAATACTTAAAATCCCATGGTGCAACAGCAGGAGTTAAAGTAGCCAATCACAACGCATCAAAAATCCAGCGTCAGTTCCGTAAAAATCAAAAGAAAGAGGAGCCACCGGAAGAACCACCAAAGACTCCCGAAGATGAAAAGTCTGTTATTGAAAGTGAAAAACAAAATGAGGAAGAAAATGTGAATGTGATATTAGAGAATGAAAAAGACAGTGAGGATGAAAAAGAAGAAGAGGAGGAGGCAGAGAAGGAGGAAGAAGTAGAGGAGGATAATGTTGAAGATAATGAGGAAGATAAAGACATTGATGAAACAACACCACGACAAAAGAAGAAACGGACCAAATCGGGAAACCAAGACTCCCCATTGGCTAGAAGTGTACGAAACAGTGTGAAAATATATGAACAAACCAGATCGACGATTCAAAGTCTACAACGGTTAAAACGTATGCAGATCTACCTTGGTGGTCAGTTAACTGAGACGATGCTTGTGCGGAAATTCAGGGAGAGCGAGAAGCAACTACGGAAATTGGCAACTGAAGAACATGATATCACAAGTTCTAACCAATGGGAGCAATATTTACTAGGTCAGTCCATATCTTACCTTTTTGCTTAGTTATTAACTTTTAACGACAGATATTTTGTTCCAATGACTTGATGTTTTTAACATTTAGAGGCACTATTTGTAAAAAGGGGGCACGAGGTGGCACAGGTCAAATTTTATATTTCAAAAGCCATTGGGAAGCCAAAATATATCATTTATTCTTCTCACAGAAAAAAGTTTAAGTCCAAAATCAAATTGTCAACTTTCCATATTTCAAAATACAAGAACTATTTCAGAATATTTTAGACAATTTCTTGGCAATTTTATTTTTCCCGGGATTTTTCCAGTCCAACCAATTATTTTTACGTTGAGCCTTTGAATATTATTTTTTAAAAAAGTAAAAACAACTCATTCTTTTAATTGCTCTTTGTATTCTTTGTACCTTGTATGTAAATAACGCTCTATTATCCCTTTATAATTCTGTTCTTACATGTTTGAAGATTTAGTATCTCGATATTATATAGGTATTCATGTTAATAGAACATTGGCCTTGCAGATTTTTGAATTCCCATTGAATTCTTCGCCATCTATTGACAGTTATCAAAACTGCACTCATTAAAGAGAATATGGTACATGTATAAAAATAATTAATCGATTTTCAGATTTATATTCAGTGATCTCCCCGGCATTAAAGCAAGTGGGTGAAACACCAACTGAGATTTTAGAAACAGGCTTGCACCCACCTGATATTTCATTAGCACCCACTTGAACTAGAGAAAAAATCATTAAAAATGGGCATATTTTGACCAATTTTGGTCCAAATTGTGAAAATGAGAATTTTGCACCCATTTCAGAAAAAATCCTGAGATCGCTGATATTGTTTTCATTCAATTAAATTAGTTATTCTATACGGGAACTATGGTCTTTTGTATTGGGTCAATGATTGATCTTAACCTATTATCATTTTTTCCAATTCTTGCCATTTTACTGAACTTCAGTTTGGTATTGAATTTGGTCATGAGCTAGAAACGCCATAGTTTCATAAAGTGTTATTATGTATTTGATTTTGATTTTAGAGAATAAATATTTTTCATAAAAAAAAACAAAAAAAACACATAGAACTATGACACATATTTCAAAATTTGAAACGTTAAACGTTGAAAAAACAATTTCAGTGAAAACTGTCTTAACCCTCTAGGGATTCAAAAGGTTTAACATGAGTAGAATTGTGTTATACACAGTGCTTACAGGGAAAATCTATAAAAAGTATAAAGGTGTATGTTTTGATTTATCTCAGATCATGGGCTTTCAAAAAATTGAAAATAAAAGGAAATTAGTAGAATAGGGAAAATGGTCAATACAGGAATTCAAGAATATTAAGCTGTTCATTCAAAATTTTGAAAAGAGCATGAAATAATTAAAAAATATAAAAACTGAAGAGAACTCAGGGCAATATCATGTTATAATGATATCCTCTCCTTTGTATAGAAAATTCTATTAACATCGACCATAAAGAAAACATGGAGAAAATCGGTATATTGTGACATCCTATGTATAGTTATTGTCCCACCGAACGAGGTTTGTAGGGATAAAGAGAAGCCATCTGTTTGTCTATCCGTCCATTACTTTGTTCGGGCAATAACTCAAATACCAGTTGATGGATTTGGATCCTTAATAGGCTTATAGGTAAAGGACTTCTGCGCAAGAAGGAATTTTCAATATGGTCATTCAATTCAAAATGACCACCATTTTCGTAAAAATGTAATCTTTGATAACTCAAATACCAGTGGACTGATTTGGTCAAAAAAGGTTTTATATGCTGATGACTAAGGACATAGGAACTCTAGACAAACATGAAATTTTGAAGAAATACCATTTATGAACCAAAATAATGGAATTTGGTCTAAATTTGAGAGGCTGATATCTTATGCTCAAGAAGGCATTTAATATCGTTGCTTGTTTCAAAAAGGCTGTCATTTTTCAGAAAAAATATGCCAAATATGAACTCAACTACTTTTCAAGTTACAGCAGAAATTGTAAAATAGCATGCAAAGGCCACCATTTTTCAAGATTGCTGACATATGCTTCTTAAATATCAAAATTTCTAGTTTTATTAATGTCATATTAAAAAATTGTCCCATATACGAAAATTGGCACTAAAATGGCCACCATTTTTAAATGAGTGGCCATTTTGAAAATCGGCCTTTGAGCAGAACTTCTACTTCCATAGGGTATATGTGATGAACAAAATTGAGCCAACGGTATGAATTATTGGATGGATGGATCGACGGAGATGTTCCCTCTAGAAAAAGTGATACATGTACGTCACTGCAGTGCTTCCTGACTTCAGATTAACCCCCATTGTCTTGCCAAGAAGATTTATTTTGAAATGGTGATCAATAATATCAGGGGCATAGTGTAAAGATCGTGGTATCATTGATTTTTGTTCTTGTATATGTATATAGCTGTTTTACCTCATTAACATGAACTTGTATTGATTTGTCAAAGACGCACATCATGCAATGTTCTCCCAGAAATAGTGTTATTTATAATATCAGCATGAACTCATCACTCAGTATTTAGTTACATTGTAAGTTAGGGTTTTATGGTAAAATGTATTCTTTGCATATGTTTTTGCAAATACTCAGAAACCAACCTTTGTACTGGTTGCTTCTAATACTTTTACTTCTTGAATGTCTGTCTGACTCTAATATTGGTTTGAAACCAAAGAATTTATCATTTTTGCTAGCTTTTGACATTCTATTTTTAAGAGATTCCTCACCGAGTAAACTTCATGACAAGTTCCAAATTGAATGATTTGCATCTTTTTCAGTTTTAAAAGGCAGCTAATTCTCTTTCTTTATATGTAATAGGAACAATTTTTGATAATTTGAAAGTTGATAATTCCAGAAAAAATGATTATTGTTAAGTCCATTGATTGTGTAAATTAAGTATTATTATGCATGAATCAAAAATGTTTAAGGATTATTTAGGATGTGAATTATTACTATTAAGCCCATTGATAATGAGCAGTACCTCCAAGCTATTTTTTCCACAAAATATATTTTGAGTATACTACTTGAGAACCAATGGAAAATATGTTACAATACCCATTTAATTGGGACATTGCATGCCATCACCTAAGCAACAAACAACATATAAGTAATCAAACAATTAAAATTTATCTTAGATATTAGGCGGCAAGTTATAAGGTCATGATCAATACTATTTTTCCAATACTAGCAATAAGTGTGCTTGTATTAATAGGTGCCATTTTGTGTCAGCTATTGAAATCAGATATGCTCCATAATGTACTCGTGCTAATTATTTTACTAAAATAAATATTAATGCGATGTTTTCTTCAAAATAATGTTTGCCGGGAATATACATTTATGTTACAATTTTATCGATATAACTAAATGTTACACTTGTTATAGTGTGTTAGCAGTATTTATTTGAGTATTTTAACATTATGTGAATTGAGTCAAAAAATTTGAATTAGTAATTTAAAATGATATTACAATACAATTAGAGGATTTAAGGACAAAGCCTAGATTTAAGGACAAACAACGATTTTAGGACATCCAAAAACAGGATTTCATAGAAAATGAATCAATTTTGTTTTAGTCTGATGAGTTTTTGTAGACAAAGCATTTCCTTGTACAAAGACAATGTCGTTGAACGATATTATGATTAAAGAATAAATCACTTTTATGGATACATCATATTGTGCTGGCAAAGGGAATTCAAATGAATAATTTATCCAACGGAAAGTAAATTGTGATAGGCGCTAGGATATAGACCCTATTCTATATAAGAAACATGAAATGACTGCTACACATTCTAAGGATGGGGTATTCTCTTACGTCTAACATGAAATATTCATGTTGCTCAATACAGTACCACCACGCATATTAAAAAACAATACAAAATCGCACGTATCAGGATATTTTTCAATATACAACATGGGAACTTGATTTCTAAAATAAATATCGTAACCTTCATATGCATTATACATTTCGCAATGGATTGCGATGAAAACTACACAATAATTCCGATGGTTAAAAAAATGGAATCCATTTCTGTTGCAGACCAAATTAGCTTCCTGACGAAAGTTTCTCATAGCGACCACCCAGAGTTCCGGAGTGTCAAGGCCATGGCGAAGGTATGTCTCTAGTTATTATTTTCTGTTATGTTTCAGTGTCAATGCACTCATTTTTGTACATGGAATGTTCTAAATTGTTTCTGAGTTTCATTTTCATTTTCTTTAGTTTGTTGAAATGTTTTATGTAAAGAATATTGCTTTTTGTTGTTATTTTGTTTTGTTTTCAATTTTGTATTTCTATTTTAAAGATTTTTAAATTAATATAATTTTGTTATTGATTTTGGTTTGTTGGTATATTGTTTGTATATTGTATACAGCAAAACCTGTGGTTGTGAGCATCTCTCTAACAAGAAACATTTAAAGGGATATTCCTTGCAAGCCCATTTCTGTCACATGGAAGCTAAACCATGAAAACACTTGTTAAATTATTCTTAAAATTGCATGATTTTCTTTCTAGGAAGACACTATTGTTGAAGAGGTAACCATCACCTACACAGCCAATATAATTCGACGCCGTTTCGGCATCGAACAAATTCGGCACCGTTCCGGCACCGTTTCGACACCGTTCCGGCACCGAAACCTTTCAACACCAAAATTTGCTACTGGACTAGTCAGTCCATTTGGTGCCGAAACGGCACCGAAATTTGGCACCGAAACGGCGTCGAAAATCAGATTGCATTTTGGGGGTGTATAGCTAGTTATAAAACTTAATTTTGCTTTCTAGTATACAAGTACAAATAGGATATGATTTTTTGGTATCTTGGGTAGTAAACAAAAGAATAAGACCCCTTAGTGTAACCACCATACCATGTTTTATACAGAACACCAATGGTATTGGGATTTGACAATATAAAAAACAAAATAATTGATGGAGGGGGGCTCTGATTTCTTTGATAGTACCCATGATATTACATTCTATAATGAAGCATAAGATATTGACAGTATCATGGGTGATATTTGTATTGACCGGACACCCGCTTTACCCAATACATTGATTTTATACCTGCTTACTTTATTGATCTCTAGTCTACCCTAAGAGGGATTTTTCACGGAAGTCATTAAACTAAATAAGCTTGCTTTTCCTTTCTGTATGAAACACAAAGCATATTCATTCACGCAAGTAGCAAATACAACTGCTTCGTATTTTATGAATTTCAGCTTATGGATCCATTGAATCTCATAATACTGGCTTTGTTAGCTTTGCTCCTGCCCTTTGACCACGCTTCCCAGTTTTCCATTTTTGAAGAACGCAGATAGAATCTGCTTTGGCGCATAGATTTGTAGAATGATGATGAATATTTGCGATTACCTCTGTAATGTTTTCAATGGCTCCAATATGTTTCAATGGCAGCGTTTCAATTTGCTTTTCTGTTGTTCTATTAAACAGCACTTCTATGACTGGATGAATAATTCTGGGAATATCATTGTCATATTTCTTTTATTTAGACTGAAGGGAAACCATGCAGATCTCTTACAGAATTTTATTTGGAAAAATCTACAATTCAACTTTCAAAAAACTAGGAGTCCTTTTTGCTCCTCCTTTCTACTCCCACTAAAAGGTTTTGAGAAAAATAATAATTTAGTGAGAGAGGCATGCTAAATAACTCCTTAATATTTTTAAAATTTAACTTATTTTTAGGGTCGCAGAAATCATTGTAGGCATTCAAGAACTGGTTCTGCGACAACAGCAAGGAGGGGTAGAATCCCTGTGGGTAAAGCCCCTGGGAATGTTGACCCTGAGGGTGATGCCAAGGTAGCTTTCTAGCATGACTATTTCACTATAGCATGTAGACTGCTGGCTTACAAGTTTAGTCACTGTACAACCATGCATACAAATACTGTTTTTAATACGCTGTAAAACAAATATTTCTAGCATTTTGAATTCTCTCAAAGACATCACAAAAGAAATTCAAAATGTTAGTTTGTTTTGAAATTATGAAAATTGCATATTTCAACAGTGATAAACCCAATTGGGCAAATCATTTGCTAAATTTTAGGCAAGAGCTGGTAATTTTTACTGCTTTTAGACTTCAACTTCTCAAATTTCCATTGAATAATGTCTGAAGAGATGTTTCTGAAATATTTTGGCAAGGCAAGTGCCCCACTTACCTCATCCATGGGAATTACTGGTTTTACCTAAATGTGCATTAATAAAGTGGAAGTGCTGGAATCACATTTTATTGTATTTTTACTGAAAGGCTTGTTTAATACCATGAGATAAAAAATGTAACAGTCGACTATTTGAGAAGGAAATCTAGTCGTTGTTATCGCTCATTGTGTTCACTGGAATTTCAAATTCTCTATTGTTGATCTGATTTGAAATACATGTATTGGGAAGACACTGATAATGTTCAAAAGCAGGAACATTTTGTTACTTACCCCATGTTTTTTTTGTTTTCCTTACATGTATTATTCGCTCATCATTAAATTCTTGATAACAGAAACAATTTCAAATTCAACCTTTTGCTTGATCTCAAGGTCTTTTTTCCCTATTTTAGTCAAAACATATTGATTTGATGGCAGTCAGTGAAGATAAGTTTAAGGGAAATGTTTATGCTTTGATATCCTTTCCTTATTTTAAATTGATTTAAATGACAAGAGTTTGTATTTTTGGAAATTTTCTGTTTCTCTTCAGTAGTATCAGTTTATAAATCATACTAAGCCTCAGACTGAACATTCAAGTGGAAAAGATGTCTCAAATTGCGAAACACATTTGGGTGATTATGGTGTTGATGTTTGAAGTTTCATCATGTCATGATAAAAACAGAAAAGACCTAATGCAGTATGGAAATGCTGGCAGAGAATGTTGTAGCATATGTAAATGTGAAAATGAATCTGTTGATTGTGATAAACTAACTAGTCTACCGACAGATTGTCTACCAAATATAAGAAGAATATAAGAATGTGCTAAATGACTATGAGCTAGGAAGGCTCTATGGACAATTACAAGAGTTGAATATAGGGGATAACAACATTTCTACTTTAGGAAAAAATACTTTTGATGGGCTAAACAATTTAACATGCCTCAGCATGTTTGACAATAAGTATTTGGCTGACAAAGTGGATCCTCTAGTATTTAGCCCCCTCTTTAACATAAGAGAGGTGTACGTCTGGGGAAATGGAAATGATGAAAATCTTTACAGAAACCGCTTTGTGTCAAGAACTTGGATTGATACATTAAAAGGATTGGAAAATTCCTCAATTGAATCGATAGATTTTAGAAATATGGATATGAGTCCTGTAACTGTGACAAAGAGGGATTTTTGGTACTTGAGAAATTCCCCAATCAAGAGACTTGTGCTTCGTAATTTGGCAATTGTTGAAACGGATATTGAATTCTTTGAATATATACCAAAGGTTCAAAGTATGGACCTGTCAAGAAATACAATACAAATGACTCTAGACTTCAGAAAGATTTTTCTACTATTTTTTAAACTTGTACATTTGAAAGAATTTATATTTTCACAAAACAGTAGACAAATGGAGGAAACAGGCTCATCTGAAATCCTTTCAAAAGATACTGCTGAAACTACAATTTTTTCCTTGCCAAACCTTGTAAGATTTGAATTAGGTGACTCGGTTATTACCAAAAAACCCTACTTTTTAAGCTATGGAGTTAAATTTCATAGAGATAATGCATTAAAATATATTTTGATTTCACATGTGAAACTTTTACAACGTTTGGGGCCAGTTATTGGGCTTGTCCATTTGGAGGTCGTTAATTTTAGGGACAATGACTGCACTTGGTTCCCTTCAACATTTTCTTGTGCTAATGACGCATTTGAATCTATTGAATATTTGGATATATCCCACAATCAGTTTGAGATTCCCAATGATAATATAACAATTGAAATGTTTGATAACTGTTCCAAACTTGAGGAAATAGATCTGTCATATAACAACATGGCTGAAATCCCTTTCACAATGTTTAGAAATTCTCAAAATTTGAGAAAAATCTATTTGAATGGGAATCAACTACAACAGTTGAACCTGAACCTTGATGCAGCAGAACACTTGGAGTATTTAAACATATCCAATAATGAATTCCAGACGTTGCCGAAAGATATTCAAAATCTTGTGGATCATTTGAATCAAATCTCACCATATCAGTTAAAGATTAATTTGGGTGGAAACCCACTTATTTGTGGCTGTCATTCATTTGATTTCATTGACTGGATGCAGAGTCACAGTAGAAACATTGACAATTGGGATGAATTGCAATGCACATATTTCAATTATTCTGTTGTAAATATGCATGCGATAGACATAGGCATGATGAAGTTATCCTGTTGGAAAACTGTAATACTGGCTGGAACAATTCCGTGTGGGATCTTGCTGTTGTTTCTTGCTGTGGCTATACTTGCATATAGACGTCGGTATAAACTACATTATTGGTACCTTCAGTTCAGAGCAATAATCAAGCGTAACAATGATGAGGAGAATGAGTATGACTTTGATGCCTTCATAAGCTACAGCTCTCTCGACAAAACGTGGGGACAGGCAACATTGTATGCTACTCTAGTAGGTATTCACCACTACAGCATATGTATCGATGACCGTAACTTCAGACCAGGGGCTTATATCTCAGATATCATCATTGATGCTATCAACAGAAGCAACAAAGTCATTCTGATTATCACCCAGAACTTTCTTCGTAGCAAATGGTGCACTTATGAACTCAACATTGCTAGAGGAGAATTATCCAACCGTGGCAGAGATTGTGTCGTCCTTATACTAAAGGAGCCAATTGATGTACTCCCTAAAGAATTGATCACACTAACACTTCGCTCCCTTTTAGATACTCGTGTATATCTTGAGTGGAGCGAAGATGAAGACAGGAAGGGTGTGTTTTGGAGAAAGCTTCGAGATGCCCTTGGTGAGCCCAGACCTAGGCAAGAAGAACAAACAAATAGTCCCTACACAATGCCTCAGAATGAGGAAGATGAACAATTAGTAGAAAACTTTATGAGAGAAAACTCACAACTATTATGAAAAATATTTCACTCCAATTTGACTTCTTGCTGATTTCCTTATTTAAAAAATGTCAATTCTAGATGACTTGATTATTTGAATTCCTGCATTTATAAATTCTGTACATATCTGTATCTGTTCTGTAAATACATGTATTTACAGGAAGAATTGTTTAGCATGAGTATGGTGATAATTAGTTGTGTCAGTTAAAAGCCAAAAACATTGTTCGATTAACTGGAGATTTGACGGTTAACTGGCAGAAAGAATAACTTTAGGATTTCAGAAGGTTTTTGAAAAAATAAAATGGACTCAGCTCTTCATGAAAACAGAACTTTTAGTTTTAACTTAAAGTTTAAGTTTTGAATAGCAATGCTTTAATTAGCTCATCCTTAGCTTTGGTTCAATGTCTTTTGTCTTTCATTAGAATCTGCTTCAGTTTAATATGTGAAGATTGTACAGTATTATCTTAGGTAGAAGCTTCATAAAGTTACCATCCTAAAAAGACCACTTATCCCCCATACTCTGTCAATATAATTTTAAATTGATACAGCTTACATTCTTGTTAGGAATTTAAGAATTGATATACTGTAGATTGGGTTAATTTGGCGCCCGCTTTAATTTGGCGAATTTGGCGAAATTGAAAAATTCGCCAATATAAATCTTCCCCAAAATTTAAAATGAATCCCTGGGAATTATCTAGAGTATTTCCTTCAGTGTATTTAGGTCACTTCCGGTTTCATAAATTGGCTCAGAACTGGTCAGTCACTCATTAATATTCAGGGAAAAACTAGAAAGGAAAAGCGTGGTATAGTAGCAGCATCGATCGAGGTGCAAAATGTAAAGGATGATCGCCAGTGGTCCTCAAAAGAAAAATGGACATAGCCAAACTTATCCATTTACATGGTAATTCGCAAACAGTGGTAAGTTAATTTTCTTGCATATCCGCCAAATTAAATAGCCGCCAATATGCCAAAATGGCAAAATCGCCAAATTAAGTAGCGCCAAATTAACCCAATCTACAGTAACTAAAGGAATACATGTAGACAAAATATCAAAGGATTCACTCTCAAAAATGATAGGAGTAGATAAGGGGCTTGTATGATACCTCAAATGGTACCTTTTGGTTCATGTCATTCTGGGATAAATACTACAGTAGTATGCCATGGTTATGTGATAGTGATTTGCGTATATAGAGGTAATTATTACTTCTTTTAGACTTAAAATTCTAAGTTTCAATTGAAGTGTGTCTGAAGAGATGTTTTGCCTCATGCCTGGCAAAGCCCATATATAGGTTATACCTAAATGTGTGTTAATAAAATGGAATTGCTGGAATTGCATTTTATTGGAGCATTTTGAAAGCTCTTTTCATACAATGAGATATTTTAACAATTGCTAGTTCAGAGTCCTACAACTGATAAGTGCATGTGATTAGTATTTTTAGATAAAAAAATGTAACAGTCGGCAATTTGAGAAGGAAAGGATTGGTATCGATATGGAGAACTGAATTCAACAATGTTTTTCTCTTAAACCAATCATTGAAAACATTCTGTAAAAAGACACAGTATTTTATGTAATGTTGACTGATTGACAACAATTTAATGCGAAAATTATTTAGAAACATTTTATATAACTGTTTTTGTTATCATTTTTTGTTTTTTAGTGCAATTGTTCTTGCTCCTTTCTACCAATTCTTGAGAATGAAATAAAATGTCTTTCCGAACCTCTTTGGAACAAAATAGCATGTACAAAATGTTTTTAGACCTAGCAATATTATAGTTATACAAAGGAATCTTTGGTTGATTTTAAAAAAGTATTCAAAAAATTAAAACAAAATCCCCCCAAAATAGATAAAAATCAAGATAAACCTTTTATTTCATTAACAAGATACTTTTTTAAAATCAACCAAAATTTCCTTTGTACAATTACAATATCGAGGGACCTAAACATGTTATGTTTATTTCATTTTGTTCCAATGAGGTTTCGGAAAGATGTTTCATTTCCCTCTGGAAACATGATACCAAGAACAAAACAAGTGTTTGATGTGTTTTTTAAAACAATATAGATGAAAGTATATATATTTCAAATTATATTGTTACCATTCAAAAGATGACCATTAAATTGACGATGTGTTAAATATTTAGATTTTTTATGACTGGTTTAAGAGAAATGTGTGTTCAAATAGTTCTCCATATCGATACCACTCCTTTAATTATTGTTATCGCACATTTTGTTCACTGGAATTAAATTTCAAATTCTCTATTGTTGATCTGATTTGAAATATATGTTTTTGGAAGTCACTGCTGACATTAATTCAATGCAGGAAATTTTTGCTTCTTACCCCATTTTTATGTCTTCCTTATTATTGAATTGATATTAACCTCTAGATTGCAAAATTCAAAATTCAATTCAGGAAATATGTATTGCTTTCCTGTCTCAAACTCTTTCTTCCTTGCATTTGTCAAACCATTAATTTGATGTAGAGTTCTTAAAGGTAATAATTTTTTATTATGTTTAAATATCTCTTCCTTATTATAAATTGATATAAATGAGAGAGTCGTCAAAATTTGTATTTTAGGATATTTTCTGTTCTCTTCAGTACTATGAGTTTATGAACCATACTAGCCTTAGAATGTACATTAAAGCTTGGAAGATGTCTCTAATAACTTATCACATATGGGTGATGATGGCTTTAATGTTTGATTTTTCATCAAGTCATGATAAAAATGGGAGAGACCTTATATACCATGGAAATGCTAGCAGAGAATGTTGTAGAATATGTAAATGTGAAAAGGAATCTGTTGATTGTGAAATTGACCTAATTAGCCTACCAAAAGATTGTCCACCAAATATAACAAAACTGAACCTAAGTTCATGTAACCTGAATATGCTAAAGGACTATGAACTAGGAAGACATTATGGACAATTACAATGGTTGGATATTGGAGATAACAACATTTCTTCTTTACGAAATCATACATTTGCTGGACTAAATAATTTAAGATTCCTCAGCATGATTTACAATAAGTATTTAGCAGACAGAGTGGATCCTCTAGTATTTAGCCCCCTCCTTAACATCAGAGAGATATATGTCTGGGGAAATGGAAACGATAAAAATCTTTACAGAAATCGATTTGTGTCAAAAACTTGGATTGATACATTCAAAGGATTGGAAAATTCCACAATTGAATTAATAGACTTTAGAAATATGGATATGAGTCCTGTAATTGCCAGAAAAATGGACTTTTGGTACTTGAGAAATAGTCCAATCAAGTACCTTGTGCTGCGTAATATGGCAATCGTTGACATGAATTATGAATTCTTTGAATATATACCAAGGGTTGAAACTATTGACCTGTCAAGAAATACAATACAAATGACTTTAGAGTTAAGAAATGTATTAATACAATTTTTTAAACTCATATATTTGAAAGAATTTATATTTTCACATAACAGTGGCCAAATGGAAGAAGCAGGCTCATCTGAAATCCTTTCAAAATATACTGCTGAAACTATAATTTTTTCATTACCTTATTTTATACGATTTGAAGTAGATGACTCGATTATTGCCAAGGAACCCTACTTTTTAAGCTTTGGAGTTAAATTTCAGAGAGATAATGCATTGACATATTTTTCATTTTCAGATATGAAACTTGTACAACGTTTAGGACCAGTTATTGGGCTTGTTAATTTGGAGGTGTTTAAATTTAGTCACAATAAATGTACTTGGTTCCCTTCCACAATTTCTTGTTCAAATGGCGCATTTGAATCTTTGAAAACATTGGATATATCCCACAATCACTTTGAGATTCCTAATGACAATATCTCGGTTGAAATGTTTGATAACTGTTCCAAACTTGAGGAAATAGATCTGTCATATAACAACATGGCTCAAATGCCTTTCACAATGTTTAGACATTCAGAAAATTTGAGAAAAATCTATTTGAATGGGAATCAACTACAACAGCTGAACCTGAACCTTGATGCAGCAAAACACTTGGAGTATTTAAACATATCCAATAATGAATTGCAGACTTTGCCGAAATATATTCAAAATCTTGTGGATCGTTTGAATCAAATCTCACCATATCAGTTAAAGATTAACTTGGTCGGGAACCCACTTATCTGTAGCTGTCATTCATTTGATTTCATCGATTGGATGCAGAGCCACAGTAGAAACATTGAGAATTGGGATGAATTACAATGTACATATTTCAATTATTCTATTGTAAATATGCATGCGATAGACATAGGCATGATGAAATTGTCCTGTTGGAAAACTGTAATACTGGCTGGAACAATTCCGTGTGGGATCTTGCTGTTGTTTCTTGCTGTGGTGATACTTGCGTATAGACGTAGGTACAAACTACATTACTGGTACCTTCAGTTCAGAGCAATAATCAAGCGTAACAATGATGAGGAGAATGATTATGACTTTGATGCCTTCATAAGCTACAGTTCTCTCGACAAAACGTGGGGACAGGCAACATTGTATGCTACTCTAGTAGGTATTCACCACTACAGCATATGTATCGATGACCGTAACTTCAGACTAGGGGCTTATATCTCAGATATCATCATTGATGCTATCAACAGAAGCAACAAAGTCATTCTGATTATAACCCAGAACTTTCTTCGTAGCAAATGGTGCACTTATGAACTCAACATTGCTAGAGGAGAATTATCCAATCGTGGCAGAGATTGTATCGTCCTTATACTAAAGGAGCCAATTGATGTACTCCCTAAAGAATTGATCACACCAACACTTCGCTCCCTTTTAGATACTCGTGTATATCTTGAGTGGAGCGAAGATGAAGACAGGAAGGGTGTGTTTTGGAGAAAGCTTCGAGATGCCCTTGGTGAGCCCAGACCTAGGCAAGAAGAACAAACAAATAGTCCCTACACAATGCCTCAGAATGAGGAAGATGAACAATTAGTAGAAAACTTTATGAGAGAAAACTCACAACTATTATGAAAAATATTTCTCTCCAATTTGACTTCTTGCTGATTTCCTTATTTAAAAATGTCAATTCTCGATGACTTATTATTTGAATTCCTGCATTTATAAAATTCTGTACATATCTGTATCTGTTCTATATTTAGATGTATTTACAGGAAGAATCATTCAGCATGGTGATAATTAGTTGTGTCAGTTAAAAGCCAAAAACATTGTTCAATTAACTGGACAGTTAACTGGCAGAAAGAATTACTTGAGGATTTCGGAAGGTTTTCGAAAAAATAAATAAAAAACAGACTCAGCTCTTTATAAATTAAACAGAACTTTTAGTCTTAACTTAAGCTTTAAGTTTTAAAATAGCAATGCTTTAATTAGCTCATCCTTAAAGAGAGAATCAGAGATAGCGAGCAGCCTAACAAAAAATTGTTTCGATTTTAGAATATATCTGGCTCATGTCATTCCTTTTCATGTCTATTTTCTATAAATCCCCAAAGTGCACACTTTATTTCAGGAAAACTAAAGATTTTTGCAATAATGTGTTATTTTTCTATAAGAATGGTTACCATTCTTATTATTTGGGAGAATTAAAAAATTTTCACCTATTTTTGCACCTTGATCCATTATAACTTCACCAATTAGTAATATATAGAAGATCTTTTGGGAGATATTGTATTTGAGATTGTACGGAATAGATTAGTAGGTCAATTGGACATGTTGTTTGTAATTTTGTCACCCCCATAGATATGATTCTGCCTTTAACTTTGGTTCAATATCTTTTGTCTTTCATAAGAATCTTGTGAGGAATTTAAAAATTGATATAACTAAAGGAATACATGTAGACAAAATATCAAAAGATTCTCTCAAAAATGATAGGAGTAGATAAGGGGCTTGTATGATACCTCAAATGATACCTTTTGGTACAATATGGTTCAATGGGATAAGTACTACAGTAGTATGCCATGGTAACATGATAGTGATGTGCGTATATAGAGCATTTAGTTCATACATTATGTAATTCATGAATGATTAGTATAGATGGAGTGAATATATTGTTTATTTGAACCACAATTGGTTGTCCTCATATATGTATACCATTCTTGACTTTTATAGAATCAACATTTTTAAACCCCCTAGTAATTTCCACCTTGAATTGTAAGATGATGAATACACTGGAACAGAGCAGGATCTCACTTTCAATGTATGCTTATTGAGTGTATTGCATCAATTCTTTGATGCTGTGTCATCCATGGGCTTTCAACTAGACTCTCAAGCCCATGGTCACAAAATAAACGGCAATGAGAGTTGTTGAGAAGGTTGGAGGAATATCAGAATAAGGTATATGGAAACTTGAGGGAATGTGGGGCATTGTGACGGGGGAAATATCGGACACTGAAAGTTGATTGACGAAGGACTCAGGGACTTGATGCAGGACAATCATGATATTGATTTGAAATTCTTTCAGGAAGCATAGCATGATAGAGAGGGATATGGAGCATTGAAATTCAGCGAAATGTAGGGCATGGAAATAGTAGGGCATGGGGATATTCACTCAGGGGCCAAGGGGAGATTTCCCAAAGATCACCTTTTATATTGGCACGTTCGATCACCAATTTGATAAACAGGCCTCATTTGCCATTGAAATGTATCTCTCAATGTTTGCTTGTGTTTTATGAGTATTCTCTAAAAGTATTCTACCATAGTTTTGAAATGATGATGTTGAACTGATGTTAAACTGCAATAAACGCCATTTTAAAGATTTCACTTCTGCTCAGGGGCATGGAAATTTGGGGGAATGGGGGGAAATATAGGTCATTGGGCCGGGGTTCATATAGAACTAGGGACTAATGCAAGACAATCATAATATTGATTTGAAATTCTTCCAGGAAGCATGGCATGATCCAGCTTTAATTACTATTAGCTACTTTCTTGTTATTTTAGTCCATCATTGATTAGTGTATCAGTAGTGGTGTGTTTATTGTTTGTACATAGCTAACCCCAGGCTCTGTTATTGAATGAATCAATACTCGGAATTTGGTTGGTTTGGTTGCACTGTTTTGATTAATAGGACATGCTGTTTAGGCATGAGCTTATAAAAGAGAAACACAATCTTTTTTTGCCTGTGCTGAAAGGATTCATTTACAGTGTATTGTGTATCGCATCCTCATATGTAAAAAAATTATGCTTAATTTGCTTGGGGGCCTGGAGGTGGTGGCAACCTTGCAATTTGAATAATAAACAGTCAATCGCCAACAGTACCGTACAATGCCATTTTGGCCATAGAACTACAACGCTACCATAAAATATGTTAATACAACCTTGGACCATGGTCTGTTACAATACTGTATGATACCATGAACACTGTATGGCTCCATACCCAATAGAACCATGCAGTACCATACTCTTAATGTACCATATACTATACCATGATTTCAGAGTGCGGAATGGGGGTATAATCTGCTGTTTTTTTATTACTGTAAATCTTATTTTAAAATATATGTTTTTCTATAGGAACATAAAAAAGCATTGGAGATGGATTGTGTAGACACAAGATACAGAATGAAACTTGAGGCAGATAGGATGTGTTTAGAGTTTAAATTAGAGCAGGTCTGAATGCAAACCAACTTGTACTCTGCAGTTTGGGGTTGAATTGAATAATAATTACTAATTTATACTGATTGGTTGAATTGAATTTGTAATCAATATAGCGTGATTGAATTGAATTTGTAATCAACATTGAGTGATTGAATTGAATTTGTAATCAACATAGAGTGATTGAATTGAATTTGTAATCAACATACTATTAGATTGATTGAATTGAATTTGTAATCAACATTGAGTGATTGAATTGAATATGTAATCAACAGCATTGAATGATTGAATTGAATATGAAATCAACATTGATTGATGATTTTCAACATTTTAATGATTGATTTTTCTTGGTTGAATACTTAATCAAGATTTATTGCAGTGTATCTTATACATGTACTCATGCGATACTGTATTTGTTATCTTAGTTAGCAGTTTGGTTCTGTTTGTCCTAACCATGGAATTTCTCACTCAATGGTTGCTTCATAACAAATTTTAATTTTAGATATCTAGTCAATATTTTTTTATATAAATCAATGGATACCATTTACAGTAGTTTGATTTTGGTTCAATAAAAGAGAGCTTCGTCCATTCTTTGCCCCAAGGGTACATTAGAAACAGCATATTCTCCCGAACCATTCAATTTTATAAGCTGTTTTATGGATTAGAGAGGACCAAGAAACTTAAAGGGTTATTTGTATTCAATATCAATAGTGAGAAATTCCAGAATGGTTTCCAGTATACATTAAGACTTGGCCTATAGCCATGAGGGAGCCTTTAAATAAAGCCTCAAAATTGGCAAAGTTTACGCAAAATTTATAAAAACCACTATAAACGATTTGGGAAATTGATGGAGAGTGGAAAACAGGCAATTTTAAAGGTGACCTCTCTTGATAATTATAGAGAAGTTCAAAAAAGCTGGCTTCAGGCATGCATAGCCCCTGGGAGATGAAATATTCACTGCTCATGAATAATGGATACATGGGCAATGAATACTTTACAACTTGATATATTGTCTTTGTGTATGTTTGATATATGGAGTCTTAACTTGTGTTGTATTGAGATCTTCTAACTTGAGTTGCTGTTCTTATCTGTTAGTTTTCAATTTTCAGGACGATGATTCAAATGTTACTGGCAGTGTAAGTGGGTTCAGACAACAAAATAAAAAATGATTTTTAATGAGAACTAGTCATTAATTCAAACCAGGCTAATGGTTGAGTTCTGCGATTTTATATTTGGCTTTTTCTTGCAGATTTATTATCTGCAATGGATTTAAATCCTGCAGAATTAGCCTTAGTTCAGTGCAAATTTTTTATATTTATGTAAAAATTCTCCACTCAATCTGTGTTTTTCAACTGCAGAACTCTACCATTTTGAATGACAAATGTAGTTTGTACCTCAACCCCCCTCCCCTACCCAATAATACAGTATATAATACCTATTACCCACTAGTACCCACCCGATAACATACATTTATTCAGCAAATAGTAACCATTTTACTTAGTGAACACCCTGTATACTTTGGGGAACTGGGGGTCATTACCAGAAGCTTTCATAAAGTTATGAATTCCTAATTTTGTTGTCTCTTAATTACTATGGCATCATTTTATCAATGGTTACAACAATTGATTTAGTAATCAAACATGAAAGCTTCTGACATAATGACCTCAAAGAAAATTTGTAAGCAGTAAATCATAAAGCACTTTTACCAATTTCTATAATAACATTTTAGTCTTATATTGATGTCTTTTATCTGTTTGCTGTACTAACTCCCCTTGATGTAAGCCACATACATTTTTCATATGTGAACTCTATATGTAAATGCTTTGAATGCTTTAGTAACAAGGTGGTGACGTAGGTTAATTTGCCAAAAAAATAGTTGAAAATAATTTATTAGGGAACCATTTTTTAGTATTTTTACATTTCACAGTCTTTTAACAAGTCTTTTAGTGCATTGTTTAAAAATGATTTGTAAAAATAATATTTCAGTTTTTCTGAAAGTTCAAACAAGTTTAAAGACTTCTTTGATTTTATAATTATTGGCTTTTTGAGTTACTTATATTTTGATTAGACAATCATCAAACTTTTTGGATAACTATTAAGTCATTCCCAAAACATATTGAACAAACCTTGTAATTGTCAAATTTGTTGAATAGTCAATTTTCTGACTCTAGAAAACATATTAGCATACAAATTTTCAGTTATCTGATATTTTTACTCATTGACAAAACCAAAAATCCTCTAATTTACAGGAGCGGGAAGAAGAAGAGCGCAAGAGGGCAGAACAAGAGTTTGAAGATCACCAGCAAAGAAATGATCACATGTACAACGATCTCAACACCCGCACAAATATGCGCCTTTCCCAGGCCAAGGCAACAAACTCCCAGATTGAAGAAACACTACAGAAGTCACGGCTTGAACGACGCAAGAAAAATCAGGGTGATATGGCATATGGGAAACAACAAAAGCGATTAGCTAAAGCATATTGTCCGGGTGAACCTACAGAAGTTCTGGATGATATATTTAAGAGTAAGTCTTAATTCTATTATCCATAGATCAGAAATTAGATTTAATGTTTGGGGTTTTAAAAAATTATTAGTCTAACATTGATCAAAGAGTATGACATGGACTTTTATCACATGATTAAGTTTATATTATAATAGATAACTTACACAGAATCATTTTTTGTTTTTTATTTTATTTTGTTATTCTTCCTTTCACTTTTTTATTTTATCTTTCAGGTGGTCAACCTCTTCTCAGATGTTCCCTTGATTCCGCCATTTCTCATATCTCTCATGGCAAACCACATCCACCAATAACCAAACATGACAAGAAATTGCCCCCTATAAAAATCAACAAATCACGAAAATCTCCATCTATTTCTGTGCACAATCCTAATGCACTATCAAGCCTCTTTATGAAAAGTTACATGCTGCGACTGCGGCCTCATTCTGATCCCACATACTATAAACGTCCTCTTAACCCATATCGCTGTCTTCCAAAAATTACTAAATCGCATGAATCTTGAATAATTTTGTAGCTCTCCTAAATTGCATGAGACCAATGATTAATATCTGAACTCATGGAAAATATCATGTTTTTGATGATGTCATGGTGATGATAATGTTTCATGTTTCGAAAAGTTCAAAAGAGTGAAATTAGCAAGAAGTTAACGAAACAGACATGAAGTCAAGTCTCTTGTTTGTATAGAAATTCAAGAATTTAAACCTTCATTCAAACCATAGAGAATATTGTGAATTAAATTAGACATTAAATTCAGACATGATACGATCTCCATGACATTTTTAAAACTAACCATTCAAAGTGCTGTTGACACAGATGGTGTCACATTTGCATGTTAACTTGCATGAGCTAATGTTATATTTCAGACTTCCTGCAATAACCTGGAATTATACTGTGCCTATATATGTATCTTGCTTGTCATATTTGTGCCATCAGAAGGGTAGATATCGTATATTTTGCTTGAATGTTTATGCCAATCAGATGGGAGAATATTGTGCTATATTGCCATTGTTTATGCACTCAGAAGGGAGTGCTTTATATTTTATTTTACGCTTAGCTTTTAAAAATCAAGCACTTTTTGACGAGTTTTAATTGCATTCCATACTAGAATGGTAGAATTATCTGGCTTTACTATTAAATTTTTATTCCAACTACTACTTATAATTTCATTTCAGAATTGCTGCAAACTAAAACAGAATGTGGTGCAACATTATATTAGTGGTTTAGCTAATCAGATACCATGCATCATCTTTGCTTGACCAATCAAATCTCATAGGAATTCTTATTCAATCAGATGTTATGTCTCATTATGGGTTAGCCAATAAGATACCATGCACCATATTGGCTTGACCAATCAGATCTCATATATGATGGCTGATCCATGCAATCAGATGTCACTTCTCATTATTGGTTAGACAATAAGATATTATTATTAACATTATCTTGGCCTGGTCACTAAAATGCCATATTTGATGGCTAAAACCATTCAGATGTCATGACTCATTATTGCTTAGCCAATCAGATATCTGATGCATCATCTTGATTTGGCCATGATTGATGGCTTGGCCAATCAGATGTCATGTCTCATCATGGCTTAACCAATCAGATATCTTGCATCATCTTTGTTTGGTCAATCAAATGCCATATTTAATTTTTGCTTAACCCTTCAAATGACATGTCTGACCATGGCTTAGTCAATCCAATTCCCTTGCACATCAAAGCTAATCCAATCAAGTGTTACGTTTTCTTGAGAAAAACATATTCCTGCATGCATTTTGACTCTCATTGACTTCTACCAAAATGCATGCAATTCACCTATTCATCAATTTTCATAAAGTGTCACAGGGCTCTTGTGTTCAGTGAAAAAATAAAAAGAATTGGGATTGGATATAGATTTAGAAATTAACAAAGTACAGTTTAAGGTGCCTGTTATATCATTATCCAAACTGTCAGGGCTCCAAGATTCAGAATGCATGCATGTAATGCATATGAAGGACTTCTATTTACCTTCTCCCAAGGCTGTTTTTGTTTGCCAAATTTGTTTGCTAGAGAATCATATAGCATGGCATGTGGCTCTTATTGTTCCATAGAAAGAAAAGAAAAGAAAAGAGAAAATGTGGTATTACATAATATATGCTCAGTGTGACAGTTTATGATTTAACAAGAACAATTAGAGGATTGGCATATTGTGAAGAAAATACAGTGCATTGTACCATGTAGCCTTGCCCAAGTTGGTAATTTTTACTTATCTGATCTTGAATTATTGTCATAATAGAAATCAAGATATTAAAGTAAAAGAGACCGACTTGGGCAAGGCTATGTACCATGGGCTTTCTAGAGATATCTTGAAAGCCTATAATATGCACTTATTTCAAACATTCCGATATGAAATTGCTTATTTATAAGCATTAAAATTCATCTTTGAAAGCATGACTGTTCTCATGTCTTACTATAATGCATGCACATGTACTAAATCGCAAAACGATTTTGATGGAAGAAGTTTGTGCAAAGATGAATAATATATAGATCAATGTACAAACTTATGATCAAATTATTCTGCAAGTAAATAACATTATTTTTATGAAAAATTTTGCAGGTTTTTAGTTCAAATCAAATTCTTTTTGCATGACTTCAAAACTTCATTGAATGTGCTGTGAATGTGCTGATCCTCATTAACCCATGTACTTATTATTAGAGGGAGAAATAACTTACCACCTCACCATGGTATTGTGGTAAGGTATTTTCCCATCACTATTACTACATGTACTAAAGCACTGCATGTTTTGGCATTGGGTCCCTAACTCCTTAGTTAAGTTCTATCCAAATGATTTTTCTAGATGAACACAATCACAGACGATCAAAAACCGACCCTAGTTCTAAAATTAACAGTAGTAGTAGTACCCATTTACCAAAGATAGAGGACTCTGATCGTCCGCACACGTCACGGCGAAACAAGACGTACAGTGATGGGCGGCCAATGACTGCAAGCTCGAGCAGTTCAGAAGGGAATGTCTCTGCAGCTCAGATGAGGCAGCACACGGGTGTTAAGGTCCGACCGCAGTCTCGTCAACCACTTTTAGGTAAATTCATGAAGCTTTCTGTTTGCAAAGCTTAGTTGCTCTTGAAAAATTTGGAACATTCAAGTATTATTGCATTTTTATTTCTGAAATAAGCAAAAACATCTTCTATGGATATCAGGGCCGTAGCCAGGGGGGTTCGCAGGGTTTGGTGAACCCCCTCCCTCCTGGTCAAAATATATTTCAAAATCATGCAGTTTTCACCATTTTGAGCACTTCTCAAGTGATTTTAGCCATATTTGGGTCAAAATTGTCAACACCCCCTGAAAATTTTGAAAACTGAATCCCCCTTGGCAAATCCTGGTTACGGGCCTGGATATTTAAAGGACAACTGAAATAGCTTTTCTCAACTTGCAGCTACAAAAATTCGGTTTTCTCTATTGTAAGCCTACTGTAGAGTTCTTGCGATAGCCATTATAAAATAAATGTTAGATAACTGCTAACGGTCATAGATAACGAAATAAAACTAACTGATAAATCAAATTGGCCCCCACGTGATTAGTAACGTCATATACAAATTATAGCTTTGGTTTATTGGTTCCATAGTAATCACAACGTCACGGCAACCATATGATTGTTGTGTAAACAAATAACAAAACATTTTGGCATTATGACGTCGTGATCTAATGGACCAAAACGGTCCACGTGGGGGCCAGTGAGAGATCACGTGGGGGCCAATAACGTCACAACCAATTCGAATATTGCTTATTAAGCAGCTATAACGATCGTTAGAGTGAAATAGTTTTCACACTACTGATTAGAAAACATGTCCAAATACATCTATCAAAAAATTATATTGATTCCTTTAGGTTAAAAATACCATTTCATATCTGCTTTAAATAGATCATTATTGAGTTGGTTTTAAAAACTTCTAAAAGCTGAAATATACTTGTATTACTTATGAATATGCATATTATAATACCAATGTAAGTATGTGTGCTATAAACTAGATTATCATAAATTCAGTTCCACCTTTATTTGGTGATTGCTTGTTAATTCAGACTGAAAATGATATTATTTGATCCTTTGTTTTTAATTAATTTCCCAAAAATTTCTTGGTCATCAATGGGCTTTCTATTGAATGCCCATGTCAATACCAACCAATATAAAAAAGCTAGATATAACTGAAGTAAACATATGTTGTGCCAAATTGTTCCAATCAACAGTAGGTAAAAATGATTTTAATTCACATTTTCAGATCAACGACAAAAGACAGACCTCCAGTTCCTTGATCCTAAAGCTTATAGAGAAAAGAAAAAGGAAGAACGGAAACTGTTGAAAAGTAGTAGTCCAAGATCCGGTTGACCATAACGATATATATACAGAGCTACATGTACAATGTGGACAATAAATACAACCAAACACCTCTTTTGGGTCACCCCTCTAAGATGGATATACAGTGAATCTCTATACCATGAACAGTTCTTTTTGATCTATTTGTTATGTAATGTGGATATAGATAAAACACTGTCTGGAATTTTTCCCAAAGGATCAGCCTTCTACTGGTTGAGAACTTAATATAGTTGAAGGCCGGAAGTTAAATCATGAAGAAATTGTGTGTACAGTAAAAGTACCATCCTCCGATCACAGGGCTTCAAAATCCAGAATATATTCTTTCTTTTTACCCCCTGCGATAAGCAGTTAGCATTCCCTAGATTAAGGACTCGCAGTCTGATTGGCTGTCGCAACACTGTGTCAGAAATCATGTATAAGTCATTGCGCATAATTAGATCACGTGTTTCAGTTTAATCGGGCGCTTCCAAATTGGTTATAGCAAGGGGAAGAAGGAGGTATGTATTCTGAATACCTGGAGGATGTAAAAGTACCAAACAGAACACCCAATGTTAGTGAGTAGAACTTATATGTTAGTGGAACACCTCCTTAATAAGTGGAACACATCCAGTAACCCATTGATTTTATATTAAAGGAACCTCACAAGTGGAACACCCTTAAGTTACCAAAGGTGTTCCACTTAAAAATTTTATATTTCATATAATTAAAACATAGCAGATGGTTCCACACATAAAAGGGTGGGCAGCTTAACTTATTTGATTACAAATATTTCCAAGCTACTGTATATGATATCAGTGTACAAAAGCAAAATATCTATCATGGTTTATTTTGGGATATTAAAATTGTACTTTTGAAATTCCAAATATAGACAAAATGAATATGGATTCTATTATATAAAAATGTATTATGAATGTATATTTTAAAAAAAGCATTATATGCATGAACATTGCAAGAAAAAATATCCGTCCATTATTCACCAGAATTTGTTATGTAATGTGACATTATAATATGTTATGTAAAATCGCGATATGTTATACAGTAAAACCTGTGTATACTGAACATTTCGTTGCTGAGAAAAAATGTTCAGTGTTGGTAGGTGTTCACTACAGAGAGGGTAATTTATGCATAATTCAGTAGAGTATGTGCAGAGGAAGGGTGTCCACTAAAGACAGGTGTTCACTAGAGAGATGTGTTCACTTAGACAGGTTTTACTGTATGTTCATATGTTATTCATAATTATGACATAATAGACTATGTAAGAAAAATGAGAAACAATTGAGTATTGAGTTGTGGTTGTGGTTCATTTATACAATGAAGGGGTCTAAAAGCAAATCTTAGATTTGTGTATTTTAGTAAAAAAGAGTTTTTCCAAACTATAAAAATAATGTCTGTAGGAGTACTTTAGGAATGAATTACTTAAATTTGCTGAGACCGATCTTGGCATTAATTATATAGAGGTACTTCAAAATGCATTTTATATGTTATACTCAATATTATGAATCTTGTACAAGTATCTGATATTAAAAATATGTGCACTTAGAAATAAATATTTTTGTATTGTATATTGCCATTGAAAGTAGATTTATTGTACTTTGATATAATATTGTAAAAGTTTTGAAATGGTATGAATCTACCATTAAATAAACATAATATAAGTATCACTAAAACATTCAAATATATCTTCACATCTTTTTGATTGTAAGAGTGTACCCAGAACATGCCATTATTTTAAGAGGTTAGCCCGTAGTTCCTTACTTACCTGTATCCCTACAAAATTTAGACTATTTATTTAATTAAATTTTCAGAAGTTCAAAGAATATATTTCATAAGAATAGCTTGAACAGGAAGGACTACAATAGAGGGGAAAATCGCCCAAACTTATGTAAGGAAAAACAAATCAAAGCAACATTAATGTTGTGCTTTCATTGAATGTTGTGCTCTTTCATTGAATGGTGTGCTCTCATTGAATACTGGTTTGATGTGCCAGTCAGAAATGTCCCAATCTTACACCGCAAGTTAGATGAGCCCCATAGCTTTTACATAAGGTTCTATATTATTTCTCATGGTAGTTCAGTAGTCAGAAATGTTTTTGGCTCACAATTTAATCTCATCAACAAAAGTTATTGAATACATTCACTCAACATTATGATGACGTTTAAAGAGCAATAAATAATATACTTTACATCTGATAGACATTACAAGCTAGTTGACATTTCAAAGTTTATTTTTTCTATCTTTATTGTATCAATTATATTTGAAGCTGACAACAAATATAAATAAAAGTATACATATTTCTGATATTAGCACATGTGAATAAACAAATTAAAGCAAATACAATCATGATACGTGTCCTCTAAGCTAACTACATGATTCTATTATTTAGAGGTACATGACGCATAGGATATCTCGCTCTTTAACAAAATGGAACAAAATTATTGCATGTATTTTGTCATAATGGCTTTGTTGTCAGGTAAGTCACTTCAGTAAATAAGCGAAATAAGAATACAAAAAATCTCAGAAATTGCCTCAATTTTAGAATGTGTTTTACTTGTGCGTGTCGTTCCCTCCATGCCTATTTTGAAATTAAAATGTTTCATTTTTAAATGATGGTCAATCATTTGAATTATTTAAATTTTTATTTTGAAGAAACTACACATTTTTGCGCGTGGAGACTTCAATATTTTCACCATTCGATAACAAATGCAATTCTAAATGTAAAGAGTATAGACTTTCAATACTAGACCTTTCCAATAAGCTATAACCGTTGAGTTATGACGTGCAATTAAAACCCCAGAGGTGCAATTTTTTACTTGCTTTTAACTTTGTAAACTTTTATTCTTATTTGTTTTGTTATATTTTGTTCTTTGTTTATTATGTGTATAAATGTTGTATATGTTTTGGTTATTGTTGTATTGTTTGATTGATTTATGTTTACATGTTTAATCCATTTTATTATGGGAGTAAAAGCGACATAATAATAATAAACACTATATAGATGATCGTAATTATCTACTGTAGGCTTGATATCAAGTCAAACGTGTAACAACGCCCTGTGTAAGAGACGAGACATTGCAGGATTGAAAGTTGAAATAACTGATAAAATGAATGTTATGGAAAGTGAACTCGAAGATAAAATATCTGAAGTCAGAGCTGAAGTTCGAAAAATGTCCTCTGATATATCTGGAGTAAAAGATGAAGTTGTTAAACTCTCTGATGAAATATCCAAGTTAGGGTCGAACATGAAAAAACATGTTCCAGAGGATGATAGGTCCACGTTTGAGTCTAAAGTAATGGATCGTTTAGCTCAAATGGATAGCAAACTAAATATGATGACTGGTAAGTAAAAATTTCAATGCTTGAGTGTACTTTTTAAAAATATAGTATCAATATTAGATATTTACAATTTTCTTTGAGCAGCAAAAGGCTAAATCCCTTGAAACATGCATGCATTCTTAATTGTTCACCATTTCAGTTATTTCCATGAAGGAAGTGAGCCCCAGTGGCGCAATTTATTCAAGTCAAAAATTAAAATGCATCCCTTTAAATGCTGCATTCGACATATTATTCCCATGGACAACATGTATTTTACAGTAACTTTACCAAATAAGGATTGTCGTCTAGCCAAGGATGGAACAAGTACAATACTGACAAGATCTGGGAAACATGTTACAGCTAACTGTGATGATGGGTGGTTGGTTATTGCACACCGATTCAATGGCAAAGAGATATTCCATAATCGAACATGGAATGAATACAAAAATGGATTTGGGTCGCCGCGAGGGGAATACTTCCTTGGGTTTGATGCTATCTTAATGATTCTTAGGCGAGGAAAATACAAAATGAGATTTGACCTTGTTGGATGGGACAATAAACATGCGATTGCGGAGTACTCTACCTTCAGTATTGGGGAAGAAAGTGAAGATTATCCAATAACCGTGGATGGGTTTTCTTCTACAGGAGCTAGTACTCGTATTTTCTACGACTCTATGAGAAGGCATAATCACAGACCATTTTCAACAATAGATAGAGACAATGAGGGGCGTTATAACTGCCCTACGATTATCAGAGGTGCCTGGTGGTATTATGGTTGTGCCGACTCTAATCTGTTCTCAGTTTACCCCAATGGTCCAAAGTGTGATGGAAACTACAACAATGCATGTATGGTTTGGGCCAACTTTCCAGGTTCTGTATACCTGAAAGAAATGAAAATGAAAATCAAACCAGCACCATAACCCACTCTGGCAGTCTTTCAGTTATTCATTAACATTTAAATGTAATGAAATATTGGTAAATAAAGACAAATGATAATAATGATCGAGTGATCTTATTAGTTATCGTATCCTCACCAATCAAAAATTATATTTCTATAAATGACAATCAATGTCTATGCGTGACATTTCATGCACACATTGCAAAAGATTGAGTGAAATATCACGAAATTGAATAGGAATCTTTTGCAAGGTTAACATTTTGGCCTGCATAAGCACCTACATGGGTTATCATTATGGCATAAATTTTAGTTTTTCACTCAAGGGACAATTGAAACTATGAAAATGAGGGCAACAGATTTCACTGAATCTACAAATAGACATTTTATTTATCTGTTGTGAAATAAAAAATGTGTAGTACTATCATTTCATTTCATTTGTTCATAACCTAGTATGCCATCTATAAAATGCATTAGGCTTAAATCTAAAAATCAGGTTTGAATTTCTGAGAACTTGTAGATGATTCTGAAAAAATTGGTCAATTTGAAGCAAGTTGAGAAAATACCTTTTTGACCTTGAGAAGGTCATAGAAGATCAAATCTCAAATCAGATTTGAACTTCTGAGAACTTGTAGCCTAGATGATTTTGAAAAAAATTGAAGTCAACCTTAACAGTATTTGGTAGGCTATTGGAAGTTGATGATTTTGAAAAAACTATGGTCAATTTGAAGCAAGTTGAGAAAATACCTTTTTTAACCTTAAGAAGGTCAAATCTCAAATCTTAAGTCAGATTTGAACTTCTGAGAACTTGTAGATGATTTTGAAAACTTTGAAGTCAGCCTAAATAGTACATGTATTTGGTAGGCTATTGGAAGTTGTAAGAATTTGTTACAGACACCAATTTGGTCAATTTAAAGCAAGTTGAGAAAATACCTTTTTGACCTGAAGAAGATCATAGAAGGTCAAATCTCAAATCTAAAGTCAGATTTGAACTTCTGAGAACTTGTAGATGATTTTGAAAACTTTGAAGTCAGCCTAAATAGTTTTTGGTAGGCTATTGGAAGTTGTAAGAATTTGTTACAGACACCAACCACTAATCATAAACCGCTTCCACAAAAAACAGAGACCATAACAATGTCGTAAAAAAACATATTATTTACTATAAATGAACCACACATAAGTGAATATATCACCAAATATTTATTTACCATAAACGTAAAACTGGCACATGAAAGTAAAGATGTACAACATTTTCATAATTTTCTCTATGACACATCAAAGTAACTAATATGAAATCCGCAGTCTCCCAAAGACAAGAAAATGAAATGATGAATCACTGAAAAATGTTGGTTAGTCCACTCCTATTAAAGTAGGATCCCCAGGCCATATTAATGTTGGAACGTTTGTATGTTGTAAGTTACCAAACATACATTGATTTCAGCTCTGCTTACTGACAGAGATCACCTCCTTCCCCCTATATTCCCTCCCTGGGGCCCCCGAGGCGGGAACCCACCAAAGTTTTGCTGTTGAAAATTCTGTCCTTGATTACTAAATTGATTTGGAGGATTCTGATTTCTAAACTGCTGATTTTGTCCAAGAGGCTGAAAGTTTTGTTGCTGCTGGAAATTTTGTGGCGCTGTTCCTCTTTGCTGCTGCTGTTGCTGGAAATTCTGCTGCTGTTGATATCCAACATGCTGCTGTGGTTGGCCATGCTGCTGCTGTGGAAACTGTTGTTGTTGCTGGTTATATTGCTGCTGTTGAACCGGAGGCTGATTCTGTTGTTGAAAGTTTCCAGAGCCAGCTTGGTTAAAGCCACCCTGTTGGTTAAATCCCCCTGGCTGTTGTTGCTGCGGAAAACCAGCTTGTTGCTGTTGCGGCGGATACTGTTGCTGCTGTTGGTGATTTTGTTGTGGCAACGGAGCCTGTTGTTGCTGTTGATATTGCGGCTGTTGTTGCTGGGAAAACTGACCCCCACTTTGAGGCTGGCTATACACCTGACTCGGAGGAGGTGGCTGATTATAGTTACCATGGTTACTGCTCGATTCTTCCTTACGAGATCCCTGTGAGCTGAGAATGTTCTGTATATCGGCAGCACCTTCTCCACTCATGAATGACGCATTGGCAGCCATGTTTGAGTAAGTGTAAGTGTTGCCTCCTGGAGGAGCTGCAGATGTGTAGCTGTAACCACCAGGGGGTTGCTGTGCAACTACAGGGGGGTGGCTATTCTGGGGACCTGGGGGTGCAGACTGAGGGGCTTTGGAGTTGCGTTCTGCAGAACGTGATTGGCTCGAACGATCTCTGTCCTTTTCTTGGCGGCTTGGAGGTCTACCAGAATTTGCTAGAAATAGAAAATACAAAATTAAATTTCAATAAACATAACAAAAGTTCTTGAAATACAAGAGTTAATTTAACTGCAAATCTGTCAAAAGACTATAATTCAATATTTTACGAAAGATAAAATAATAAAATGTGAAGAAACCATTGTTCAAGGCACCCTATGCTTTGGTGTCTTAATAACTTACCATATCTGTCCCTTTTTGAATCTCTGGCACTCTGAAACAGAAAGAAAATATTCAATATATCATTCAATTTAAACAAGAATGTATATTGATGGTGTCATTTTCATTCATAATTCATTCATTAATTTAAGCACTTAACTCAATGCTTTATTTCTAAACTATATCACCAGTAGATTGTTCCTTCTTTAAACCAAGACTGGAGACATGAATGGATTATAATTCATGAATCTAAAAATAGGGATTCAATTTGGTAAGATCCCCAAATCTAGGGAAAATAGAGAAGGGTGAGAAACTGTAGAACGATACTACTCTAATTATAATATTGCTTAAATTTTTTTTTCAGTTTTTCATGTATGAAGCTCAAGATTTGAATAAGCGTCCTGAACTCACTTCATGTTTCCGTTTTCTGGATTCCCTGTCCCTCTTGTCTGGTGGGGGTGGGGGAGGGGAATTACCCCCATACCTAGCACTACCCTCACCCCCTGCCTTAGACCCAGAGTAGAGATCCAACACTGAGTGGCAAATCTCTGTAAAAACAAAGAAGATGGAATTTAACATTAGTTGTCAAAGTGAATAGAACGTGCAGATAGCTGAATTCATTACATTAGACTGTTAATTAAATCAGGGGTTTCAATAGCAGCAGGCAACAGGCGATTTTCGCCAGTTGTTTTCACAAAATTGGCTGTTGTTTTCATTTTTTAGCCTGTTGTGAGAAATTCTAGTGAAACCCCTTGATGGCTGCCAAAAAACAAGATGGCCTCAAAAAGATCCATCAGCTGTAGAAGTTCTTAAGTGAATACAACTTTGAGATTCTCCTGGAGTCACAATAACAATTGGAATGCCACAATGGTTAAAGCAAGGTTTTCAGGGTCTTCAGTTCCGACCTCAGTGACCATGTCCCCTTCACCTGAACAACGCTCTGAACTGAATGCTCACAGTTGTTCATTTATATTGTAAAATTAATTATGGGCAGTTATACACCCTCTGGGGTGTCATAGCCAGTATAATTTTGTAATGAAAAATGAAATAAAATTATTTTGAAATTGAATTGAATTGAACTGACAGCTTGAGTCTTAGTCTACGAGGCCTGGATTCACACATTACAATTTCTCTTACTTCCTAAATCTCATGACAAATTCACTGATAATCATGACAAAAAAGATTTCAAATCAGAACAACCTACCTTCAATGAGTTCAATGGTGACGTCCTCCACGAATACCTCCCACCACTTGCCCTTGAAGCCTGGTTGTTTCCCATGCCAGTCAGAAATGTCACATTTCGACAATCTACTAGCCAGATATATGAGCCCTACTGCTATAACTTCTGGTTCCCAGTGTAGACACAGAGTGGTACATAGACTAGAAATAGAGTTATTTACAAACTGGTTAAGTTCCTATATTTTTATGTATTGTATTGTATTGTATTTTGTTTACCACCAATTAAGGTGAGCAATACCTCTTGGGTATATCCCATATATATACTGTACGGTCGTAGTTTACGTACTTAACCTTGAATATAGACCCAGAAACCCCTCCTTGAAGGAGCCCGGTGTTGTTTTATGTGCACTTATACAAAGACATACAAGAACACACCATAGCCTTTTGCAGTCAAACACCCTGAAGTGTTATAACTTCAGCATCTCATATAAACTATAAAAGTATATTAAAGCATTCTACAGATCAAGCTAGATTATTTCTAATACAAAACTTATTTGCCTATTTCAACAATATGCTAACAAGTGCCAACATATCTTTGTCTTTGCATCTTTTATGGAATATTATATTTAAAATATATAATGGCAACACAATGTTATATTCCAAATTCTAAAGATTTCTAATTTAAGACTGCATTTTTGAACTGTCCGCGACGCAAGTATATTGCATAATACTTAATGAGTTTTCTCCCCAGTTATCAGGCAAAAGAACAATGAGCCCATTAATGAGCCCATGTATGGCAAATTACATGCTCACGCAATTTAAAAAAAACAGTTCATCCAAGTGCACTTAAAGCAGATATGAAATGGTATTTTTTAACCTAAAGGAATCAATATAATTTTTTGATAAATGTATTTGGACATATTTTCTCATCAGTAGTGCGAAAACTATTTCACTCTAACGATCGTTATAGCTGCTTAATAAGCAATATTCGAATTGGTTGTGACGTTATTGGCCCCCACGTGATCTCTCACTGGTCCCCACATGGCCCATAACGTCATAATGCCAAAATGTTTTGTTTTGGTTTACACTACAATCCTATGGTTGCCGTGACGTTGTGATTACTAAGGAACCAATAAACCAAAGCTATATTTTGTATATGACGTTACTTATCACGTGGGGGCCAATTTGATTGATCAGTTAGTTTTATTTCGTTATTTATGACCGTTAGCAGTTATCTAACATTTATTTTATAATGACTATCGCAAGAACTCTACGTTGGGCTTACACAGGAGAAAACCGCATTTTTGTAGCTGCAAGTTGAGAAAAGCTATTTCAGTTGTCCTTTAAACCTAATTTCGCCGTGGCAACCTTGTCAGTTAACTGTGTGTGTCAACTGCGTCAGCTTGTTGCTTGTGCACCACATGAGTTCAATTCCAATAATTCCATAAACATATGAGCATGTTATTTGGACTGCAGTGATACCTGGGGACAAACTATTTAACTAGAAAATATTACACAACTCACTAGCACCGCGGGCATATAAAAATACAGCCTTACTGTTGTCATTTGGTAAGCAAATTAATTTTCTTTGAGGTTCATGAGGTCAGGATTTTTTATTTACTGCTCTTTACTTGATATTACTAGCAACAATAGAAGGCAGAAAACATGCCATTTTACAAAAATAGGTGTTCACCCCTTATCAAATGGTAGGTTTAAAAACAGAAATAAACAAGGCATTAACATGCCTCTGCCATTTGTTACAATGCTGACCACCAAACACCAGGCATCGACTGCCAAACACAAACTGCCAAATGCCAGCCATAAAAAAGTTGGAAACAATAACAATATGTAACCACTTATCAATGTGTACTTATATTTACTTATTTACTTATATTACCTACCTATCATTGACAAACGTCCATCCCATTTGTACCATTTTCTGCAACTTGGTCTTGTCACCTGGAATCAAATGATAAAGTTCATGATTACACAGACTAAATCATATGTGCTAGGGATTGATGTGAAGTTACCCACCCATGGGTTTTTAGTCTAGGGATGGAACCCATGAACCCCCTAAATAATTTCTAAGAAACTGCTAAAATCCAGGGAGTCCATCCATAAAGTCTATTTAGACTTTGTATTGGAATTGTAAAGGGACTTCATGGACACCCTGTACTTTTAGAATGTTTAAATTAAAGAAATGGCTGGGTTCTCCCCAGAATCTAATTGCATGGCGCTCCCCCCTGCTCACTCGTTTTCCCCGCCCTGTTCCCCCCCTGCTTGCTTCGCCCGGCCTGCTTAGCGCCCCGCTACTTCAAAACTTACGTACATTATTTTATTCTCCTGGATATTCGACGAAATCACATAAAATTCAAAAAATTTTCAAAAAGTTTTTCCTGATTTGCCATTCCGAAGGCCGAATCTTAAAAGTTAATGTCTTCTGATTGGCTCAAAACTCATGATTAGTTACGAAATATCCAATCAAATTATCTATTACTAATCGTGCGTCATCGACATAATCTGCCCCAGGTTCGGTTCAATCATTTGATTTGACTACGTATGCGCATGCGCCCAAAACATTCTAACCTATCAAAATCGTTCATTTGATGCGTGCGTTCAGAAAATTAGAAATTAACAGTTGAACCTGGCGCAGATTACCCCTATACTGCAACGCGGAGTGATATGATCACCGATCATCAAAATCGCCAATTTGGAATAAAACAAACATAAAAAACGACTAAAACTACAATTTGACAAAGAAGTATTATTTTTTATAAATAGTTATTATAATTGCGAACGAATTAATGTTCAAATCTTGCTTTTGATGGTTGTCATGATAAAGAAGTTCGACTTCCGGTTCTTTATGCGGGAAACTCAAAAAAAAACACTACAAGCATATTATCATGTATTGTTAAATAAAAGGTTTTTTCTAAATGAGATTTGGGTGTTTATATACATTTTGTAAGTGAATAGTACCCCTATGGGAGCTGCCGTAGTACAAAAATTGGCCCAAAAATCATGCGAGCGAAAAAATCCTGGGGAGATCACTGAATGGTAACTTATATAAAAACATATAGCTAGTGAGGTAGCACCGAAAAATGTACCCGCTTCTGAACAAATTGAAATTACTTGTTTCTTATGTATTTTTATGTGATACTTCAGAAAATTTTTGTCTGATGCGCCGTATCCGGGGCGAAAGTTGTCAAAATTGAGTTTTTGACCCTAAAAAGGAAAATTACAGGGGGTACATTATCATCATTGAATAATTCATTCAGTTGGTCTTCAATCAACATAATAATTTTATCGAGAGTTGATGAGATCATTTTAAGGTAGTATGCAAGGTTTCAATGGTCTGTCACTCGTGGTTGCCATGGAAACCACAATTTTTGCTGAGAAAATTCTTAATTTTGGTATAACCTGTACCTGTACATAATATAGAATGTGGATTATTTTTTAAATCAACAGATATCAGAACATTTTAGCATTTTCAAAATTACAAGGGCAGTTCAAACATTTATTTAAATATAAAGGATATTGCAGTTAACATAACTGGGGAGTGTCAAAGACCATACAATTACATAAGTGATCAAAAGTGGGCATCGCCCTTATCATACTAGATGATTGCCATTCTCTAAATATACAGAGTTTTACTTGACTTTTGAGATACATTTATAATGATGTTCTTTGGTTATACTAAATATGAAGCATTTTTGGTAAATAATGTACATGTAAGTGTTATACTTATTGCATTGGGGAGGGGGTATATGGGGGGGGGGGTAACAGAATTGGAAGAGGGCAAAGCTAATCACCCTTAAGTATAAATCTCATCTACATAGTTCTGGATTTCATAGGGTTCATCTTCTGGGTCTTCTTCACATTCATCTGAATATATAGGATATTATAATTCTGCATGATTGGTAAGTATAAAGACCATAGAATTACTCAAGTGATCAAAAGTGGGCGTCGCCCTTATAGATTCATTCTCTATAAATACAGAGTCTAAGTTGACTTTTGAGATACATTTACATTACAACTTCTTTGATTATACTTAATTTCAAGCATTTCTGGTTAGTAATGCACATCTAATTGTAATAGTTCTTGCCTGGGGGAGGATGGGGGAGAGTAGTAACAGAATAGGGAGGGGGCAGAGGTAATCAGCCTTAAGTATAAATCTCATCTGCATAGTTCTGGATTTCATGGGGCACCTCGTCTGGGTCTTCTTCATATTCATCTCAATATATGGGATATTACAATTTACAGGATTTGTCAAACACCATACAATTACATATTTATAAACGATCAAAAGGAGTGTCACCCTAACAATAGTAGATGATTGGTTCTTTGTATAAATACAAAATTGAACTTGACTTTTGAGATACATTCATAGTTATACTGAACTGCTGTTATTATAATTTATGTCAAGCATTTCTGGTAAATACATCTGTGTAAGTATTATAGTTTTTACATTTGGGCAGGGGTGAGTAGTAACAAAATTAGAATGTGTAGATCTAATCTGCCTTTAAGTATAAATCTCATCTTTTTAATTCTGGATTTCATAGGGTACATCTTGTGGGGTTTTCTGATTCATCTCCTGGTGTTGCTATATCACCAATCTCTTGTATGAGAAAATCAGTCAATACCCACTGGAAAGATATGGAGTCATTTAGTTTCCATTCAAGTCCATCTGGTGGTTCACTACAAGGATTTGCAATATGGGCCATACAGACAATAAGTGCTTTATATGGATGAGATGGTTACAACAATCAGACAGTCATTCATTAGACCAACTTAGGAAAATTATCTAGAGATGAGATGAGTGTGACACCCATAATGACCTTGGAAAGGCACAAATAGCAAGTATAGAAGAAGACATAAAGATGACAAAAACCGCAATCAAAGACTTCCTTGATCCATTTACCATTGAGGATGAAGGTCATCTCTACGGTGTATCATAAGGAAAATCTGTGCCAAATGATGTCGCTGCAGATTTCATCTAATTTTAGTCAAAAGGCGAAATTGCATGAAGAGATACCATCTGAGAATAGTTGAAAAAAAGATTTCATGATCTAATAAAACATATGAAATTGAAAACTATAGCAGCAAACTACAGCAGCAACAGTGACAGTGACAGTAAAAAAGTACTCAGAATAAGCTTATACAAATACATTCTGAATGAAACATCTTTGAACAGCTTCGATCTTGCTTAAGAACATAAAATTAGCCTAGAATGTCTCCTGCAGTTCCTATTGAGCCCTGTGCCTTGGGCTCTAGGAACACTGACTGGACTTCTTGCAAGAACAGAGAAACGCATCCCTATGCATGAACATGTACCCACAAGTGCCAAAGGGAAAGGGCCAAAATTTGTAATAGAACCCAGCAAGAAAAAGAAAACTTCTAAATGTATACAAGTCATAAGGAAAACAAACCCCAACTATCCCAAACCATAATTCAACTTGAAAGGTAGTTTTGTTTCTGGATCTGGTGGAGACTGTTTTAAGATTCTACAATTGCAGATTGATTAGTTTTTGTATGTGATAATTACATCAAAAATTCTATAAAGGAACCTGAAAGAGGGGAAAGACACCTTGCCCTATTTAAGGTAGAAAAACACGAGTCCCTAAAGATTGGAATTAGTTCTTGTATGATGATAAAAACAAAAAGCAAAATACAGCAAAGTGTGCTGCTGGATATTTGAGTTGGAAACAAATGAAGACTGATGTCAGTGGTATTTCCTCCAATATAGACCCTGACATATATGCAGCCTTCCTATCTTAAAGTCAAGTTAAAGTCCATATTCATAGAGAATGAATTATCTACTATTGTTAGAGCAACACCCACTTTTGATCACTTATGTAATTGTATGGTCTTTGACACTTACCAATCATGAAAATTGGAATATCCCATATATTGAGATGAAGAAGACCCAGAAGTGAAGAAGACCCAGAAGATGCACCCCTTGAAATCCAGAACTAAATAAATGAGATTTACATTTAAGGCTTATTAGCCCTGCCCATTTCCAATTCTGTTACTCCCCCCCTTCCTCCACCCCCAGACAATAACTATTACAATTAGATGTACATATATAACTTACCAGAAATGCTTGACATTAAGTATAAATCAAAGATGTTTTTAAGTAAATGTACTTCAAAAGTCAAGTTAAACTCTGTATTTATAGAGAATGAACCATATACTATGATTAGGGCGACGCCCACTTTTGATCACATGTGTAATTCTATGGTCTTTGACACTTACCAACCATGTAAATTCTTATATCCTATATATTGAGATGAATATAATAAGACCCAGAAGCTGTACCCTATGAAATCTAGAACCATGTAGATGAGATTTACACTTAAGGCTGATAAGCTCTGCCCCCTCCCAATTCTGTTACTACCCCCCCCCCTCCCCCTGTATCCCCATGCAATAACTATAACACTTAGATGTAAAAATGCTTGATATTAAGTATAACCAAAGAAATTCAATATAAATGTATCTCAAAAGTCAAGAAAAACTCTGTATTTATAGAGAATGGCAATCAACTACTATTATGAGGGCGACGCCCACTTTTGACCACTTATGTAATTGTATGGTCTTTGACACTTACCAGTCATATAAATTGCAATATTCTTTCTCTTTAAACAAATATTTGGACAGCCCTGGTGATTTTTAGAGTGCTAAAATGTTCTGATATCTGTTGATTTGAAAAATAATCCACATTCTATATTATGTACAGGTACAGGTTTTACCAAAATTAAGGATTTTCTCAGCAAAAATTGTGGTTTCCATGGCAACCACGAGTGACAGACCATTGAAAGTTTGCATACTACCTTAAAATGATCTCATCAACTCTCAATAAAATCATTATGATGATTGAAGACTAACTGAATGAATTATTCAATGATGTTAATGTACCCCCTGTAATTTTCCTTTTTAGGGTCAAAAACCCAATTTTGACAACTTTCGCCCTGGATATGGCGCGTCAGACAAAAATTTTCTGAAGTATCACATAAAAATACATAAGAAACAAGTAATTTCAATTTGTTCAGAAGCGGGTACATTTTTCGGTGCTACCTCACTACCTAATATAATGAAATGTATATTATATAACTAATATAATGATATTAATGTCACAACTTCTTTGAGGTTACATTTAAAATAAACTACAGGGTGTCCCGAAAGTATGGCCCCCCCTAGGCAGACATATTCCAGTGTCCTCATAGTATGTCTCATATATCATTTTAAAGCTTATCTAAAGTTACATTGATTTGCCAAGTATCATGGTTTAACTCCCAAATGGGAAAAAGTTACAGTCATTTCAAACACTAAATTTTGAAATGCCTGTAATCTTTTCACATTTGAGAGTTGAACCATGATACTTGGTGAATCAATGAAACTTTGTGTGAGCTTTAAAATGATATATGATACATACTATGACGACACTGGTATATGTCTGCCTAGGGGGGGGGCCCATACTTTCGGGACACCCTGTAACAATATATACAGTGTGGCCCAAAAGTAGGTTCAATATTATTTTACAGAAAGAGATTGTTGAATAACTCTAAATCTACTTTTTGGCCACCCAGTATATTAAATAATATGTTATGAAATAAATGACATAAAATGTGTATAAATATACCTTTTAATTGTTTGGCATATTTGAGCAGATACTTGTAAGGGTGCTCTATCTGGAGATCAAACTTTATGGTCTGTAGCAGAATTCTCTCAAGTGTCATCACCTCTTCCTACAGCAAAACAATATATTTTAATTGTTGAGTAGAAACAAGTCACAGAGGCTTGATGCAAGACTATAGTTTATGAACAAGATAGATAATCATTTCTCACCTTTGGATTTTCGCCATAAGCTTTGAATTGTGTCTCATCCAGCATGCCTCTTGCTGTCTTTATGATATCCTTACATTTCTTTGGGGTTTCTTCAACCTTCCCTGCCAGGAACAGACAGCAAGCACTAGTCACCTGAAATACAGGAATGGAATACTCATTATATGAGGTCCGAAATAAAACCCATGTGTCATCCAACTCAGAAATATAGAATTTGTGCTATGCAACACTCATTATATGAAGTCAGAAATAAAGCACATGTGTCATCCAACTCAGAAATATCGAATTTGTGCTATGAAACACTCATTATATGAAGTCAGAAATAAAACACACGTGTCATCCAACTCAGAAATATAGAATTTGTGCTATGTAACACTCATTATATGAAGTCAGAAATAAAACACACGTGTCATCCAACTCAGAAATATAGAATTTGTGCTATGTAACACTCATTATATGAAGTCAGAAATAAAGCACATGTGTCATCCAACTCAGAAATATAGAATTTGTGCTATGCAACACTCATTATATGAAGTCAGAAATAAAACACACGTGTCATCCAACTCAGAAATATAGAATTTGTGCTATGTAACACTCATTATATGAAGTCAGAAATAAAGCACATGTGTCATCCAACTCAGAAATATAGAATTTGTGCTATGTAACACTCATTATATGAAGTCAGAAATAAAACACATGTGTCATCCAACTCAGAAATATAGAATTTGTGCTATGTAACACTCATTATATATGTCAGAAATAAAGCACATCTGTCATCCAACTCAGAAATATAGAATTTGTGCTATGTAACACTCATTATATATGTCAGAAATAAAACACACATGTCATCCAACTCAGAAATATAGAATTTGTGCTATGTAACACCCATTATATGAAGTCAGAAATAAAACACACGTGTCATCCAACTCAGAAATATAGAATTTGTGCTATGTAACACCCATTATATGAAGTCAGAAATAAAACACACGTGTCATCCAACTCAGAAATATAGAATTTGTGCTATGTAACACTCATTATATGAAGTCAGAAATAAAGCACACGTGTCATCCAACTCAGAAATATAGAATTTGTGCTATGAAACACTCATTATATGAAGTCAGAAATAAAACACACATGTCATCCAACTCAGAAATATAGAATTTGTGCTATGCAACACTCATTATATGAAGTCAGAAATAAAACACATGTGTCATCCAACTCAGAAATATAGAATTTGTGCTATGTAACACCCATTATATGAAGTCAGAAATAAAACACACGTGTCATCCAACTCAGAAATATAGAATTTGTGCTATGTAACACTCATTATATGAAGTCAGAAATAAAGCACACGTGTCATCCAACTCAGAAATATAGAATTTGTGCTATGAAACACTCATTATATGAAGTCAGAAATAAAGCACATGTGTCATTCAACTCAGAAATATAGAATTTATGCTATGTAACACTCATTATATGATGTCAGAAATAAAACACATGTGCCATCCAACTCAGAAATATAGAATTTGTGCTATATAACACTCATTATATGAAGTCAGAAATAAAACACATGTGTCATCCAACTCAGAAATATGGAATTTGTGCTATATAACACTCATTATATGAAGTCAGAAATAAAACACATGTGTCATCCAACTCAGAAATATGGAATTTGTGCTATGTAACACTCATTATATGAAGTCAGAAATAAAGCACATGTGTCATCCAACTCAGGAATATAGAATTTGTGCTATGTAACACTCATTATATGAAGTCAGAAAAAATTAGTACCATGGGTACTGGGCTCACATGGTGACAGAAAAAACGGATATAATTTTTTGCTGATTTTTTGTAACAAAATTATTTCAAGCCACTTGCCACTATTTTGGACTGACGGAGAGACAGATGGACAAATCGATGTTAAGTAAAATTGCTGAAAAAAAACAGATATAATTTTTTTTCAATTATTTGGAACAAAATTATTTCATACAACTACTCTTTACAGTGACATGGCTTTTTGCAATGCAAGACACCTGAAATTATTTGTAAAGCTAGGAAATGGGCCAAAATTGAATTTCGCAAGGCAAAAATGACGACCATTTTGAAATCAGGCAAGCTTTTGAACCAGGAGTCAAAGGGGAGTTTTTTTGTATTGATGTTGAACAAAAATAACGTGAAACTGGAATCTTATCGACAGAGGTTTTAAGTAAATGGTCCAAAAGAGGATTTCGTGAGACAGATGGACAAATCAATGTTAACTAAAATGGCTGAAAATAAAAAAACAGATATAATATTTTGCCGATTTTTTGTAACAAAATTATTTCATACAACTACTCTTTACAATGACATGGCTTTTTACAATGCAGGACAGCTGAAATTATTTGTAAAGCTAGGAAATGGGCAAAAAGTGAATTTCGCGAAACAAGAATGGCGACCATTTTGAAAATAGGCGAGCTTTTGAACCAAGAGTCATAGGAGAGTTTTTTGTATTGATGTTGAACAAAATTAACTTAAAACGAGAATCCTATCGACAGAGGGTTTAAGGTAAATGGTCCAAAAGTGGATTTTGCGAGACAGATGGACAAATCAATGTTAACTAAAATGGCTGAAAATAAAAAAAATGGATATAATTTTTCGCTGATTTTTTGTAACAATATTATAACATATATCTACCCTTTACATTGACATGGATTTTTACAGTGTAGGACACCTGAAATTATTTGTAAAGCTAGGAAATGGGTCAAAAGTGAATTTCACGAGACAAAAGTGACGGCCATTTTAAAAATAGGCGAGCTTTTGAACCAGGAATCATAGGGGAGTTGTCTGTATTGATTTTGAACAGAAATAACTTAAAACAGGAATCCTATCGACAGAGGTTTTAAAGGAAATGGGTCAAAAGTGAATTTCGCGAGACAAAAGTGACGGCCATTTTGAAAATAGGCGAGCTTTTGAACCAGGAGTCATAGGGGAGTTTTCAGTATTGATCTTGAACAGAAATAACTTAAAACAGGAATCCTATCGACAGAGGTTTTAAAACGTGCCACTATTGTTGAAGGACGGACGGACAGACAGACAGACAGACGGACAGACAGACAGACGGACGGACGGACGGACAGACAGACGGACAAGTGAGTGATTGCAAAAGCTCACCATGTGAGCTAATAAAACACACGTGTCATCCAACTCAGAAATATAGAATTTGTGCTATGTAACACTCATTATATGAAGTCAGAAATAAAACACATGTGTCATCCAACTCAGAAATATAGAATTTGTGCTATGCAACACTCATTATATGAAGTCAGAAATAAAGCACATGTGTCATCCAACTCAGAAATATAGAATTTGTGCTATGCAACACTCATTATATGAAGTCAGAAATAAAGCACATGTGTCATCCAACTCAGGAATATAGAATTTGTGCTATATAACACTCATTATATGAAGTCAGAAATAAAACACATGTGTCATCCAACTCAGGAATATAGAGTTTGTGCTATGTAACACTCATTATATGAAGTCAGAAATAAAGCACAAGGCATTTTCATTTTCATTTTGCAATTCTAATCATCTGATAAATGTGGGTGGATAAGGAATGATAACTGAACAACAATTAATGGACATTGTTCAAGTGGTATTAGTACTTCAAAGTAACACTCATCATGAACTAAGCACATGTATAGTTACATATGTATCAGTGATCTCCCTAGCATTTAAGCAAGTGGGCGCAGCACCCACCTGAGATTTTGAAAACAGGCTTGCACCCACCTGAAAATCCATTTGCACCCACTTGAGAAAAAATCCTGTGGAGAACACTGTGTATATTTGTAAACCCGAAAACCTCTCTGTTTAAAGCACAGCTACATATAAATACTAGAATTACTGAACCTGGGACAGCTCTTCATTTAAAGAACCTACAGTAGAACCAAGTGGAACACTCTAGAACCACAAAAAGTATTCCACTTGCATGGTGTTTCACTTAAAGAGATTCATTAACATTGAATTGAAGTTTTAAGACTACTATCAAGAAAATCTCTATACATTTGATAATTCCTATGTAGAATATGTTATGTTAATATGTTATCTAGAAAGGAGAAATAAATATCTATATAAAAAAAAACAAAAAAAAACATGGAGTCAATTGGCCACATAACAGGAATTGAAACATTTTAAAATTTTTACAGAGGTGTACTTCCAATTAAGTCAAGAGATCTGGAAAATAGCTTGCATGGCCAAATATGGCTCAGGCAGCAAAATTCGCTAATTTAAGTGCCATCTGATGGTTTAACCTACTATTTTATGACCAACTCATTTACATATGAATAGAACAATGGCAGGAACCATGCAAATTTAAATGAGCTGACCATAAAATAGTAGGTTAAACCATCAACTGTCAGTTGAAATTACAAATGCTACTTTGTAATCTTCATACACAAACTTACTAATCCAAACACTTTGGCCACCTCTATTAGCATTTAGATAAGACAGGTTTTACTGTATCATTATCATAATGGGGAATTATTTCTATGTACAGATCCATGTTGACTCATTGACTATGAGACATCAGTGAAAGGATACACTAGGTATAACACAGCAATTTATAGAACAACGGACACATTAACAGAAACAACAAGAAAATGAACCAGATTTCTTATCAAAAGGTAAGCAATAACAGTCATGTAATACATGTGTGGGTGGGGGGGGGGGCTGAAAATCAGGACAATGAATATATCACAGATCTCTTCATGATTTTTATTTCAACCGGGTATGAATGTCTTGGTTCGAAAAGGATCATGCACAGGGACGTAGTCTTGTTACAGCCATCTATGGTAAAGCTCTAATTATAAATTTTTTGATATTGGCTATTTTTTCTCCTTTTCATGTATTAAGCATTTTTACAAGTAACTATTTCACCAAAGTTAGTATTTACCAAAAATTCTTTTGAAATTGTGCAACTTTTCACCATTCTGACCAATTTTCAAGTGATTTTGGGCCAAAATCAAATATGAACCCCCTAGAATTTCTTAAAACGTGAACCCCTTAGCAAAAGATGGCTATGGGCCTGGAGAACTACAAAGGAAGAAATAATATATTCAGAATGACTTTGTAGCATTAACTTTAAACAGCTGAGTTGCACAAACTGTCTGGTTCTAATGAATTGAATTTAGAAAACAAGTTTTTCAAAAGTTGTAAAGAGGGCAGCACTATAGTCAGATAATATGCTGGCTAATTCTGTTTTCTCACATAAAATTTGAGATAATTTCTCAGTGTTTCTCAAATACTGATGATGAACTGTTTATTTCTCTTCAAATTTTGTTCTCTAAGGTAGTTGACTTTTTTAATGAATAAATGTTATTTGAAATAACTTAAATACCAGTTAAAAGGATTAGGTGCAACTTTTATTAATATCATATAACATCTAAAATGAGGAGGTATCTAATAAAATATGCAAACTGTATGTTGTACATGAGGGTCACCTTATTGATTTCAATATGTTCCAGAGGGTGCTGGTCTTCATCATGTGTGTAACATTCATAATGATGATAAGCTACACTACTTATCCAACAGATAAGCCTACAATTTCTTGGACAATAAAACCACAAGCACCACCACTAAAAGCGACAAGTGTTCCAGTGAAAGCAGTAGAAGATCCAGAGAACAAATTATATAATGCTAACAATAATTTACAAAATAATGTCGTAGAAATTATTGCACAACATATTAAGGAAAAGATGAAGAACAAAGATAATATAATAAAAGCTACAACAATGAAAGCAGTAGAAGATCCAGAGAATAAATTATATGATGCTTCAAATAAACTACAAAATAATGTCATGGAAATAAGCACACCACCTTTAAAGATGCAGAACAAAGCTGATAAACTCAAAGCTAGAACAGTGAAGGCAGTAGAAGATCAAAAGAGTAAATTGTATAATGCTACAAATAAACTACAAAATAATGTCATGGAAATAAGCACACCACCTACAAAGATGAAGAACAAAGCTGATAAACGCAAAGCTAAAATAGTGAAGGCAGTACAAGATCAAAAGAATAAATTATATGAAGCTTCAAATAAACTACAAAATAATGTCATGGAAATTAACGCACCACATATAAAGATAAAAATGAAGAACAGAAATGGAAATGATAAACTAAAAGTTACAACAGTAAAAGCAATGGAAGGACCAAAGAATGAAATATATAATGCTACAAATAAACTACAAAAAATTGCCATGAAAATGAAGAAAAAAACAAATGGTAAAATAAAAAATAATTCTGCCCATAACATGACAGGAAGCCAGCTATTAAATATTACAAAGGAAGCAATCTCAGATCACAATCCAAATGAAACTGTTAATATTAAGAACAAAAATGAAGAAATCAAAATTCTCATATGGACTACATATTATTCAAAAATATTAGACTTTGGAGAAGACGCTTCCAATTGTTCAGTAAAGCTCTGTAGTTTCCACTATGATAAATCTAAAATAGGGATAGAATCAAGTGACGCAGTCTTATTTCATTTATGGGGCAGTGACTTAAGGACTGATGACACCATACCCCAGATTCGATTCTCATGGCAGAACTACATATTTTTCTCAATGGAAAATCCAAAGAGGGATTACTTCACAAAAGAACTGAATTTGACCCAGTTAGACAGTTTCTTCAACCTCACTATAACATACAAAACAGACTCTGATGTACCTCTGTGGTATGGCAGATACATTCCAAGAAGCTCAAAACGAACCAGTATGAGGAATTACTATAAGGAGAATAGACTTAATGAAACAGATAATAAAGATGCAACAATTCTATGGATTGCGAGTCATTGTAATACAGTGAATGATCGTTTGCGGTTTGTAAAGGAGTTACAGAAATATATAGCCATCGATATATTTGGAAAATGTGGAAAGCCTTGCAAACGTGGCACAAAATGTAAGTCATTTATACAAATTTTATTTACTATTACATGTAGTTGTAGAACATTGATATACAGGGTGTCCATAAAGTCTCTTTACAATTGCAATACAAAATCAGCATAAAGTGTAATGACTTAAGAGGGTGGTTTCCTAAAGCCGATGGACGAGTGCGCATCATTCTCGCGCATCTAACTTTCGGTTTCGGTTTCGATGCCGTGATTTTGTTATTTTAATGTATATTACTCAAATAAATAAAACTTATGTTCAAAATGAATGAAAATGGCTTTATAATATTTATTTGTGGTGAGAGAATTAGTTGCACGGGAAAATAAGACATTCTATTGTCGTAATTTTTGAACGTCTCTGAAACTCCTCACCAATTATCGCCCACCTAGAAACAAGATGCTGCACTGATGACGGGACGATTTCAGTCTCAATCGGGCAAACAGTGGAGAATCGTAGCATTAAACATCATAACAACTGTTTATGAAGGTAAGAAGTATCGAATTCAATATCATTTTCCTTTTGTAATCGATCAAAATCACCATATTTAAAGGTAGAAATCGCTTCCTGGTTCTCGATCGGGAATTGTCATTTGCGTAATATTGATTTGAAAATTCTCACGAAATTTAGTATTTAATGTAATAATTTGGTATGTTAATAGTAGATGGTAGTGTTATATATAAATACAATGGATTATTCTGTGATCGTATGCATATAATCACTGAAATTCTTCTAAAATTACATAAGAATTTATTTTGGGTGATCGATTCGTCATGACCTTGATTTTACAAAGCAAACTCAACAGGTCCCAGAGACCTCCCATGCGGGCAGAGTCGGGACATCTTAAATGAAATGTTAACTATATTTGACTGCCTATCACAGTAAAAGTACATTTTGATGTGGGCAAAAAGATAATTTTGTAATGGAAAATTACATGTACATGTTTCGTGTACATGTATTAAAAGTGTCCTGTGCGGGAGTACATGGCAATCACATGCAGTTATCATAATCTGACAATAAATATTTGGGCACGGATAGTCCAACAACATTAGACCTAGCCTGGGGCCTGGTTTCTTATCTGACATGTCTTATGGCCCGGCGTTGAACTAGGGTACGGATAAACATGCTACACGTACTGTACATGTGCTGTACTGCAGTATAGTCAAAACTGTACATTATATGAATAATGTTTACTGTATCGGTATTAGATATCATAGAACATCATATGACGTCTCAAGTTTCATTTTATTCTTGATATACTTTCAAACTTTTCCATGTATTTCAGATGACAAGTTACCCAAAACAACAAACAACGGTTTTATGGACCACTAACAGTTGCGTCAAAATGATTGGGAGGTTGAGGAAGTTATTATGATTAATGATAAATGATCATGCAATGCAGTTAGATCCTTTAGATGACTGTCACGTCATTGTCGACATAGGCCATACATACTTGTCCAGTCAAATGACTTGGAAGTTTTTGAGTACAGGTAATTGTATAAATGACATGTAATATATTGTTCAAGTCATATAGATAGATGTTATATCACCTTTGCCTGTGTAGGCAATGACTTCAGAATACAATAAATGAATAGACATTAAGGCAATCATTATATGATAATCATGACACTTTTTGACAGGTGTTACTCAATTCCCATCCGATTGAGCCCAGATCACAATATGCCTCAAAATATCATGTTTCTGGCTAAACAGAAAGATGCAATGAGTATCAAAATGGCATGGATACTTTGATGTATGGTATCAAGTGATCTTTCCAGCTGGTACTAAAATAACTTCAAGTCTAGTTGTTTTTGTAATAAATAGATTATATACAAGGTGGGCCAAAAAATCCATTGTAACTTTTAGTCATGTATTATCTTCAATACTTTAGGAAATTGAAAAAATAATTCATTGTCAATATTGTGTAAATAAAATTATTGAATATACAAGCTCAAGCTTTAATTACTCACTTCAAGGATTTCCTGAACACATCCTCTCTAACCACCTGAACAATCAGTCTGAGACATATTATGCCAGTTTTGAAAAAAAGCTGAGGTCAGTAAGCTATATTATCCAAGGGAGAGATGGTTAACTTCTAGAGATAACAACATATGTTTTAATTGATGAAAAGTGTGGTGAGACCATTTGGAGGGCACATATTGTATGTTAAAAAGATGATTTCATCAGTGATGGCTCAAGCTGAGAAAATTTGAAATTCGTCATGACACATGTCTGCATGTAGAATACAGATCATGATCAATTGACAAGCCAAAAATAAATACATACACATTTTTACAGTTTACAGTTATCTGAATTTTTGTTGATTGAGCTGCAATAATAAAGAAAATTGAAGAAATGGAAAAATTTTCTAATTGTTATTGGCCCACCCTGTAGATATGTAAATTTACAACATATTAATTTATGTTCTGCAGGCCTTGTCTCCAAAGATGTCTTGGGTGCCCAGAAAGTTGGCTTCAGTGGATGTACGTTACACCTGACTAACAGTCATTTGACATTATACAAAATTAGCTAGAGGTACAGAATGTAAGAGGTAAGAGAACAAGTAATATACAGTAAAATCTGTCCAATCTGAACATCATTGAGAATGGTCAGAAAGCATTCGGATGGGGAGAAGTATTGATTTCGGTTTCTCTATCCGCAAGATTGTGGATTTTAACGCATTCTCAATGAATATTAATATTTCTATTGACCATTTGGCTTCATGGCATCCAAAATCTGAGGCCATTTCATATTTTTCAGAATTTCATATCAAATCAGTCTTAAATTTAAAATATTTGAACAGTTTTGTAAAAATTGTGGAAAGTGTTCAATTAACACATGTTAAATTTTCAAATATGAGTGTCCACTGTTCGAATTAGGATGTTGTCAGATTTCAAGGTTTTTAACATGGGAGTCAAGGCAATGGGAGGAAAAATGGAGCCAGAAATTGTGTTAGCATTTGAAGGTATTTGGATCAGCCAGGTGTTCAGATATACAGGTTTTGCTGTATGGGATTAACTCATTATTTTTATTATCAAAATAAGATTATAAGTAAAAGTTTGCATCTAATTAAGTAATGATAACCTTCTTGCCTAATTCAAAAAGAAAACTACACATAGGCCTTCATAATTTGGTCCTGATTACAATTTTAACACCATGATTGGAATTCCAATACTATGTAACTATAAATTTGGATAATGTTATGCTTGAATGAAGTAACTGCATTCATATTTCTTTTATATCATAGTGATACATGCAATTTGTTACTTTTGTGTGATATTCAATTTCAGGTATGATCCACATTATTGGTCTTGGGGTATTCTTGTATGACTCAGCCCTCTTAGAGTGTATGTAAGCACATGCTACAGAAGGATATGACCAGTGAGGCAATAATGAGTTTGACAAACGAGTCCATGGCAGAAGTGGAACTTACTGAGCACATTGACTTTATTTAATTTTCTCTGTCTATCTTTGGATTTATGGTATTTATGGCATTCATAATATAGACAATGGACACAGAACAAAAAGAACAGCATCTGTTTTAATGACAATATCTCTCAACAGCTCAAGAGAATATGTTCCCTGTAACACCATTCCTAAACACATGTAGCTATGTACAGGGTATCCATAAATCCATATTTACAAATACTTAATTATGAACTACAGAACACTTTATTCTTTTTCGGGATTTTAAAAAAGTGGTATGTAGTTATTCTGATAAAAATAAATCTATATTTTATGCATATTTTGTCATGTACATGATTTTATTATACATGTCATGCCTATAGCCTGCTTTTGCTAAAAAAATCAAAAAATTCCAGGGGGTTCACATTTGACCATTTTGGCCCAAAAATGACAAAAATCACTTGAAAAATGCTCAGAATGGTGAACATTTTTGGCCAGGGGATTCACTCAAACCCAACGAACCACTGGCTATGGGCCTGCATGTACACAATGTAAATAGACATAACTATTGGTTGTCATAGCAACAGATTATTGGGACAATGCCTAAGCTCATCAATAACAATATTCATTTGTTTTTAATAATAGTATTACAATGATGAAACTTTCCAAAAGAATAATATTGATACTAAATGATCATGGAACTATAGCCAATTCGGGCAATTTAGACAATAAGGGACTGGACGTATTGGTTGGAAAGGGTGTATTGACTATATGCATTAATTATGCTGTATTTTTACTTCAAAATAAACTTTATATTTTTCGGTGTCATTTTTGAAGAAAACTTTAACATAATAAAGTATTAGTTGGAAAGAACTCTAAATTGCTGTTCAGTATGGTGATTTTCTCATTGAAATACAAAATATACTCGTCTATTTAAAAATACAAAATAATTCAGTTATGACGTCACAATCAATATGCAAATGAGCTAATTTGCATAAATGTAAGTTTGAAAAATTGAGCTCTATTTTATCTTTAATATGATATAAATTTTATCAAAATCGAAGAAATATTGGGGGAGTTATGTGTAAAAAACACTTTCTTGTCATTATTTTTCTGGTTACTATGGAAACGAGCATTTGGGCACTTAAGGTCCACATTTCATAATTTTTAACAAGTGAATCCCAGAGGTAGCACTATGAGCTTTCCAACGGTACCAAATTTATCCATAGCCCTATGTCATAAGTGTACATTTATAATTGCTTTCCTGGCACTTTTGGGCCATCATTTAGACTACCTACAATAGAAAGGGCAATTAACGGACATGTTAAGAGTGATTTTAATGTTTTGGGGGTATGGTTTTGATTTGGCTGTAGAAAAAAAATTAGCTCGGTGACCCCATATTTTTTTCGGGTCATTATTTTAACAATTGAACGAAGTTTAAATTAATGAAATATAAAAAAAAGTTATTGTTGGGAAATTACTATTATTTAATGTTATTATAGGGGAGAAAATACATTATTTTTCCCATTGAAATACAATGAAAAGGTCAATTTAGGGGATATCTAAGAGTGATTTTTAGTGTTTTGGGTATGATTTTGTTTTGGCTGTAAAAAAAATTCGAGCACGGTGACCCTAATTTTTTTTGGTCTCATTTTTCTCAGAATTGAACAAAGTTTCACATATAAAAAAATGAAAAATTTTTATTGTTGGCATCATTTACGCAACCACCCTCTTAAAGGACACCCTGTATAACAGTCACATAAACTTCAGATTGGTGAAACATAATAGATCACTCAAAATCATTAATGAACTAATAATAAATTGTTGAAATATATGAACTTCCTCAAAATTGATAATCAATAGTAGCCTATACATGATTTACAACTATTGATGTAATGTACCTTAGGCCTATGGGTAGCAATTAATAAGTTCACATAGTGTTTTCTTTAATGGTTCATACATCCTCCTGTGAGTATATTGATATCAATATGCTCATCATGTTACAAAACACCTCTATGGTCTGAACACAGAACATTTTTTCAGGTACCATTTCTCTTCAACTGACTCCCATTTGCATTTACTTTCAAGATAGAACTCAACCACATGTTTACCCTGGTCCTGTATATAACCGTTCAGGGGCGGATCCAGGATTTCAGGTTAGGGGGTGCGCCTTGATTATTGAATTTTCGTGGCCGGTAGATGACGAAAGAGGTCGCAGAATGACTAATAGGGGGGGGGGGGGTCCCGGAAATTTCAAAAATTTGAATGCTTTTTGTTGCAATCTGGGCATTTTTGAAATTAGAAAATACATGTAGTATATTATATATATTTCTTAGACAAACGACAAACATATTGTTTTTTGGTAAAATTATTTTCATCAACCTTCGGTAAAATCTACCATTTCTTGATTAAACTGAACATCCCAAACACATATGATAACGTGTAATATACTTGTAATTGATATCTTTTTAAAATTTAAATCGACTGACCATACGTTTATCTCCATCCTCATTTGTACGATGTGATGTTAGTAACACTAACAATACTTTTTGAATAACATGTTACTTTTGTCCCGCATTTTCATGATTCAAAAAGTCTGTACAAAGTTTAATGATACCAATAATGACTAAAAGGCTAATATTGCATAGTTATCTATATATTTCATCAGGAAATGAGTGCAATGTCAAAGATCCCCAAAAGATCATCGTTTTCAAGCAGTGTGTTGATTTTTTTTATCAGAGGCTACATAATTTAAAATGTTAACAATGTTTTAACATTGAAGCATGGGTACCATCTATCATAATAACTATCAAAACTGTCGTTTTGCAATTATAAAATTGGTAACATATTGATTTGCGTAGTTTTGAATTTACACCTGACCTTCGCCACTGTATAGTTTTCACGTTTTCGGTGTCATATACTTTTTCCAAATCTCCATTGGTATTATTCTCGTACTTGAATACATGCAAATTGATTGAGTCTCTAGCGGCTTCCAGGCATCAGCATTAAAATATACATGTATTTGTTTAATATTGAAGAACACGATCATCAAAGGTTACTAGTATTTAACATTCAATATATATACAATTCATACAATCTGAAAATAAAAAGAACGATAATCCCCACTATTAATACAATATGCAAGTGTTATTCAAATTACATTAGAACTAAATAATTGTCTACGCCGGATTTTAGGGGGAGCGAGCGTCCCGCGCGCACCCCCCTGTATCCGCCACTGTATTAGAGAGAATGCAGTGTAAATAAAAACAATGCATATATCAAGAATAAAAATTTCGGGTTATTAAATATTTTATAAAAATTTATGGATTTACCCTCGCAACTTTTGTGGTATACCTGAACACTGACTGATGTATAAAAAAATCAATTTATCCTCTCACTCGAGGAGGATACAAAACAGTGGAAGTTAGCATGAAAATATTTTACTAGTGATTAAGAGAAAGGAGTAAAGCTCCTAACTATGAAGAATATGAACAACACCTCTTTCAAAAAGGTAAGAAAACATATTTACAAAGGAGATTTTATTTATGAATAATGAACTGAATGTGAGAGGCTCATTCAGGGTGTACTAATTTGATGACCATATATGGTATGGGAAGTGATTTAAGACATCTCTGGCTACAAGAATATTCAGACAATAAATAAAGCATAGTGCTTAATTTTTTCTCATTAAGAAAACATAGGGACTTGCATTTAAGGAAACATATTCATGGTAATCTTAATTTAGACTTTATTTGACCAGCTTTCCAATGGTGGGGAAATGGACAAGCTTTTTTGCTGCCAGAGTAGGGAATATCTATTTTTCTTATGTTCCAGAGTCTGTTCCTAATCTTTGTCTCGTGTGTAACATTCACTGTGATAATTGCACTGCTTCTATTAGCCAACTCTGTGACTTTCTGGCCAGTAAAACCACTCCAAGCTCCACATATAAGGAAGAAGTATGACATGGACAAAACTCAAGCTCTTCAAGCACCACATGAAACTCAAGCACTGATGGAACTGGGAAATCAAGGTCAGTTTAACTCTGCAGCTAAGAAAGATAGAGAAATCAAAATTCTCATATGGACTAATTTTTTCGGTATGAGATATTATATCGATGCAGAACCAGCACTGAATGCGTCCAATTGTTCTATAAAGCACTGTAGTTTCCACTATAATAAATCTAAAGCAGGGATAGCATCAAGTGACGCAGTCTTTTTTCATCTGTGGGGCGATGACTTTAGGATTGGTAGTCCCATACCTCAGATTCGTTTCTCTTGGCAGAACTACATATTTTTCTCAATGGAAAATCCAACATGGTTTCACTTCACAACAAAAGTAAAATATTTGGATGGTTTCTTCAACTTAACAGCAACATACAAACAAAATTCAGATGTGCCTTTGTTATATGGCAAATACTTCCCACGAGATACGTCAAAACCAACCAATCTGAAGAATTATTACATGGAAAACAAACGCAATAGAACAGATAAAGATGCCAGTGTTCTCTGGGTTGTAAGTAACTGTAAAACAGTTAATAACCGGATGCAGTTTGTAAAGAAGTTACAGAAATATATAGCCATTGATGTATTTGGAAAATGTGGAAAACCTTGCAAACGTGGCACAAAATGTAAGTTAATACATGTATAAATATATAATACATATCTGAGTAATATTGGCAGAGTTCAGATTCATCTCAAAATATTTGAGTAGCACCTTTCCTCAAAATATTCCATTTTTCCAATGGAGGTGGCCCATTAATTACCAATACATGGCCTTGAATCAAATGTCTTTTCCTCAAGTTATCTTTTATTTGGCATCAACTCTTACCTGGTCAGTTCGCATAGAACTAAAATACCCATCGCTGACAAGTGAAATCGGCTTATGACAGTTTTCTTATTTTTTTTCATGTTTTAGCGAATGTAAACAAAGGCAGTTGGGTTGCTACAGCTTTTTAACTTTTTTTCCACAGATACATATTTGTTGTCTGTAAAAATACATTAATTTCCCAAGAGAATGAGCTATCCGAACTTGCTGTGAAACATAATCTCAATTTTCAATAAGTCACAAATTTTACTGAAAGATCAGTTATAATCAATGTAAGCACATTGAGCATTAAGGATCGATCATACACACAGGGTGTTTATCCTGGTCCTGTACATAACTGTCTTATACTTTCAGGTAGAGCTCATCCATACATGTTTACCCTGGTCCTGTACACAACTGTCTTATACTTTCAGGTAGAGCTCATCCATACATGTTTACCCTGGTCCTGTACACAACTGTCTAATACTTCCAGGTAGAGCTCATCCATACATGTTTACCCTGGTCCTGTACACAACTGTCTATACTTCCAGGTAGAGCTCATCCATACATGTTTACCCTGGTCCTGTACACAACTGTCTATACTTCCAGGTAGAGCTCATCCATACATGTTTACCCTGGTCCTGTACACAACTGTCTATACTTCCACGTAGAGCTCATCCATACATGTTTACCCTGGTCCTGTACATAACTGTCTTATACTTTCAGGTAGAGCTCATCCATACATGTTTACCCTGGTCCTGTACACAACTGTCTTATACTTCCAGGTAGAGCTCATCCATACATGTTTACCCTGGTCCTGTACACAACTGTCTTATACTTTCAGGTAGAGCTCATCCATACATGTTTACCCTGGTCCTGTACACAACTGTCTTATACTTTCAGGTAGAGCTCATCCATACATGTTTACCCTGGTCCTGTACACAACTGTCTATACTTTCAGGTAGAGCTCATCCATATATGTTTACCCTGGTCCTGTACATAACAGTCTATATTACAAGATAGAGCTCATCCAAATATTTCTACCAGTTCCTGTACATAACTGTTTATATTATAAGGCAGAGCTCATACATATGTATTCCTCAAAAATGTTAATGACCAGTCTTTTTCCTTTTAGGTTTACAGTGTTTTCAGTAGGTTTGTCCAAAAGTGCGTCCCTGGGAAGCAATTTCCTATTGTCTTAAAATTAATAACCAGGTGATCCCACTTGACCAATAGAAAATGCTTTAGCTAACAGCCAATCATAGTACTCAGGTCTATCGAGTACTGTAGCTGCTAATTGAGTACTACATGCCTTGTACTATTTCGATCGGAAATCAACTTCCGGGAAGGAATATTCGAAAGAAAATTTTATTCATTTTGATTGAGTGGATTTTGACTAAATAAAGAGACTGGACGTAAGATCTTTATCAATATATTCATCCAAAGTTTTTTTGCACATGACTTGCACTGCGTCAACGGGACACAGTGATTTTCTATTTCCACATCCATCATCATTTTCTTGCACATTTGTAAAGTTGGAGCAGTGTTATTGAAAACATAGCGTTTACATGTCAAACCCTGTGTATGTTTGAACTCTATTTTCTAAGCCCGGAATGAAAGAAAAACTGATTATGTAAATTGACGTAAAACATAATAAAAAAAGCAACGCATCTTTTAAGCGTAGTCACTAGCTCGTTACATTCTTTGTTAATTCAACAGTATTACTGAAATGTTGAAGTTGAAGTTGACTTTACTAAAACTAATGTGTTCCTCTTAAATGATCATACATAATAGATAAAAAAAATGCATGAGTCTGTAACATTGCGTCTTCATTTAATGTTTATCAACAGATTTGAGGTACCTTCATCGTTAATGTAGCAACCATAACTCAAGCATATAAATTGGAAAACAAATATTACAAATATACATGCAAGAATAAAGTTTTATGTTACTCGAAACGAACATAAAACAGTGGAAGGAAGTGAACATATTATACTAGTTATTGATGAAAGAACTTAGGTCCTAACTATGAAGAATATGAACAACATCTCTTTCAAAAAGGTAAGAAAACATTGATGCAAAGTAGATTTAATTATTTATATATAAAATGGACCGTATGTGAAGGGCTCATTTTAGAATGAAGTAAGGTGCATGTGCAGTATGGCAAGTGATTTTAGACGGTCATATCTTTTTTCACAAGTACTTTCTGGCCACAAATGGGGTGGTTTTTATTAAGACAATATGTTTTCTTTCAAGTGAAGTCACCATACTACCAAAATATCAATCCAACTATCTGAAAAATTATGGTTTAGTACCCCACCTTGGCACTTTTTAAAAATTGTTTGGCTTATTTTCTAAAAGAGGATCTTGTTTTTCTCAACTAAAACATACCGAAAGTTTCTTCTATACAATATTAACAATTTCTGTAAAGGGGATGGGTATTGAAATGCGTTAAAGTTAAAAAGCACATATTCCATGTTATTTTCCCAAAGGAAAAACTCATGCTATCCAATGTTTTCAGTATGATTCTGGTCATCGAAGATTGATATCTTCAAAACCAAACTTTCATACCATTCTACTTTCAAAGAAGTTTTAGACCCTTTGTTGAATAATCTTTTCATGCAATAAAAATTAGAAAAAGAAGATCCTCTTTTGAGTAAATAAATTCAACATTTTGATACAATTGTTGACAAAGGGTCTGTATTCATAATTCTTTGAATTGTTTGATTGATATTTTTACCATCATGGGTATTTCACTTGAAAGAAAACATATCGTCTTAATAAAAACCACCGCAGAAAGTACTCATGGTGAAAGATATGATTGTTTAAAATCACTTGCCATATTGCACATGGACCTTTAAAGACAGAAGCCAAGATATGATTTATCTTTGGCCATTTTTTAGTTTTTTTCTAAAACAAAACGTAGGGACTTCAATTTGAATTACATATTCCTAGTACTCAAAATTGAGACTTTATTTGACCAGCTAATATCATTACTCCCATTGTTGGGGAATTGACAAACTAATTTGCTCCATAAGGGGACACACAACTTATTAATCCTTCCGCCGAGTGGGAAGACGAATAGATGGCACTTTAAAAACAATAGTCCAATTATTGTAATTATATTAGCATCACCAGTGGTTGGATTTTGGTAAGTACATGAATGAAAAAGTGTATGTATGGACCAACTCTAACACATGATTTAATGTGATTGAGATGCATTTTCTTTAAGAAATTTGACCCTTTTGACCTGCCTCCATCTGTCAAAGTCGAGCATGATATATATATTTTATTTGTTAAATTGAAAATGAGACTGTCTGTCTGTCTGTATTTTTTTGGTTTAAATAAAAACGACATAATTATTTCACCTTCATTTAACATCTGTGTCGTTCTTCAGGATTTGATGTGTAATTATTTTTTTTATCGTCTTTATCACTGGTGTTCTCCAGGGTTACACTAATTGTCACGCCTATTTTGATTCATGATCATTTTATATTTATTTTGATTCATGATCTTATTGGCAATAGAATTTGGGTGTATGAGCATACATAAATATACAGGCTGGATGAAGATGAAATGGGTGATGGTGATGTGTTGGGTGCACTCTCTATGGCAGCCCCTCACTAAGACTGAAAAGGGAAATTTTTATTATTTTTCCTAATTGATTCAAAAACTTTGGAAGTGCATAGAAATCACTGAATAACATTGTACTCTGTGCACCCTCATACCAGATAAAAGTGGAATTAATTAGTTTTTGATTTTTTATTATCTCAAACACAAAAAAGTGTCAAGAAACTATCAAATACTACCCCTCCGAAAACAATTGAATAAATTCAATTCTGAATTTTATTCTACTGTTTCTTACACTTAAAGTATTGGTAAAAAGATCTAAGAAGTATCACCATAAATAAGCTATAAATCCAATGTATGTAGTTTCGAATTTTCTATAAAATGTAACTTAACATGATGATATCATCATATATTTTGAACAATGATGATATCCCCATGTTATATCAATGGAGACAAATAAAAATAAAAACAGAAGATGTGAACTTTGTAAAGCTTAACCTCCCTTCCAAGGTCAATGCCAAGGATTGTCTAAGTATTATTCTACAATGATTTTGTAAATTAGATCCCTGCTGAAATCTCAAATTTATAAAAAACCATTAAGTTGTATGGTGCTCAACAAATTTAGAAATAGTCAATGATGTAATTATAACTAATATAGACTAATTTAAATCGTAAGTCTTTAACAATAAATTTAAAAAAAATTAAACAGTGTTTAATGAGTTATATCACACACTGTGAGTTTGGAGTCTATTTTGGTGTTATTTTTCAGTTGAAATTGTACAAAATGTTCTTGATGTCAAAGAATTTATGAAATTTTTAATTACTTATTTATTATCTATTCAAAAGAAATTTTTAAATATAAAATATTCTTTTGAAAAATGACCCCTGCGTTATCCCACATAAATAATAAACAGTAATGTTGTGTGATGCTAAAACAAGCAAAAATAAAAAATATCCCAGTGATCTCGCCAGAATTTTTTTTCAACTGGGTGCAACATTTTTCAAGGCTGAAAAAATGATATGACTTGTCGATATCTTCACTAGCACTGTTAATTTATGCATGTCACATTTGTGCACAATATAAGAAATATGCAATTCACATTCTTTCATTCAATCAGCAAGCATACTAGAACTATCGTTGTAATCAAACTGTTTGATTTTCTGCATTACAACTTGCTAGTGGACTGGCAGGCAATTACTTATTTTCTTTCATTCTCTTGCCTAATTTCATTGACAAAGTAAACTTAAAGACACATATTGGTTCCAATGGGAGCTTAAACTCTATTTATAGTTAATTTTCCATGACCATGAAAAAACAAAACGAAAAACTAGTACAAGCCTGGAGGCCATTTCTCGAAACTTTCGTTATTAACAAATAGTTAATTCAATTGTTGTTAAAGATTTTTCTGTTTCTCAAAAGATAATGATTTGCGATAACGTCATGATTTTTAACGATTTGTTTATTATCCATGACTGATTTAACGATAAGGTTAGGGGGGTCTCGTAATATAACAAATTATGGCTCATTATACACATTTCATATGATGATTAAACAAGAAAATACTGCCTTTATATAATATATAATACAATTATTCCTGCATTATTTGACACATTGAGTGAGAATATTTGTTGAAAATCTTTCCAAATATAAGGATGAAATGGAAGGTTTGTGAATGGGCTGGGTGTTTGTTGTCACACCACCCGAGCAGTTTAAAATTTGGATGTGACTTTAAAGGCCAGTTTTAAAGTTGCTCGTCACTCTCATTAAAATATCAGGTTACACCCACACTTTAACATGGCACAGATAGTCAGGATTAGTAAGTTTAATTAACATCATTGCTAAAAACTTGATTTTGATTGGCACAGCTTGAGGACTTTTAAATTTGAAAAATGTTATCAGTGTTTTTAAATGTCCTATCACAATCCAACAAAATGATGAAGTTGAAATCTAACTGCAGAATATGAACTTAAAAACATTGAAAGATACACATAACAATCAATTGGAATCAATAATCTTTTCAATCAATATGAATTGTGCGAAAATCGACCAGCTTTGTGAAAATATCAAAAATACAGTTATTTTGGCTGTTCCATTTGTCTGTCTCCTATTTATACCCGATTTCCCTCTTTAATGTGACTAACAATGATATGGACAGTAAACTGTTCATCAGATCGAAAATCATAGTTGGTTTGTTTCTGAAGTGTATAACAAGGACACTTTTTCCGGGAAAAAGGTTTAATTTTACATATGAATAGTAGCGTCAGGGTCAGAGGGGCCCAAGCCTACACGCTATTATTCTTGCTCCTAAAATCATTTTGTCAGTTTCACGAGCATATTTGATTTCATGTGTACATTAATGTATGAAGCTAAATTAACATTAACAGTTTGATGGAAAACAACAGCACTTGTCATTGAGAAAAACCAGAATAAAACAAAGCAGGTCACTAAGGAAATATCAAAAAATAACCCACGTCATAACTAATTAGGTGCCAAATATAACGATTTGCTCACTAACGAGATTATTTGAGAAACAAAATTTGCACATTTCGTTAATCAGTCGTTAATTTTACTATTTGCTATTAACGAATCATTAATAACAAAACGTTTCGAGAAACGGCCTCCTGTATCTGTCAATTTCAATTCAGACTTATACTTTCTAAAGTAGGTGAGTTTATGTTCTTTTAATCTGATTATGTCTTGAATTTTTTTGAAAATCTTTTTTTGAACAGGGGGCAAATTTTCAACTAGGCACCAACTAGGCAGGGTTTTGGGTCTAACTAGGTGCACCGCTCGGTTAAAAGATCTGATGAGATCACAGATAATTATAATAATAATATTGCTAATTACAAAGAATCGAAAGTTCATTTTTGTTCCATATGAATGACTTTTAATTAAGTAATCTTTTATTGTAATAAAATAAATATTCATGCAATGAACAGATAAAAGCTAGGCAAAGAAGATCCTTTAAACACCTCAAGGATAATATCTCTAAAAACTATTTTCTTGTGTTTCAGACTTTGTTCCTAATCCTTGTCTCCTGTGTTGCATTCACAGTGACAATTGCACTGCTTCTATTAGCCAACTCTGTGACTTTCTGGCCAGTAAAACCACTCCAAGGTCCACATATAAGGAAGAAGTATGACATGGACAAAACTCAATCTCCTTTTGACGAAACTCAAGCCCTGAAGGTACTAAGAAATCGAGGGTATCATGTGTATAATGCTACTTATGAACTGCAAAGAAATCTTAATGGAATTCAGAAAACAAAATCCAAGAAAACTGAGCCTTATAAGAAAGATAGAAAAATCAAAATTCTCATATGGACTACATTTTTTAGAAAGAGATATTATGTCAAAGGAGAACGGATACTGAAAGATTCTAACTGTTCTATAAAGCACTGTAATGTCCACTATGACAAGTCCGAAGCAGGGATAGCATCAAGTGATGCAGTATTATTCCATCTATGGGGCAGGGACTTTAAGATTGGTGATCCCATACCCAAGATTCGCTACTCTTGGCAGAACTACATATTTTTCTCAATGGAAAATCCAACATGGATTCACTTCACAACAAAAGTAAAATATTTGGATGGTTTCTTCAATTTAACAGCAACATACAAACAAAACTCAGATGTGCCTTTGGCATATGGCAAATACTTCCCACGAGATATGTCAAAACCAACCAATCTGAAGAATTACTACATGGAAAATAGGCGAAAAAGAAAAGATAAAGATGCCATTATTCTCTGGGTTGTAAGTAATTGTAAAACAGTTAATAACCGGATGCAATTTGTAAAGAAGTTACAGAAACATATCGCCATTGATATATTTGGAAGATGTGGAAAACCTTGCAAACGACACACAAAATGTAAGTTAATACGTAACATGTATAGATAGCCTTGCCCAAGTCGGTCTCTTTTACTTATCTTGATTTCTATTATGACCACCTTGTACCCAAGAGAAAGCCACATGCTTTACCGACCTAATGTTTATGTCGGTAAAATTTGACCAATCAACGACAGCTCTGACGCGTTAGCTCATTATTATGCACGGTCAAAAACAAGTACACTTTTCGACGGGACTTTTCACCAGCTTTACACGAATAAATCTTCCACGAATTCATCATGAAAGTATACAAATGTTTTATCAGATGAATATCAATCAGAGATTAGTGGATGCCAGAGCATCGATCAGATACCCGGAGGTGAGAAGATTTCAATAAGAAACGTTGAAATAATCGCTGAATGATCGAACACTTAGGCTGAGATGCAATTACTTAATCAAGTCCGTGATCAGATCTACATGGCTAGGTCTTTGTGCATTTTCATCGCGAATTCAGTTTTAAATCAACATTGATTTGCATGATTTAATTTATAATAATGACTGCTTACATTAATAATTACATAATTAAATATACATGTATTGTAATTCTAAAGAAACACTTGGTCAGATCATTGAATTTCAAGTCGTAGACGGGTAGTTTGCTTTGTTTATGCAGGTCAACCTGATAACATTTTGATTGGTCAATCAGCCTGAAGTCACGCGTCGTGTACATGCGATCTTGTTAATCAATAAGGTTTCGCGATACCCCTGACAGCGTAGGTATTATGGAAATCTAGAAACCGCTGAATAACTAAAGCATAATATCAGCAGAGATCTATTGGATTGTGCAAGGCAGTAATAATTCAAGATCAGATAAGTAAAAAATACCGACTTGGGCAAGGCTAATGTATAGATAATTAATACATATCTGAGTAATATTGGCAGAGTTCCGATTCATCTCAAAATATTCGAATAGCACCTTTCCACAAAATATTCCATTTTTCTAGTGGAGGCGGCCCATTAATTATTAATATATGGCCTTGAATCAAATGTCTTTCCTCAAGTTATCTTTTGTTATGTTATCATCGCCACAAACCTGGTCAGTACGCGTAGAACCAAAATACCCATCGCTGACATGTGTAATTGGCTAATGACAATTTTCTTATTATTTTCATGTTTTAGCGAATGTAAACAACGGCAGTTGTGTCGCTAAGGCTTTTTAACTCTTTTTTCCACAGATACGTATTTGTTGTCTGTAAAAATACATTTCATTTCCCTAGAGAATGCGCTATCCGAACTTGTTGTGAAACATAATCTCAATTTTAAGTAGAATAAGGTCACAAATTTTACTGAAGAGATCAGTTATAATCCTTAGTAATGTAAGCACATTGAGTAATAAGGATCGATCATACACACAGGGTGTTTACCCTGGGCCTGTACATAACTGTAAATACTTTCAGGTAAAGCTCATCCATATATATTTACCCTGGTTCTGTACAAAACTGTCTATACTTTCGAGTAGAGCTCATCCATGTGTGTTTACCCTGGTCATGTACATAACTGTCTATACTTTCAGGTAGAGCTCTTCCATATATGTTTACCCTGGTCATGTACATAACTGTCTATACTTTCAGGTAGAGCTCATCCATATATGTTTATCCTGGTCCTGTACACAACTATCTATACTTTCAGGTAGAGCTCATCCATATATGTTTATCCTGGTCCTGTTCACAACTATCTATACTTTCAGGTAGAGCTCATCCATATGTTTACCCTGGCCCTGTACACAACTATCTATACTTTCAGGTAGAGCTCATCCATATATGTTTATCCTGGTCCTGTACACAACTGTCTATACTTTGAGGTAGAGCTCATCCATATATGTTTACCCTGGCCCTGTACACAACTGTCTATACTTTCAGGTAGAGCTCATCCATATATGTTTATCCTGGTCCTGTCACAACTATCTATACTTTCAGGTAGAGCTCATCCATATGTTTACCCTGGCCCTGTACACAACTATCTATACTTTCAGGTAGAGCTCATCCATATATGTTTATCCTGGTCCTGTACACAACTGCCTATACTTTCAGGTAGAGCTCATCCATATATGTTTACCCTGGCCCTATATACAACTGTCTATACTTTCAGGTAGAGCTCATCCATATATGTTTATCCTGGTCCTGTACACAACTATCTATACTTTCAGGTAGAGCTCATCCATATATGTTTACCCTGGCCCTGTACACAACTGTCTATACTTTCAGGTAGAGCTCATCCATATATGTTTATCCTGTTCCTGTACAGTATATACTTTTTAAAATAGACTAAAAGTATCTAAAAGTTTTAGGTACAGCTCATCCATATACAGGGTGTCCCGAAAGTATTGGGCCCCCCCCCCCTAGGCATACATATTCCAGTGTCCTCATAGTATGTGTCATATATCATTTTAAAGCTTATCCAAAGTTACATTGATATGCCAAGTATCATGGTTTAACTCCCAAATGGGAAAAATTTACAGGCATTTCAAAATTTAGTGTTTGGTCAAAATTAAGTTCAATTTTACACCAAAACACTAGTCAATGTGTCCTCCTGGAATATGTCTGCCTAGGGGGGGGACATACTTTTGGGACACCCTGTATATTTACCCTGGTCCTGTACATAACTGTATATACTTTCAGGTAGAGCTCTTCCATATATGTTTACCCTGGTCCTGTACATAAGTGTTTATGCTTTCGGGTAGAGCTCTTCCATATATGTTTACCCTGGTCATGTACAAAACTGTTAATACTTTCGGGTAGAGCTCTTCCATATATGTTTACCCTGGTCCTGTACATAACTGTATATACTTTCGGGTAGAGCTCTTCCATATATGTTTACCCTGGTCCTGTACATAAGTGTATATGCTTTCGAGTAGAGCTCTTCCATATATGTTTACCCTGGTCATGTACATTACTGTATATACTTTCAGGTAGAGCTCTTCCATATATGTTTACCCTGGTCCTGTACATAACTGTATATACTTTCAGGTAGAGCTCATCCATATACAGGGTGGGCCAAAAAAAAACCAATACCCAACTTTAAATCAGACTGAAAATAGCTATGTTCAATATGATACATTGATTTATATATCATTTTAAAGGTAATCCATTTTCGAACAATTTGGTATATAACACTATGTCATGAAATCAATATTAAAGTTTTATTATGCTTATTTGGGAGGCTTGGTCGGTATTTATGGTATCCAGATTTTAGGGAGAAAATAGTAAATCTGCGGAATAATGTTAATTTTTTATTTATAGAATATCATTTTGTTAGGTGAATAAATGCTTGTATATTTGCATATTGTGTGACTAAACTTATTGTTTATGAATTTTAGTGTTGTTTATTATCAATAAGTACTCAAAGGGGGTCTGTTAAAAGACATTAAACGTATATATGACGAGAATTTTATTTTCCAACAAGATGTAGCCCCGTACCATAGATCTCAGGAGACATTGGCATTCCTTTGCAAACAAGGTGTCAATTTGATTGATCTCGATGCTTGGCCACCCAACAGCCCCGATGCTACATGTTATGTGTTTGATTACCATACATGGAGCCATCTCGAGGAAATGGTACAATCAAAAGCATCCAATAAACAGCTTTGATGAGCTGAAACAGAATCCTAAAGTGCTGAAATGAATTGCAACAGAAATTTCTCAATAAGGCTATTGATAGATTGCGCTACCACTTGAAGCTTATTGTTGATGCATAGGGGAGGGGGTGGGGGTATATTGAGCAACTGTGAAAATTGTTTAAATAAATAAAGTGTAAAATGTTATCAAATAACACTGAAATTCATAAACAATAAATTAAGTCACACAATGATGCAAATATCAATATCCAAGCATGTATTCACCTAACAAAAGAATGATATTCTATAGATAAAAGATTAACATAATTCTGCAGATTTACTATTTTCTCCCTAAATTCTGGAGACCTTAAATAGCGACCCAACCTCCCAAATAAGTATAATAAAACGTTACTATTGATTTCATGATGCAGTGTTATATACCAAATTGTTTGAGATTGTATGACCTTTAAAATGGTATGTAAGTCAATGTACCATATTGAATGTAACTATTTTTATCCTGATTCGAAGTTGGGTATTGTTTTTTTTGGCCCACCCTGTATGTTTACCCTGGTCCTGTACATAACTGTATATACTTTCGGGTAGAGCTCTTCCTTATATGTTTACCCTGGTCATGTATATAATTGTCTATATTTTTAGGCAAAGCTCATCCATATGTGTTTACCATTGTCCTGTACATATCTTTCTTTACTTTCTGGTAAAACTCAACTATATATGTTTCTGTATATAATTTACAGGGCTCTGTATATAATGATCTATACTTTCAGGTGGAACTCACTCGTATATGTTTTACATGGCCCTGGAAAATGCTGACTGCAAAGACTACATCACAGAAAAACTTTGGCATAATTCATTTGGGGCAAACTTAATTCCTGTAGTACAAGGATCTAAAGTTGAATATAGCAAACATCTCCCACCAAATTCATTCATTCATGTAGATACCTTCAACTCCGTAAAAGACTTGGCTATGTACATCACTAAAGTATCACATAATGAAACGCTTTATAATTCTTATTTTAAATGGAAGGAACTTTATCAGTCAACATACAATGGAGGTTTACGAAATCCTGACAACTTTTGTAAACTATGCACAGTGCTACATGAACGAAGACAGAATACTTCCTTTAACAAGGAATACAAGATCAGCTCTTGGTTTGATTGGAAGAATCAATGTGCCAGAAGAGTAAAAGTTTTACATTGACAGTGCAGGCACAAAAACATTCAGCAAAGAAAGCAATTGATCATTCGCACTTGAACTGTACAGATAATGTGAAGCCGCTGAATGTGTCATGTTGTGTCTACTAGCCACATATATATACTAGTATGTATTTATTCACATATACTAGTGGCATTACTACGGATGGTGGGAGGTCCTCCATCTATCTAAGTAATATATGGAGGACTTCCCACTATCCGTGGGCATTACACATTTATATTTCATTATTTCACTTTACTTAAGTAGTTTGTAGTTAGTTGTATGCTTTGTATATGACCCCTGATGGGGATTGAAATACAATAAAGCTAATAAATTTGAATTTGTGCAGAGTGTGTAAAATGAGAGGGAGGGGAAGTTTAAAAAAACAACAAAAAGATTTCATTGTTTCATGAAGATTCATTCTAGTGTGTACATTCTTATGATTATTATATATCCAAGAACATTTTTGAAACTGCTTATGATGGCGTTCATTTTGAAGACATCAAAAATGTATAGTTAAACCAGTATATCTGAATATAAACACTTTCTCTTTATACAAATTTCATTACCTCCCATTGGCTGACATATTAAGACACCTTGAAATGTGAACATCAGCTAATTTGAACACCCAGTGGTATTCAGATTAGACAGGTTTTCCTGCACATATAGAACCACACAAACACTTCATGTATCTTAATTTTCCGTGATATGGTAGATGCAGTGAATGTATGTTGAATGATGTAATAATATAGACCCATACACAGCGTTCTCCACAGAATTTTTTCTAAAGTGGGTGCAAATTTTCATTTCCACAATTCAGACCAAAATTGGCCAAATGCCCATTTTTCATGATTTTTCTAATTTTCAAGTGGATGCAAATGGATTCTCAGATGGGTTACAGGCCTCTCACCAGGAAATATTTAGGGTGTGGTGCTAACATCTTCAGAATAACCATTCAATCATGATAAATCATATTTATGTTATGTTTTATCCTTTTTACATGCTATTATTGTATATCCAGTCAAGTTTAGACTGTGGAAACAGTCATGATTTGCCAATAGGGTGTGGAGGGAGCTAAATAGAGTGTGGTGCTGCGCCACAGTCTAAAAGCCTGGCAAGAGCCCTGGGTTATCATCAAAATCTCAGGTGGATGCTGAGCCCACTTGTTTTAATGCTGGGGAGATAACTCAGATACACTAATTTTACCAATATATACACTGTACCACCACGAACCATACCACGCTACCAAACATAGCTAAAGCCAGTTAACACAGGTATAATTTATTGACCATATGACCAGAGATCACAATAGACGTTCCCCATTCTCCCTTCGCAAATTTCCAAAAGAGGTGCCAAAAAATATGTAAAGGTATTTCGCAGTTATGGCGAATTCCTTTTTTTACGGTTTACTCACCAAACAACTTCATAAATGTTGAATTTGAACGACTTTTCAGAAGAAAACTTTTTCGGAAAAGTAGATTTCTGGTCACTCATGACGCGACATATATTAATTTTACACACTATGCTATTTCACAGTAGAACTCTATCAGTATTGTGGCGCGTCATCATGTATCTGTATATTCACTCCAGGGTAGTTATGTCCTTCAAAAATGCCATAAAAATGCCTAACAATCTTAAACGCAAATTCCATGAGTATTTTTTAAAAGGAAAACAGTCATTAGAAGTGTTTAATTTTTTTTCGGTCAAAATGGCTAATTCATATTTTGGTTGGCTAAACATTTTTTGGAAGAATTAGGCACAATGGTTAAGAAGTTTTTTCAACTATCGTGATCTCTGCATATGACGCAGGCTCAGCAGACACACATTGGTAAATCTACTGTGAATATCAGCCAGAGTAAATAATTGGACATTTTGATTTCATGTTAAATGAACCTCTTTAAGTGTAAGCGAATCACCTACCAAATGAAACACTTATTTATTTATCTAAAATTGCTAACATGAAGTGGCTTACATAAGGTTTAATTATCCTATGCCAAGTAGAGTTTTGGGGAGATAAGTTGGTGAGATATATCCCGTATCCTGATTTTGAGGTTTCCATATCCAGAACCTCCATATCTCCCGCCATATCTCCCGCTTCGGTGCATATCTTCCCGCTTCCGGTGCATATCTTCCCGCTTCCGGTAATGCAATAAAATGACTTGATTTTTTATTTTTACACCTTGTACTATTGAAATGGCCATATGCCCCTGAAAACTCTACTTGGTATAGGATAATGCAGTTATGTACGGCCGGTTTGGATATGGGGTTCATCCCTCGTGAGATATGCACATCTACCTTCGGTCCCTACGGTCCCTCAGGTAGATATGCATATCTCCCTCTAGATAAACCCCATATCCAAAACCTCCCAGTACATAACCCTTATCTATACAGGGGTATGAAAATATACTTACATATCTATGGAACTCCTTGAATGAGTGAAACATATAGAATCTGTGAAAGAACACAACCCCTGTGGCACATGTGTCATAGCGTCTGACAAGAGTAAAGGAATCACAAATATGAAAAAACAAACATGAAAGACATATATATGACAAGGCATATAACATATAAGATTTTATGATTTCATCATTTTAATGTCTCTTGTGCCTGGTTTTGAAAGCCATTTGTAGAACATGAGACAATGTTCATACTTAATCTTATACAAAATATGTAATATGTTATCATTATCACCCATTTTTCTTTGTTTTAATATCTATGAAATAAACACATCCACAAATTGTAATTGTAATTTTGTTTCTCAATCTAATAATGTGTTTTATAATGTGGTTTGAAATGATAGACTCTTTGGAAAAGAACATTTATTATTGTTTAACACCTTGATTATGGATTGAAGTTAAAATCGATACTTTGCCACTATGTAATGTCGCCTGCTTATGTTTTTAATTCAACAATGGCATATACTTGTTCATGTATTATTCTATACGAAATAAATTGAAAAAAAAATCTGTGAAAGAAAAAAAAACAGCCCAAAAGCTTGCATACTTTTTTGAAATAATAGATATTTCAATCAATATACTTACAGAGAAATCAATAGAAGAATAAAAAATTACTATTATGGAAAAACTATAATTCAGAGTGTAATATGTTCCCACATTTAAATGAATTTGTATTAATAAACAAAACAGGCTTCCATTGAATTTTATAAGAAGGGTAGTACTGACTGACATTGTCATTGCATCTGCTGATTCATTTTGTCTGTAAATTAGCTATGAAAAAGTGTATTACATACATGTGAAAATCTTGAAATTTCTTATTAAAATAACCTGCTCCACCCCACTGACCAAATTAGGCAATGACATCCCATGACATCAAGGCATATAAATGAAACCGAACCAATTTCTAGTAGTTGATGAAACTAGTAGTTGAAATCACTAGTTGACATAAATATAATGTAATTTTATATATATAAGGATACAATCCCATCTTTGTGCCAGTGTCGATAATGAATCGCGCACCCTCTCTACGATATCGTGCCTCTGTATCAGGGTCGAGGCCATCTCTGTATGAGGGTGTATTTAGCAGATCTGCTTTGTCATAGTACCAGCAAGGCATTATCAACACCCTCACCTGAAACATGAAATTAATTTGATTATGCAGCAGCTCTAACATTTTCATGAATTCTATATCGTCATTTATGATTTGTAGGTGGGTAGCGGAAGTGAAAGACCATGTCGAAGATTTTTGCACTTTGAATCATTAATAACTTTACCAGTTTATATCATATTGTGATTCTTTTGGGAGGTATTGTATTTGATATTGCAAGGAATAGATTGATACTTGGTAGGTCAATTATACATGTTCCTTGTAATTTTGTCACCCCCTATAGATCTGATTCTGCCTTTAAATACACCCTGCCAATAAACTCTGTTAAGCCCAGTATACACCATTGGGGCAAGTTGGGACCTCCATAGGCTTAACATTACGTGGGACATAGTGGGACTTCTTGGGATTTTGCCCCATGCAGATTTTGCCCCATCTTGCCCCATCGAGTCCCATGAGGTCCCACGTAGGACTCCGTGGGATTCGATGGGGCAAGTTGGGACAAAATCAAACAGAGTCCTATCTTGCCCCATTGAGAATGAACATGTTCATTCTTTCCATCATAATGGGATTTTTGATCATATGACGTGTTGTGTGAAACCCAACATATACCAATGGGGCACGGTGGGATTTGGTAGGATTTGATGGGACTCCATGTGGCTCGATGGGGCAAAGTCATCAAGGTCCAATGGGACTTTGTGGGATTTGATGGGGCAAGTTGGGATTCTATGGGGCAAATGGGATTTTGCCCCATTGGTGTATTAACTGGGCTTTAGAAGGAATATTTGAACATTTTCAGAAAAATAAATTTTTAGACTGATGAGGAGCATGAAAAAATAAGGCTTGAATAGAGCCTAGGCCACCGGCCCAGGAAGAAGATTGAATCCCCCAATCCCCCTCACTATGTACTAGGCAAGGTAGAGAATAGACATTCTTGTATCGCAGAAATCTAAGCCTCTACTCTAATTGATCATATCTCGATCCATCACTGAGTATTGTCATGCATTATTTTTTTGTCCCAATGAAAGGCAAGACATATAATTCGTATTTATTGTAATTATAAGAGAACGAAATTTTGGATTTCAAGAAAATAGTCTTACCTTTCTATTAGGATGGGTTCAGGTGCCAAAAATAACTGATTCGTGGATATATTTCATTTTGAAAATTGGAAGTAAGAATATTTTTTGGAGGCCATGTTTTTTTACGGTCATATAGGAAATAGATTATCTAAATGAAAACTGGATTTACATCATTAATCCTGATTTTGGCTTAGAATGTTTACCTAAATATGTATTTAAATATTATTAGCATGATTATTGACTATTTTTTTATTAATATTATGCAGTGATTCGACTGTTTTCTAAAATTCATGACAGCTTAAAAATTACATGCTTTGTTAAACTTGGCCCTGTGGCCTAATGGATAAAGGTGATGGACTTCTCGTGTTTCAAATCCCGGTCGAGCCCAAGATTTTTTCTTTTTTATTTATCTCTGGGCCACAATATTTTTTAAAATCTTTTTTTATACAACATATTGTCATATCTATTGCTTTCTGAGGTTTTAGATTATGGATACATTGTCTGTGTGTTACTTTAATCAGCATAATTATGCAAACAACATTGGAAAATGTGACGAAAAAAGCCAGCACCTTTGAAACACTCTAATGTTTCAGAAAAACAAGATTTCTGGCACAAAATCATTCAACCTTGTCACTATTAGAATATAGTCCGGAGTAGGGATACTAGCGGTTACCATTGGTTATTTGATTTTCTGTATTAAAAAGCTTTTTCTCCTTTTCTGTCCCGTTGGAGCGCCATCTAGTGTTTGATAAATGAATCAAGGTTTATTCTCGATAGGGTAAGTACTAATCTATCAGGAAACATTTACAAGTTTGGTTAGAAACAGAATTTTTAGAGACGGCGGAGTGATTTTTGAGACTACAGTAAAACCTGTCTTAATGAACACCTCTCTCTAGTGAACACCTGTCCCTAGTGGACACCCTTCCTACGCACATAGTCCACTGACTTCTGTATAAATTACCCTCTCTCTAGTGAACACCTACCCACAGTGAACGTTTTTTCTTGGCAAAAAAATGTTCACTATACACAAGTTTTACTATTTTTTTCAAGGCCTGTCTGCGTTGCTAACATACTAAATATAAGAGTTAGCTGACGTTTGGGAGTCTGACTTACCTTCTAAAGGTTAGAACCCGAATCTTAATGAAACCATATCACCTTTGTTCCGTCAACCATGGAGCATTTGCCACAACATCCAAGAGGTAAATCATGGATCGAGAAAATGAATGATTTCCTTGTAAGTTCCGGAAGTTTCAATACGAAAAATTACCGAACATATGTGAAAACCGAATATTTGTTCGTTGTTTTCACGATTTACAGGTTCGTTTGTTCTTCAATGTTTTGGTCTAAATTATAAAGCATCACCAACAGGTCTTTCTCTATTAATCGACTAATACAGCAGACGGCTCATATTTCAACGTAGCATTTCATTCAGACCAATAGTGGGAGTGTAGATCATGCAGTTTCGTTCGTTGCGTACTTCACTTGAAATTGGTAATTTTTAATATTGACTACTTCACTTAGCTTGGCGGATGTAGAACGTTGCTTAATATTCTTTTAATTTTCACACCAGACATGCTTGGTTGACACGTCAACAAAGTAAAGTTCAAGGGTCAATGCGTTATTTCGTGATAACTACAACGCCTTCCCGGAAGTCAACATTGATGAAAAATGAAAAAGTCGGAAAAGCATTTACGCTAATTTCTATCAAATGCTATGTTTATGCATCATCATCGACGCAACAAAGGTGATATAGTTTCATTAAGATTCGGGTTCTAACCTTTAGAAGGTAAGTCAGACTCCCAAACGTCAGCTAACTCTTATATTTAGCATGTTAGCGACGCAGACAGGCCTTGAAAAAAATAGTACTGTATGTAGAGCAGAATAATTTTCTGAAACCGGTAGCTTTACAGTGGGAGCTCTCTCCAGATTCAGTTATCTCAAAAAATGGTTTGGTCACCGTATGCTATGCTTATTTTGTAACAGCAAGCTAGACAAGACTCCAATGAACACTGGGCACTGTTTCGCTGAGCTAGATCTGTGCCTATGAATATATTATGAAATGAAACGTTATAATGATTTTCAATGGGATTTTTACTGCAATCTTGACCCAAATCAAAAAATTATATGAAAAATTATCAAAATAAAAAATTCTGGAGAATAAATCAACGAAATCCGTCTAATAGAGCGTTAGGGGAAGTGGTCCTAATTATCGCACGGTCCTAATTATCGCACGATTGTCCTAAATAGCTAAAATATGCACCCACCATCTTTTAAACCAGTGTTACGAAAAACAGTTCAACACCATTACTCCCAATCTTAATGATTTATTCATATATTTAGAAATATCTCTTCATTTTTTAAGAATTGTTAACTTCCGCCATTGTCATAAATGCTTTTGCGCAAGAAGTGAAATTCGTCTGACAAATTTTGACCCCCTATGTCTATGTCTATGTCAATAATCTGCAAAAGGCTAATAAGCCCATATAAAGCAGATATATAATTTAACCCCCTCCAAATAAAGACAGAAAAGTAAGTGTATAATGTATATTTTGTTGATATTTTACACTAAAACTGATAGAAAAATGATTACAGCATATGTATGTATCTGTTATAAACAGAGAAATGTATACAGTATCGTGAAATGACATCTGAAACATAACTGTGCGATAATTAGGACCACCGCACATGCGAGTCTAAGGGGTCTTAAAGTGTTAGCGTTCGGAGATTGAGAAATGTCAAACACTACTTAGATTTTAGAGGAAAGGTTGATCTTTCGTCTCATATTCTCAAAGTAAGTTGAAGTTATCATATTTGAAATCGTCAGTAGTTTCCCTGAGTACCCGTGCGATGATAGGACGACTTCCCCTATATTAATTTTTTAGGTGATTGTATTAAATTGTTAGATATTCACTCTGCTAAAACAATGAAAAATAACTTATTCCGACTTACCTTCACGACAATAAGGAGAAACTTTGGTAAATTTTGAAAGTGAAGGTTCACGTTTCCTGATCCACCATGTTTATCTACACAAAAACCGATGACGTAGAGGAGAATTCAGTAACTAATTTTCACATATTAGTAATTTGAAATGTAGTTGAGCAAATAAAATAGTCTATCAATATATAAAGTGATTTTTTAATATTAATTCAGATGTTATGCCAACACATGAATGAGTTTATTTTTGATTTTATGCTTATGAAAAATCTAAAATATTTGTACAAAGCTCCCCATTTTCGCGCAATAAATTTACCGCGAAATTTTCCTGGCACCAAGTTTACTAAATACTTTCACGTTTCCTCCATTTATTGAACAACGTAGGCGAACTTTTGCAGAATCAATATGGGGGTGAGTTGGATATATTTTTTTATCTTGTAGGAAAAGGATCAGAAAGTCCAATGTAAGATTAGAACAAGATCTTGTAAGTAAATTCGAATGTCACTCAACCTACTATTTTTTTCATGGCCTGAGTTCGTCGCTAACATGCTAAATATAAGATTTAGCTGACGTTTGGGAGTCTGACCATAGGCTAAGGGTTAAGTAATAGTAAGCTGTATATAGAAGAGACAGGTGAACAACTAGGATTTAGGCCACTTGTTAACATGGCGATTTTAACATTATTTGTGTACAATTTTCAAAAAACAATGCAGAGTTGATCCAAAATTGATAGTTCTCAATTCTTACCTATGAATCAACCACATTCAAGTGATATAGAGTGAATAAAGCCGTCTTGAGGCGAGATATTCTGAAAACCTACAATTGGCTGGCAAGTTACCCGGATTTCCGTGTTGAATCATGAATGGAAGTTTGAAACAAGGAATTTGATTGGTTCCTGCTAACCGCCGCCAGTGACACCTATCTGGTTCTCTAAAATGTAATTTATTTTCTAGAAATAACAATCAATTAAAGTGTACAAAACTATAAAAGGTTTACTTAATAATTATTTATCAAAACATCTGATTCATATAATATCTTTTTAAACCCAATTTAAATGGTGAAATTAAAATTTTTCTTGGAATTTTAAACTTCTAATTACAACCAATCAAATCAATCGTTACAAGATTCAATCTTTCCATGTGTCCGGAAGTTTCAACTTGCCGGGCAATTGCAGGTTCGTACAGTTGGTGTTTTTTTATGCTGTCTTATCGAAGAGTTAGGATATAGATTTGAAATATTCAACAATCTACGTTTCGAAAACACTTTGGACAAGATTCTTGGGAGATTTGGTGGTACGACTCGATACCAGTAAGGAGAACTCGTACCAAGACGGCAAGTTTTTGAAAAAATTTTCAATCCTAATTGTTTACCTGTCTCTTCTATATACAGCTTACTATTACTTAACCCTTAGCCTATGAGTCTGACTTACCTTCTAAAGGTTAGAACCCGAATCTTAATGAAACCATATCACCTTTGTTGCGTTGATGATGATGCATAAACACAGCTACAGGCCCGTAGCCAGGATTTGGCAAGGGGGTTCAGTTTTCAAAAATTTCCAGGGGGGGGTTCACATTTGACAATTTTGGCCCAAATATGGCTAAAATCACAAGAGAAGTGCTCAAAATGGTGAAAAACTGCATGATTTTGAAAGAATTTTTGGCCAGGGGGGGGGTTCGCCCGAACCCTGCGAACCCCCCCTGGCTACGGGCGGGCCTGTCAGCATTTGATAGAAATTAGTGTAAATGCTTTTCCGACTTTTCATTTTTCATCAATGTTGACTTCCGGGAAGGCGTTGTAGTTATCACGAAATAACGCATTGACCCTTGAACTTTACTTTGTTGACGTGTCAACCAAGCATGTCTGGTGTGAAAATTAAAAGAATATTAAGCAATGTTCTACATCCCCTAAGCTAAGTGAAGTAGCCAATATTTAAAATTACCAATTTCAAGTGAAGTACGCAACGAACGAAACTGCGTGATCTACACTCCCACTATTGGTCTGAACGAAATGCTACGTAGAAATACTAGCCGTTTGCTGTATTAGTCGATTAATGGAGTAAGACCTGTTGGTGATGCTTTATAATTTAGACCAAAACATTGGAGAACAAACGAACCTGTAAATCGTGAAAACAACGAACAAATATTCGGTTTTCACATATGTTCGGTAATTTTTCGTATTGAAACTTCCGGAACTTCCAAGGAAATCATTATTTTCACGGTCCATGATTTACCTCTTGGATGTTGTGGCAAATGCTCCATGGTTGACGGAACAAAGGTGATATGGTTTCATTAAGATTGGGTTCTAACCTAGACTATATCCTATTTAGTCTGAATTATATTCAGACTATAAGGCACCTATGTTAAAGTTTGGTAATTCTAAATATTTGTTTACATAGGAAGTGCTATTCAAAATGGCCGATTGGGTAAAATTAATTTGCACATTTGTTACTTCAACTAGCTTTATTTCCACTTGACAATATGCTGTGTTACTTTTTATTGCATTTAATTGTACCTTACTATTTAATTGAAATTTTGTTATGCAGCGGTGGCGGTAGGCATATATTTTTGTGAGTCATCATGACTCAGGTAGTTTCAAAAAAGTGAGTCACAAGAAAAAAAGTTGAGTCAAAGCTATAAAAGTGTTTTTCTTGAGTAAAAATGCATACAAAATGTAGAAACCACATACAAAATCTATTTTTTGATTTTGTGCATACCTTTTATTTTACTCTTATAGCACATTAACAACTAACAATTAATTAATTAGGCAATTGCAAGAAAAATGTCACTATTAATCATCTGATTATCTGGTCCAGTGAGTCATGGGTGTGAATGGAGTGGGAGAGGAGTTTCTCCCTGTGTGTAGTTACACAAATTGGGGTCAAAGCGTTTCATGTTGAAATTCAACATTTTTGCAATCATTCCAAAGTCTAAAACGGCAATATAAGTCCGACCACTTGAGGGAGTTAATTGAAAATACTTGGTGAAAACTTACGATAGATCGGTCACTGTGAGCACCATTGATAAACCTACTGCGCATTACATCTGCGCATGCTGATGAAGGGGACGGCTCAAGGAAACTTGCTAACTTAGCGAAGGAATTTTGCGAACTTGCGAAGGAAACTAAAGGTTCGTAAATCTAGCGTGTGAACATTCAAGGGAAGATTTTATGCGGTAATTTAGATAAATATACGATCACTAAAATCCTTAGAAGGGAGTATGAAATTAATAAATTATTGTTCAATGTTATGTTCGTTTTATTGCATTTTTGATACGCCCCCTAGCAACGTGCTTCACGAGATAAACAAATCGAGGGATCGATCAATGTTTTCAAGTTTATCATTGAATCTGAATCACAGGGCTTTAAAAATTATATGAAATACCGAAATGAGAAAATGATCGGTAGGAAGGAGGCTCGATTGCGCTGAACGAAATGTTAGATTTCCGGAATTAGCAAAATTATAAATTTGATCAATCACGTATTTTCACGTATAGGGATCAATTTAACCAAGTACCAAGCGGGGATTTTGCATGTGAAACAAACGTGCGTCAGAAAGACTCGGTAGACAATGAATATTTGCGTCAGAGTTGCAAAAATGTGAGTAAAAAACGTAAAAAATTGCGTTAACGCCACCTCTGGTTATGTTTATTTTATTGAAGAAATGGTTCCTCCAATTGATAATTTTGTGCAAAAAATTTCACTGCAATTTCCACAGGAAAGTGGTATATCATAACAGACTGACTTCTAGTCAGTCTGTTGGATACATACTAGGTTCTAACCTTTAGAAGGTAAGTCAGACTCCCAAACGTCAGCTATTTCTTATATTTAGCATGTTAGCAACGAACTCAGGCCATGAAAAAAATAGTAGAGTCCATTTCACTGCTTCATTTCGTCAGTAGAACGGCAAAAATAAGAAATTGGGAGACCATTGTGCAATAATATATGGAAAAGTATATTCATAATGTACATGAATGACATTTGTATATTTCAGATTTTTTAGTTTTTTGTGCAATAAGCCTGTGCCGTCTTGTAATTTGAAGAATTTCAGCCATGTTAATCTTATTGAAAATAACATGGCAGAGGAACATCCAAATATAAGAGGCCACACACTTTATAAGCCAAACTAGAAGCAATCCAAGATATACAAATATCATTCATGTACATTAATACACTGTATTATGAATATACTTTTCCATATATTATTGCACAATTCCGTTGCCGTTCTACTGACGAAATGAAGCAGTGAAATGGACTCTACCTGTACAGCATAAATATACAGTCAACAAGACTATATCCTCTAGTCTGAAATTTTTTGAAATTTTGAATGAAAATTGTCAGGATAATTCATTCTGTTGAAAAAATAGTGTCAAACTAACTTTTTCTTATCCTATTCATATAGGCCTAGTGATCATACTAGGGTGAAGGGGTGTAATGTCGATACCATTTTGGGGGTAACTTCGACATGTGGGGTTACTTCAACACCTCTTATTTCCGATCTAGGGGGAAGCCATGTTTTTTTCTCGCATGGATCGAGATCTCGCAAGATTTTCATTTTTCCAGAAATCAAACCTGGTGGAAAACGGAAATTCTACTATTAATGATGAAGTGTCAAAGTAGTTCAACAAGTTCAACCTAGTCTAGGCCTTATTTCTTATCTGACATATCTTGTGGCCTGCCCTAGGTTTAACATCCGTGCCTATTCAGCCCTTGATGCAAAAAAATTAATGGTGGCCTATGGCAGCTCATGGAATTCCATGTGCGTTTTATTAATAACTGATGGTGAGAATTTGCAACCAATGAAAGCATAGCACGGAAGTTAAACCCAATCACGGCAACAAGAACATTCAGATTAATAAATAAAAGCCATGGTATTGGGTTTAACTTGTCGAACTAGTGTCGAAGTTGCCCTGTCTCTTTTGTCAACATTACCCCACACATCGACATTACACACCTTTGCCCTACTGTAAGTTTGGTCAGTAGCTCAGAATTTTGAAGCAATCCTCAATAGAGAATCAAACCTAGGACCCTTGGATCCAAAGAATGATGCTCTACCAACTGAGCTATAAAGGCTTAACCACTAAAGCTGGGCTGAAGTAGCAACTTGCTATCAAGGGTTTTTACACTATCCCCCTTTGAAAGGACCACGCTTTCTATCCAAAATTAGACTGATCCCCCTCCGTTCATTTTGTCCGATCGCCAGGCATGAATTTACACAAGTCAGGAAATCTCTGGTATATTTTAACTTTGCTTTGTTTTTCAGCGAAAATCAGCAAAAGGTAAAGAAAAGGCAAAAGCAAGAAAAGAGGTAAATCTACAGCAAATACACTGACTTTATTAATGTTAAAGATACACTTAATTGTCAAGAAAAATTTACATGAATTAGTCAAATAGGTATTACATGTACATGTATTTTTAATATAAAGTATTATAGGATAAATCTTCACAGTTTAGATAATGAACTCTTTATAATGTTTCATCGAGTGACATTGCAAGTAGCCAGGCAACCAGGTGATAACATTGATTGATGCTTGATGCCTCAGTTCATGTGCATTGCTACATTCAAATTATTCTTTTGCAGGAAAATAAACAGCTGAAGATCTCTATGGCAGAAGTTGATGAAGTTAATAAGATAGAGGATCCAATGGCACCACTTGCAGCCTTCAAAAAGTTTGAAAGAAATGGGTAAGCATTAATATAGCAAGAATTATGAAGTACATGTACGTGGGGGTGTTAAGAGGATCCAATGGCACCATTAGCTGCCTTCAAAAAGTTTGAGAGAAATGGGTGAGCTCCTATTGCAAAGTCTGTCTCTGATCTGTAAAGGACAGCCTTTAACCGTGTGATCTAAGTGACTTGATAATTGTAACGGCTGGAACTAAAATACTGAATTCAGCAGCTTACTTTTCTAAGTGTTCCTAACATCAGTGGCCTTTGCTTGTGAAACTATGGAAAGTTTCAGCTTTTCAATTATCAGATCAGCCTGGCCTTTGAAATAGGTAAGGTAAGCACTTTGAAATAGGTAAGAAAAACAATTTGAAATAGATAATGTAAGCACCTTGAAATAGGTAAGATGAGCTCTTTGAAATAGGTGAGATAAGCAATTTGAAATAGGTAAGATAAGCACCTTGAAATAGATAAGGTAAGCATCTTGAAATAGGTAATATGAGCACTTTGAAATAGGTGAGATAAGCAATTTGAAATAGGTAAGATAAGCACCTTGAAATAGATAAGGTAAGCACTTTGAAATAAAAAAGATAAGTACTTTGAAATAGATGAGGTAAGCACTTTGAAATAGGAAATATAAGCACTTTGAAATAGGTAAGATAAGTGCTTTGAAATAGATCAGGCAAGCACTTTGAAATAGGTAAGATAAGCACCTGAAAAAGATATGGTAAACACTTTGAAATAGGTAAGATAAGCACTTTGAAATAGATCAGGCAAGCACTTTGAAATAGGTAAGATAAGCACTTTGAAAAAGATAAGGTAAACACTTTGAAATAGGTAAGATAAGCACTTTGAAATAGATCAGGCAAGCACTTTGAAATAGGTAAGATAAGCACCTGAAAAAGATATGGTAAACACTTTGAAATAGGAAAGATAAGCACTTTGAAAAAGATAAGTTAAGCACTTTGAAATAGGAAATATAAGCACTTTGAAATAGGTAAGATAAGTGCTTTGAAATAGATCAGGCAAGCACTTTGAAATAGGTAAGATAAGCACCTGAAAAGGATATGGTAAACACTTTGAAATAGGAAAGATAAGCACTTTGAAAAAGATAAGTTAAGCACTTTGAAATATGAAAGATAAGCACTTTGAAATAGGTAAGATAAGCGCTTTGAAATAGATCAGGCAAGCACTTTGAAATATGTAAGCACCTGAAAAAGATATGGTAAACACTTTGAAATAGGAAAGATAAGCACTTTGAAAAAGATAAGTTAAGCACTTTGAAATATGAAAGATAAGTACTTTGAAATAGATAAGGTAAGCACTTTGATATATAAAAGATAAGCACTTTGAAATAGATAAGGTAAGCACTTTGATATATAAAAGATAAGCACTTTGAAATAGATAAGGTAAGCACTTTTTGTCTTGTTCTGTCATGAAAGTGATAATGAATAAATTAAAATTTTCAGGTAAACAATTAATGAAAACGTATCAAATTAACATATACACGTGTGGCTAAAATATAATATGCATATATATTTATTATTTACAGTATTTAAACTCCTTACATGTATATACAGAGTAAAAGTGTGAAATTAAGGCTCTAGAAATATGAGGAATCACATACCATAGGAGCCCATTGACTGGTTCCATTTTTAGTGAATTTTTAGTTTTTTTAAGTTAAAAATCAAGATGGTGGTCACTAGAGCCAGCTCAATATCAAATATATGTCAAGGAATCTACAAACATTTACAAACATTGTGACAGGACATTGACATTAAAATATAAATATACACATGGATAGGAATGTAAAAGCAGTGACTGAGTCTTTTCATCCATGATTAAAAAGATTTAAAAACCAAGGTATATCAAATGTTAACATATGACTTAAAGGAAGTATCTGATCTGTAGGGGGCATGATTATAAGCAATGTTGCAAGCAATATGTACAATTGTCCTACCAATGTATTCATTACAATCTCAAATATGGTATCTCCCAAAATATCAGTGATTTGTTATCAATTGAAGTTGTATAAGATTCAAAGTGCAGAAAGATACTACCAAAATAATTAAAATGGTAACCATGTTTTAAACAAATGAATGCAGTGTTTTGAAAATCTTTATCTTTCCTCAAATAAAGAATACACTTTATGATATGAATCAAAAATGGACTAAAATTGAAACAATTTTCTTCAATTTTATGATGATGATTACTTGCATGATCTGATTCTGCGTTTTGGCCCTTTTATATTATTAAGAATGTTAAGCTTAACAATGATATAATAAAACAAATATTTAATTCTATTTTTGCTGAATATCTGCAACACTTTTACTCAATGATATTACACTAGCCCTTCAGATTTTGTGGAATATCAATTGTGAAAGATGCACAGGTTTTCACCTCAATAGAATGAAATATATGTTCAGTATTGAACCTAAGAATATACAGAAGTTAAGTAGATCTCTATCCTTTTATGAGTTTGTATGATGCTGCACTACTCTTTTCTAGATATTTCCTCAAGTGTAGGATCAAGGTTGGTCAAGGCAAAAATATGCCGACGTTTTTTTTTCATTTTTTTATGTTGGTGCAAACAGGTGCAAGCCAAAATCTCAATGCACCCACTTGTTTCAGCACTGGGATGTGAACAATAGTTTTATTTGTGTAATCTCTAAATCTCAGTTGTTTTCTCATATGGTGTAATGCTACCACTCTCTGTTGTCTTTGGCCTGTCTTTGCAGAGTAGCAGTATAAGTGCTGATAGAATTAACCCAATAGCAATCGGTAATCCAATGAAAAATACCAAATAGACCCATACTCGAGGAATACAGGTCGTGACCACGTCAATCTTCTTCGCACTTGAGGGTACCTTGTACGATAGCAGGATGTTAAGGTTGGCTCTATAGGGAAAGTCTATAGTGCATGAAGATTGATCGGTAGTTGATAAGACACATTCTTTCTTGGTGGTTGATAAGTTGTAACGTGTTCTTCTTAGAAAGATTGTCATATTAATGTCTGCAAAGTTTATCCCCCGTTGTTCGGATAGTCGTGATCGAGCGTAAATGAAGAAATAATCATCTGTAGTGGATATCTGAAAGTTTTCTTGGTAGGTACCATTTAAATACATGGCGGTATAATCAGCACGTTTTTGGAGTTGATTACAATTATCCATGCAATGTCTAAATCTATTTTGCCACATTATACGACGAGATATTCCTTTTGCCATGTAGAATTCAACATGTGCATTGACTGTTGTCGTGATTGTGACTTCAGATCCAGCTATTAAGTGATAGCCCCAGTATTCAAATCTTCTATCATAAATGGTGCTCGCTGTTTGGACAGTTTGTTCCAATGTTTCATTTTTATCAATAGATGGCGCATCTGGTGTTGTGTACACATCAACCGTTTCACTTTCTTTGTTTGTTATCTCAAGTCCTGTACACATAAAGCTGTTGAATCTATTTTGGATATGCCTCATATCCCCTGGCGAGGAGGATATCATTTCAGGGCCATATGCAGAATATCTAATAGGAAGTCCTATCAACAGAGCAAGTAGGACAATCCAGACCCAAAGAACGAGGACTTTGTGCATCTTTGACATGGTGGGATTTAAACACACTATGAATTTTAGAATAGGGCAAACGCGTCCCCAACATCTAGCACCGTCTCTCTTGTTACCACTGCAACTGCCACGACCACCACATTTTTTACTGGAATCGCCACCACAAGTAGCATTACCACTGAAACCGCCACGAAAAGCAGGATTTCCATGCATTGTAGCTTATAACTGCACTGTAATGAAAAATATTTGATAGATTAACAATTGATTTCTAACAAATGAAACTGTATTTATTGTCGATCACTTGCTGGTTCCATAACATCAATAATACAAACATGGAGAAAGTATGAAGAAAATACTAAAACAAAAAATGGCTGACGAACTGTCTTGAATCCGCCAAATTAAATAGCCGCCAATATTTGAAATTGAACAAATCCGTCAAATAGGTAGCGTCAAATTAAGTGTATCTACAGATAAGTTCTTTGTCAATAAAACCTACAAAAGGAATCAAAGCCCATAGTGTTTAGTAATATTATATATATATTATATTTAAATAGATGTGATTGTCAAGATAATTTTGAGAATTTAGAGTATTGTTATATAGAAAAAGTCAAAAAGAAACTACTGCTTACATATGAAACAACTTGGAATGATTTAGTACACAAGAAACCAAAATTAAGAACATATGTCAAATTCAAAACATCATACAAAACTGAGTCATATTTATTGCTAAATTTATCTAAGTTGGAACGATCTTTAATTGCACAATTACGTATGGGAATTTTACCACTGGAAATTGAAACAGGCAGATTTAGAAATGAAAAATTGGAAAATAGAAAATGTACTTTATGTAAATCTGGCAACATTGAGGATGAGGAACATTTTATTTTTAATTGTACATTTTATAAGGAAATAAGGGAAACATATTTACAAAATCACCAAATTTTTGAAGAAACAGAATCAACTACGGATCAAAAGTTTCAGTATTTATTTGAAAAAATGCCTAGGCAAGCTGCTCATTTTGTTAAACTTTGTTATTTTAAAAGAAGAAATGCCATTTATAATGTAAATTGAATTTAACTGCATGTATGTGTCTAAGAAATTCATGCTAGTATTTTTAAAAATTTTTGTTATGAATCTAATAGTAATTTTTAACATTAGTGGTTGATAAGCCCAAGTGGGCTGGGTTGCTTTTTATTACTTTTCTTTTGTATTGTATTGTATTGCATTGTATTGAACCTACCACTGTAAATAACAATAAAACTAAACTAAACTATATCCCAAAAGAAAAATATATTCATATTGTACATGAATGACAATTATATATGTATATCATGGATTGCTAATGGTTTGATGCTTCTCCAAAACTCTTAAGGTCAGGGTGCACTTTGTTTGATGAAATTTCATGACCATGTGCTATTTTCAGATAAACATTCTTTCCACACATCATCTACATCTTTCATTCTTGCACAAAAGATGCATTAGTGTACCTAGACTATTAATTTAGGGTTGATAATTCTTCAGAATGTTTGAATAACTAGAATATTCAGTGTTTGCTTTTCAAAATTGCAAAAGAATTCCAAAGTGCACCCTGACCTTAAATTACAAAATCGACAGGTTAGTGTTCATACAACTAATTTATCCGAACCATACAAATGTCTTTTGTGTTCAATATTACTTTACTATATTTCTCTCCATATAAGTATTTTTCCATGTATTGTACTGCAATCTTTTGATTCCTTATTCTGTTTTATTTGGTTTATTTATTATAAGGTTAATTGACAAAAATCAAACATTGAAATGGACTAATCTTGGAACATTAAGTCACTTACCTAAATAAGTCTAAATATATAGTTGTAAATAATAGTGTTATCTTGTTCCCAAAGAATTGAAACTACTAATATTTTACAGCTCCTATGTACAGGCAAGACAAGTCTATAAGCACCACTCCTATTGTGGTGTCCTTATACCTGTGTATAACAAATGCAGTAGATCGACATGTATATATATGGCACTATAAGCAGTTGATTCACAATCAAGGCAAGACAAGTCTATTGCTCCTATGGTGGTGCCCTTATATCTGTGTATTACAAATGCAGTAGACCTATATATATGGTACTATAAGCAGTTGATTCACAATCAAGGCAAGACAAGTCTATTGCTCCTATGGTGGTGCCCTTATATCTGTGTATTACAAATGCAGTAGACCTATATATATGGTACTATAAGCAGTTGATTCACAATCAAGGCAAGACAAGTCTATTGCTCCTATGGTGGTGCCCTTATATCTGTGTATTACAAATGCAGTAGACCTATATATATGGTACTATGAGCAGTTGATTCACAATCACATTTACCTGGCTCAATACCAATATTGAGCCCTTGCAAATTTCTTACATTATATAAGAAATGGATAAAACATGGATTCTAGCGATACCATTCTCAATAATAACCAAACGAATGAATGGGTATGGTGGATTATTTTTAGATTTATATTGATAAAGGATTAGACTGGTATAACAAACACTGAAGGTTATGATTAACAGGACAGGGTCTACCCATATATTAACCCATTCTTCTATTTATGTTAATATTTACCTGCAGTTGAACCTGTTTATATCAAACGCCACTGAGACTGACTCAATATTTATATAAAAACATTCTTTAACATGGGGGTCAACAGAGAGAGAAGAATTTGTCAGAAAAATGTTTAGTTTCACACTTGGAGTATTTTGATTAAAGAGTTTTCATCAGCTTTATGCGGCTTTTGATTTTATTGAATTTCTTTTCTATGTCATAATGCTTGGTATTAAATTAATGGACTATGGATTAATAACAAGTTTTACATTTAAATATTTGGGTTCAAAGTTCATTTGTCATACTACAGGTTGACTCAATAATTCAAAACTCTAATTTTCGAATAATTCTTAATTTTGGTGGAATCTTTAATCATCTCATTGATGGAGTTGTCATAATTGTACATAAGTGCCTTTTCTTGTCGATTATTGTACATTATTTATAATTCTACACTTAAGTAGATCTGACCATAGTCACCATTCAAAATTAGAAAGTGGGTTACATTTTATGTCACCCTGTAGTATGCATACCTAATAATTTCACATCATTGAAACAAGTAGTTATTGCACATATCAAATGTTTCACCAATTTGCGTATCATTTTGTTTTGATGGAAATATTGGACACTTGGATTTTATAGTTTGGTTCCATGTGAAGTTTGAAAAATAATGTTGTAATGTTTGCATGATCATCCAAAAAGTTGTAAAAATATTGTTTTTAATCATCCAATTTATTTTTCGTAATTTAAAAAAATGTTTGAGTCATTTTTTCTAATACTCAGGAGAGCCTTATTATATGAACACTATAGGCCACATTAACTTTGAGGCAGGAGTTATACTATGGTCTCCTCACATATGAACAAATCTACTAAATGCGTCTTGCGAATTGAGTAAATCGTAAATTCATTCAATTGAAAATATTAACATTCGAATTGAACTGCTGCACATGCTTCCAAACCCTTTCGAAGCTTTCCAAAAAGATACTCCCACATACGAACACCAAAATGATGTATAACATACATATTACGAATGGGAACAAACTCAAGTCCTATTCGTCAGTACACGCAAGTTGACGTTGGGGGTTTTCATTCATATGTGATTGGGCCTTTTTAAAGCGTTTTGTTACTTATTTAGGTATTGATAACTGACTGTCTTGTTTCAGTTTGTCCATAACGCTAGAATGTAAGAAGAGACCCACTTGTAAAGATGAAGATGTTGAATGGGCGTTCCAGTTGACAAAACAAAACATGAAGACATTGTGAGTACACCTTGGGCTTTCATTGACAAAACAAAACATGAAGACATTGTGAGTACACCTTGGGCTTTCATTGACAAAACAAAACATGAAGACATTGTGAGTACACCTTGGGCTTTCATTGACAAAACAAAACATGAAGACATTGTGAGTACACCTTGGGCTTTCATTGACAAAACAAAACATGAAGACATTGTGAGTACACCTTGGGCTTTCATTGACAAAACAAAACATGAAGACATTGTGAGTACATCTTGGGGTTTCATTGACAGTACACCTTGGGGTTTCATTGACAAGACAAAACATGAAGACATTGTGAGTACCCTTGGGGTTTCATTGACAAGACAAAACATGAAGACATTGTGAGTACACCTTGGGGTTTCATTGACAAGACAAAATATGAAGACATTGTGAGTACACCTTGGGGTTTCATTGACAACAGGGATAAATGCCTGTTGTGTTTTTTACCAAAACTGATCATTATTTTGAGGAATTTCACAATATTTAAAATTCCTTAGGCTAGTGATTTAAAATCTTTCGATAATCATTATATAAAATTGTTATATTGTACAATGAACATTTATTGTTTTTCAATATTTAATATCATTTTTTGGTGTTTATTGAGAGAAAAAATCAAGAAATTATCTTGTCTCATTGTGGAAAGACATTGTTAAACCCTTATCATTTTTAGTTTCATGCTAGCTTTCATTTGATATATAATAATACATGTACTGAGGACAGTTGCTGTCATATTTTTTGAATCAGACATCCACAGTGATCCTAATGAAAATCTTTTAGGCAAATAATTCAGTTTGACAAAATTTAAGTACTCTAGAAAAAATTGTAGAAATTTTTGAGACCTTAAAAAGTTTCTTGCAATATTAAAGGTATTTGGATGTTCCTATTACGTTTTAGAAAAATCGATTTGCACCTACTTGAAAATGAGAAAAACCATGAAAGATTTTGACCAAGAATTGTGAAAATGCGAATCTTGCACCCACCTGATAAACAATCCTGGGGAGATCATAGTACATGTAATCATCTTTCAGATATGAAAAGAGTGAATGGGGCTGGAAGGACACTGAGAAACGGGAAGAGATGTTTGAAGACGCAGCGTGGTACCTATTTGCCAGGGCCCAAGATGGCCACCTTGTAGGCTTCGTCCACTTCAGATTTGATATGGACTTTGATGACAAAGTCGTATATTGGTAAGTGGGCTTTACAATCCTGTGCCAATCTGGAGGCCTACAGGGCAAAGCTGTTGCTACCCATCCCTTTCACTTTTGGCCAGACTAGTAAAAGTAGTTAATAAGTTAATAATGAGCTATGAGTTATGAGTGGTCTTGTGAATTATCTTTAATATTATATTATTTTCAGTTATGAGATCCAGTTGGCAAAAGAAGTGAGAAGGAAAGGACTGGGAAAGTTCATGATGCAGATTTTAGAGCTATTGGCACACAAGTAAGTGTTTCTTTGGTATGGCCCTCACCAGGTCTTGAGCACAGCACCCATTCTCCAATCTATTTAAAGGGGCATTCCTTGCAAGACCATTTCTCTCCTGATATGATAGCTATACTTTCCGGATTAAGGACACAGGAAAATGTTTTGATATTGTCAGTGTTGATCATTTAAAAATGTAGTGCTCATTTCCAGTATTTTAGGATTTCAAACAGGAAGTGAGGTCATTGACTCTTAACTTTTATAACCTTGCCTCTAAGAGTATAGGAAAGTTGCCCAAAATCTTTCCTATCTATATAGACATAATTATCCCATCGAACGAAGTTTGGAGGGATATAGGGAACGCCTCCGTCCGTACGTACGTACGTCCGTCCATCCGTCCGTCCGTCCGGGCAATAACTCAAATACCGTTGGCCCGATTTTGTTCATATTTTGTACACATATACCCTATGGGAATAGAAGTTCTGCTCGAAAGCCGATTTTCAAAATGGCTGCTCATTTAAAAATGGCGGCCATTTTAGTGCCGATTTTACAGTAATTTAGGTGCAATATGTAAAACTGTAATAGCAATATGTTTTAAATGTAAAAAAATTATAAAGGACTTTGATAAAGCTAAAAATGTAGATATTAAAGAAGCACATGGCAGCCATCTTGAAAAATGGCGACCTTTACTCGTTATTTTACGATTTTTGCTATAACTCAAGAAGTAGTGGATCGATTTTGTTCATATTTGGTATGTGAATACTATAAGCATGACTCACTGTCTAATGACATTTTTGGTAGGAGGTGGCCATTTTGAAAAATGGCGGCCATTTTGAAAAATGGCCATCATTTTAACATATTTTACTATAACTCAAAAAGTAGTGGAGCGATTTTGTTCATATTTGGTATGTGAATACTATAAGCATGGCACACTGTCTAATGACACTTTTGGTAGAAGGCAGCCATTTTTAAAAATGGTCACCATTTTAACTTATTTTCCTATAACTCGAAAAGTAGTGGAGCGATTTTGTTCATATTTGGTATGTGAATACTATAAACATGGTACCCTGTCTAATGACACTTTTGGTAGAAAATGGCCGCCATTTAAACGTAATTTACTCGGCCTTTACTCGCTATTTAACGATTTTTGCTGTAACTTGTAGTGGTGATTTTGTTCATATTTGGTATTAGTCTATATGTGAATACTATAAGCATGGCACACTGTTTAATGACACTTTTGGTAGAAGGCGGCCATTTTGAAGTATTTTACCATTACTTGAAAAGTAGTGGAGCGATTTTGTTCATATTTGGTATGTGAATACTATAAAAAAAAGCATATTACTTCTTCTGATGACAACTTGGCTAGTGAGCAACCATTTTGAAAATGGTGGCCTTTTTTATGTGTGTTATTTTATGATATTTGCTATATATTTTGTTTGTAAAAATGCCAGTCATTTCTGTTCGATGGGATTCGCTACGCTTTGGCGTTGCCGTTGTTCTGGTTGACATTCTGGAACATTAGTCCACCAAAAAAACTTACAATACAAACAGCAGAAAGAGATTTTAATAAAAAGTTCCTCATATGAAATCCAATAGCTCACCATGTAGGCTAAAAATTAGCATTTAATCCTCTGTATTTCAAATATAAAAAAATAATCCCACTTGTATATTTGAGTAAACTGGGGTAGCACAATTAAATATCAAATGTTTGATTTTTATGTCACCACCACATGGCTTAAAGTCTTCAGGAATTTCAGGAAAAAATTGACCAAAATCTGACCTTTGATCTACATTACTCTAAAAAGCACTCAATTTAATGTCATTTTTCCAAAATTTCTTGGAGGGCGATCCAGCCAAAACCCACTGCACGCTTGGCCCACTTCTTTCTCCATTCAATTTTGTGTTGGTGTTTGTTTGTCCTCATCCCGCATATGTAACAAATGGCAGGTGGTGACATTTGCTTGTCGATGCTTTGAAATCTGAAGTAAAAAAACATTCTGGTTAATGTTACCAGAATATCCATTGGCAATAGAATAATTGTGTGATACAACATTATTGCTTTTTTAGAACTGGCATGGGTAAAGTAATGAGCACAGTCTTCACACACAATGACGATGCTCAAGGCTTCTTTATTAAAACATTAAGGTAAGTATTATACACACAGTAAAACCCGTAAAGTGGAACACCTCTGTAAGTTGAACACCTCCATAAGTGGAACGCTTTTCAAAATCCTTCAGCCTATTGACTTATTGTTAAATGAACCTCTATAATTGGAACACCTCCCAAGTTGAACCCTGTTTAGAGGTACAAATAGTGCTTCAAGTTACACAGGTTTTACTGTACTACCTATTGGAAATAGGGGTCAGATGATCCCATGGGTAGAAAACTAGAAATACATTTCTTCAACTATTCTGGCTTTATTATCCCAACGAACGAAGTTCGGTAGGGATATAGTGAAGCCCTCCGTCCGTCAGTCAGTCAGTCCGTCCGTCCGTCCATCCAGAAGATAACTCAAATACTAGTGGATGGATTTTCTTCATATTTAGTGGAAAGATGTATATTGGTGAATAGTTTTACGCAAAAAATCATAAATTTTTCATTCTAAACCAAAGTAATTAATATTATTGTTTGAAATTTTGGTAGTAAATTCACAACATTTATCTATTTCACATATATTCCGTGTTTTTCATCCTGACCCCCAGGGGCCGTGTATGGGGGGTCAGGAAAACAGAAATTTTCGCTAATTTTTAGATCTTTCTGAAGTATAGCTTTAGTATACTCAAATGAAAGGCAATTAAGAGTAGATTGCAAATATTGTATCTTTTTTTCTGATTCGAGCCTCGTAAAATTCAAAATGGCCGTCTAATGTACGATTTCGCAATAATTTTTCGCTCCTTCAAAGTATGGCTATATTATACTCAAATTGAAGGAATTTTGGAGTAGATCACAATTATGATATTATTTTTCAGATTTGTACCTCAGAAAATTCAAAATGGCTGCTTTGCAGGAATTCGCAATTCTTAAATCTAATTTTTTCAATTTTAACCAAAGTAATGAGTATAATTGATTGGAATTAAGTAATTGATATTTTGTTCGTTGGGATTTACTACTCCATGGAGTTGCCCTTATCTAGTTAATAAATTTTTAGTCCTCATATTTCGGCTGGTGTAGTTTACGCCAATGATGTTATAAGGGAAAAGGAGAGAATATTATTGGATGCACTTCGAAAAGCCATATTGTATTTTATTTGCGCTGATTGGCAGATGCGTGTGTGCATAATAAAAACCTTTTCATAAGGATAGCAAGGAACCCATTCATTTATCATTCATTAACATCAATGTGTATTTTCAAAAAAAAAATTATTTCTGATTTTATGAAATATCTGATTTTCCTTTAAACAGGTATTTTAAACTTTTACTTCACAATTTCAGGTATGGGATAGACGAGACGTCACCAGAAGACAATATTTATGAAGATCAGGAACACACATATCAGATACTCAGTAAAATAATAGTTCAAAGGCAGCCCCTTGGGAAAGCGCAGGACACTCAGAACACTGGAGCACAAGCAGCCACTGTGAAAACTTAAGATCTCATATATAATGTATTTAGATTATTATGTGTTAAATGTCTGTTAGTAATATCTTGTGTTTTGTATACATTCATCCTTGGTGAAAACTTCAAAGACCTTGATATGTATCCTTTATACATATGGGATATTAGAAACGTTGTTTACCCAAATGTCAAAATTCGTGAAAAGTATAGTTGAGTCTTGTCATGACAAGAAGCAGTCTCACATACTTTTTGATTCTTATAAGTTTATGTTTTTGAGGAAGTTTGTGTTTATGGAAGATCAAAACTTTGAGTAATCTCAAAAATGTTTAAATAAAATAAAAACTGTGCCTGAGAAAACTGCTTAGGAAGAATATATGAGGTGGACATGTAATGTTTTCATTTCAACATGTATTTTGTATGGAGGAGTCTAAGATACTACACATATCTTGTTGGAAAATGTCCTTGTGTATTCCCAAAGCACACACAACTACACATGTGGGAACTGGGAGCTCTATAACTACATGTATAAAGCAAATCCAAACAAGGTTTCATTTTTTAAGATTTCATTTTTACAGTCTCCACATTGAATTGAATTATGTCATATTTATTATGGAAAATTGAATGTAGAATTAAATTTGGTTTCATTTTTAGAGGAATATAAATAAACTTTTTATAAAAATAGTTTTATATTGTGTTATACTTTGAACTATATATATAAACATGGAAATATGTGAGATTTATAACTTAATCTTGAGTAAAAAAAGATTGAGATGTATATGTTTTACATGCAACCATAGCATATAAGGAAATTAATACAGAAGTAAGTACATCAATTAGGAAATGAATTAGTTGTAAGCTTATGCAATAGAGGAGTTTCTAAATAGCTTTGAAATGTGGTTAATTCTTACTTTTCTTTATTTTTGATAGCATATTTGAATTCAGTGACAAGTTTTCTCCTATAATAGTTTTAATTTACAGAGTTATGTCATTTAAATAATTTTCCATGACATTTTAAAAAAACTTAGGCCAAAACTCCATTGGCGCAACCAACATTTTCATGTTTAATCACAATATGTACATTGACATGGTCATCCAATAGTTTGCCAGGAAAATCAAAGACAACAAGCGTGACATCTATCATGTCAGCGTTATTCATCTATTTAGAAACTACAATTACGTGAATTCGAAGGTTCCTTTGCAGCCTATGCACGCAACACACAAATGGACTAGAAATGGACTATCGATTACTATTAAACCAAGACGAGGCCTAACGATATTGTGTAGAGAAATGATGTAGGCCATGATATTACTATAATCTAGAACCATGCCTTTTCGCCTAACTAAATTGAACGCAAATTCATGCCATTTCACATCGTCGCCTTCCACTAGGTCTAGAGACGTAGGATTGAACTGAAACCAGGTATCAACTACGTAATGCTGGTCTTCAACACATCGCTGCGACGGGCAAATAACTAGTCTCCGTATCCATTGTAAGATGGCTCAATAAGAGAAATGTCGAATTGATTGGTTGGAATCCCGGTTGGAATACCTGATTGTGCGTATTGATTGATAAACCCTTGTATGGTGAATTATTCCGCGTATGCCAAATTCCTTTCCATAAAGACAACAATAAATATAGTACTGTAGCTTTTTAAAGGTAGAAATGAACACGTTAAATGTAGAACAATAAAATGACTATTTTTGTCGCATTCTCATTTGAATTTCCAACCGCAGTTGTAGTACGAGAGTCACGAGGCCCTGCCATGAGCTTGATGCCATACGAGCGGTTCCTTCGCCATTTGTTACGAGGGTGTTGATTGGTTTAATAAAAAGGAATAAATGGTGTTCACCAATCAGAATCATTTTGCCTTTCAGCGCCCGACAACGCTCGATAAATACATGTAGTTCAATTAAATGTTTACATATAAGCTTAGTGTAGAGACGAAGTTAGTCGTACCACGGACTTCTAATCATCAGTCATTTGAAGTCCATGGTCGAACAGCCTGTCGGAATTTCTCTCCATTCAGCACATCAACAGAGACTCTGAGGTATCCCAGTGCCGTGGGAGTCTGGAGGGGACTCGATCATCTATACATCCCATATGCACTTGGGACTTCCGCACTTAACCGCGATACCTGAATTAAGGTAGTTAAGTACGTTGGAGATTTTTCTAATTTGCATATAGTACAGTTAATATTTTAAGGAGCTACATACAAGGTAAACTCAACTACTACATGGTCTGGATCTTTTTACTCAAAGAATAGATTGCAATATTCCTAGATTATTTAGGCTTAGGATATTAATAAATATCATTACTAAATGTCTTCGATATTACGATATTAATATAAAATTACAAAATCCAGTGAAGATTTTTTGTCCCTTTGATTCGTATATACAGTTTAAATATTGTAGAACAAAGATGAATATTAAATAAGCTTATTAATGTTGGTCAGCTTAAAAGTAACCAAAATAGATCTGGATCAGTAAGTTTATATATACATGTAAGCCAGTTGCCACCAGTAAGACACCGCCTGTACGTTTTAACAAATGCAACATGATTATAATGTCCACATACCTATACAGGATAACGGTTTAATCTCATCATGAAAAATCAGGGCCTTCTATTACAGTAAAACCTGTGTATATTGAACATTTTTTGCCGAGAAAAAGTGTTCAATAATTGGTAGATGTTCACTACAGAGAGGGTAATTTATATGATTATTTATATGTGTAAATGGTTTTTAATGGGAGGAATGACTGTAATGCCAGCTATGTTTTTAAATTCTAATCAATATCTGTTGAATCATTGCCAGTTGAACAAAGTTTTTGAAAGGTGAACACAAATAAGTGAATTGAGCTAAGAACTGATCTAGTATTTTAAAGATTTAGGAGTTACAACCATAAACAATGAGTGATTCTGATGAACAATCTCAGGATGAAGGTGGTGCAGTCATGAGATTTTGCACAAATTGCAAAAATCCAGTAAAAGGACATATTGGACCATGTGGTAAAAAATGTACCAATTCTATGGATAATTTATACAGAAGTCAGAAGAGTATGCGAGGAGGAAGGGTGTCCACTAGAAACAGGTGTTCATTAGAGGGAGGTCACTAAGACAGGTTTTACTGTAGTTCCTTTCCTGAAAGCTTTCATATTTCTAGTTGGAAAACAGAAAGAGTTGTTGAATATCAGAATCATTCCCGGTAATTAAATTTCAGACTAAGAAACCAATTCAACTTCATATATACTATTACACTCTACTATCATACTATGTCCCGATCTCATGTACATTTACAGAAATACCAGCTAGAAATGGTACGTCTAATTTTGGGAGACTCTTCAACAATGTTTTTAACATGATACATACCGTGTTATATATCAAAACACAGCTAATTGATATGAAAAATATATGTTACAATAATATTCCTTTTTTCCTTTTTTGTAAGAGACGCTCAGAAGAACAAACACAGTACTTTAGGCTTTATTATCTTTTTGAAAGTAAAAAATATGAACAAAAAAGTCATTTAGACTTATTCTATCAACTTGAAGTTAAAAATATAAGTTACCTTTTTTATTGTAAAGGGTCTAGTGCAATTTCTATTATGATTACCCCATGAACAAAATGAATCATTTTTAGGTGTAACTTAAAGAATACAATGTCACATAATGCTTTGGAGGTTGAGGTCATTAAGTTCAGCAAAGGTGTATTGACTTGACATTGAATGTGCTCCATTGACTTAACATGTGGATATCATCAGATTCCAATGGAGGCCATTGGTTTCTATTGATTTTCACAAAAATACCTAAAATACACTGTGACCTGAATCGATTGCAAATTAAATAATTTCACAAATGGTATATCACATCAGATGTGCAAATATAAAGTTTGCAATCGATTCAGGTCATACTTCAAATTAAAATATTAAACTTTTTTTTCATCATTTTTTTACAAAATGGCTATAGAAAAATGCTTCAAAAGCAACTTTTACACTTATGAAATCCCATACAACTTTGTAAATCCAAAGATTATACTGTTAAGTTAATTAATAACATATTTGGATAAGATGTAGGGATGTGTAGGATGCAAATGGATTTTGACAGACACAAAAAGACTTCCTGGTTTGGCATCTCTACCTCTGTACACTTTATGATTAAATATTTGCCCTAATAAGTGGCCCATTCATCGATACAGTGCTGAATATAGGTCAACAAGATACTAGTGTACATTTAAATGTAATAATAAAAGCAGTATATTTATTTTGAAAAACCAGATGAATTTATTTTTGTTCATAGGGAGATCATAATGGAGGGTGCACTAGATCCTTTATATAAACATATTTATATTGCAAACATTTTACGACTTGTGTCTGTTTTTACGAAGGAAAAACTGATAGAAATATATGGCAGGTTACAAAGACTCTCTTCATTTCGATACCTTACAAAATTATGCTTTTCTAGTGAGATTTCACTAGATTTTTTATACTGTCATGAAAACGTAGCCCCATATACTACATGTACCATTATTTTAAGTTCAACAAGAAAAAAATATATGTTTCAAAGATAAATGCACACTTTAGCATAAACGGTGTTTTATTACTACAAATAAGTGACCATACATATGAGCAAAATTCCAGGTGCCCATTTTTCTAACAATAAAGCTTTCTATATTTTATTTTCGAATCTTCTTTGGAATATTTTGGACTACAAATGATTATTTCAAGTCTATCATATGTCAAGTTAATATGACAAAGGAAATAATACTAAATTTACGTGGTTTAATATGGAATTATAAATCCAGGTGCCTAAGGGGACACCTAGGTGTTATTTGGTAACACCCGCTAAATCTATCACTGGAGTTTTTCGTAATATAGTTTCTGATCAAATTTTTGTCAAATCAAAAAAAATTAACTACTCGGCAATAGGTTATTAAGATGAATACTGGCGAGAGGTGTACACTGACAAAGAATGGTTGAAATAACTCCATAAACTTTCAAGAAATCTAGGAAAAAATGATGAAAATCTCCCCTAAAAAGGACCCCTTCGAAAATGGCATTCTCCATTTAAGGGCAAAAAGGCGGAGTTATAAGCGGACTGACACTTTCCTTAAATGGAGAAGTCTCGACGAATCTCGCTTAAACTCCGCCCCTTCTTCGTAAAAAATCACGTGAATTCCGGCTTTTGCTCGGACATATCCGGGCATCTCGGCTTCGAACCCAATCAGAAGTTTCAATTTTAACTGACGCCGCATACATTATCTCAAGTCTCACCCAATATTTTTATGTATACGTTAATAATTACATTGTGCATGTATTGGAATCAGGTAATATAATTTGCCCCATTAAGCATTCTTTTCTCCGAAAATATTTTTTGGCGTTGTAAAATTGATAAGGGTACTTTCGATAACATTCTATAATGATATGAGCAAAACAAATGATATCATATTTGGTATGTCCAGAATGCTCATAGCCCATATTTAATGATTCGGTAGAGTTTAACATCTTTCTATTAAGCTCAGTAGTACATTTTCCTTTGAACGTGCATGACATCAAACTCGACTTTTTCACCTTTGAGTTTTAGTTAACGGAATCCAGGGAAGAAAAGACGGCAAATAAACTTATAAAATAAATTATATTATGCAATCATAAAAATGCTCATGAGCTCAAGATTCCAATTTTATATCACACGACTATCCTTATTTCTTAGATCTTAAGTTATTATTTAGTATGCGCTTGACAATAGTTGTCCCATTGACGATTTTTTTACAAAAATAACGAAATACATAAGGGTTATGTACTGGGAGGTTTTGGATATGGGGTTTATCTCACGAGGGATGAACCCAATATCCAAACCGACCGTACATAACTGCTTTATCCTATACCAAGTAGAGTTTTCTAATTTTCTTTCAATTTTTTTCTCACATTTTTCAATTTTTGCTTCTTTTTTTCATTTTCAATTTTTTTCACTTTTTTTCTTTTTTTCAATTTTTTCACAATTTTTTTTCGAAGCGGGAAGATATGCCCTGGAGCGGGAGATATGGAGGTTCAGGTTATGGAAACCTCAAAATCAGGATCTTACCAACTTATCTCCCTAAAACTCTACTTGGCATAGGATAAGACGTCATATCAGCGCTACGGCAAATCGTGAAGAACAAAATGCCCTCAAGTCGTGGCATGATAATATTTTGAACAAAATATTTCAAATGATCGGTTTTTGAGGACAGTAGTGAATTATATCATTCCATGGCTTGTATAGAAAGATTCTTCACATGCAGTTCGGGCAATTTTAATTATTCTGAGTAGCGGATAGTCATTAATAGGATAGCGGATAGTCAATTATCATTAACGTGTTCATATTATTTAATTTCGTTATTTTATTTCAATTTGTTACCCTAACACGTATAATCTAGCGTTCTTATCAATTTAATGACTTAAATGCATATACGATCTGAAAGCACGTGTCTAAATCTACAAATAATAATGTTTACTTTATTTGGATTAAATGACAATTGAAGACACCTCAAAGCATCAACAGACGGCCGTTTTTGCATATTTTCACTGTTTGCAACGTAAATGTACATGAGATCGGGACATAGTATGTATACCTTGCATTTGGTGTTCATGAGCAACCCATTTGTCTTATTCATAATGTATTAGTAATGCTTATGTTATTTGTTTGTTTATTTGTCTGTTCCTTATTAATGGTTTATCAGATGACTGTTAGATGTTAATAAGCGGTACTTTCAAAAATATATTTAACAATTACAATTAGACAAACAGAGTATCTTATGCATTTCTAGGGGTTAGGTATAGAAGAGTGTATTTACTAATTCAGTTGTGCGGCTCTAGACCAATTTAACTAAAAAATGTAAAATGAAACATGTTTACTCAAGAGACAACATACTTTGTGATTGTTCTCCAATCCGCCCATTCATATTTTCTACCAAGGAAAATCCTGTTACTTATATTGAGAAGGTTACCATCCCACCGAGCGAAGTCCAGTCGTCAATTTCCCCGGCCGGAGTTTTACTAATGCCAAAGTTGTAATTTCAAGAATGCAGATCATTTGATGAATGATGTCTTCTGATTGGTCGAAATTTGATTATCATGACTATCTTTAATTACGTGTGAATGGCTAAAACTGAGTACGCAATACGCATCCATTAATATATGACATACCGAATGTCAAGTTATAAATCAGACTTGATCTGACGAAAAGTCAGATTGCACATCTGTATGAATATGAATTCAAACATAAAGTATAAATTAAGGGTACTCATATGTATCTGTGCTGCACTTCCATTGCAGGGGACAATGGCCAACTCAGATACCAGTAATGCTATAGTCGACCAACCACTTGGACATTATAATAAGGTTGGAAGCATTTCAAACACACCAGATGAAACAGTGAGGACTTCTGTATCAGATGTTGTTGTAAGACTTATGGAAGAGCACGATGCTGAATTCGTTGGTAGAATGGAGGTCCAGTCTTTTAGTTCTAAATACGAACACGCAGTGGGAAAGAGCAGGTACGTAGAAACGTGTCCGTTTTAAGTAAATTCTGATTGGAGTTTAAGCCAAAGTTATGCTCATGGCGACTAGAATTACCTACAAATTTTACACGATCTATTCTAATGTATCAGGATCTCTTTATCCAATCTATTTACCTTTTTTCACTTGTTTAAAATTTCATCTGGGAAGTTTGCTCAAGTTTTCCTCAATATACCTCAATTGGCCCAAAATGCGCCTCATTGCTCCATGATCATGATTGCGACAACCTTTTAGCTCAAATTGTTACCATATTCGAAGTCCTCATTTATTGTGACCATTATCTCAATAATATGAGTCTTTGGTGCTATAGAACACGCCCGGTGATCGGACAAAACGAACGGAGGGGGCGATCTCTGCAAGAAAAATCCAACAAATCTGGAAGATTTATTTTTATAGATATCATATCTTAGAAGCGTATCAGTTAAGAAAAAATACTAAAAGACCTAACATATTTTGCCATGTACTGCCCCTATTTATTTGGTAATACAGTTGTAAACTTTCTCTTGAAAAATAAATCTTCCTTTCTTGTTGAATTTTCTTGGAGAAATCCCCTCCGTTCATTTTGTACGATCACCGGGCGTGTAGAAGCTTGAGCTGGACTATGCTAACATAGTCCGTAACAACTTCGATTTCTGACTTGAACTGTGTTGGTAGTGATCCTGTTTGAGATAAGAAGTAGCCTAACAAAGGGAGCAAGCTGGAAAACCTGCATAATACTTCTATAGGCTACTTGACACTCACATTCGATAAAAAAAAAACACATCACAAATGCGGCGCCAATATCAACTGAACACGTAGTGACGTAGTGACTTGTTTTTTCCAGAATTGACAAAGTTACCATTATACGCCAGGATTATTACCGAGATATAGATGATAAAACAAACTGCCGGGTCCTTGTTGCTGAATATAAAAACAAACGCGCAGGGATGCTCTATAGCAGGTTCCATGGGTATAGGTGAGTCGCCTTCTCAATGTGCTTCTAGATAAGCGTTTTGAGTATGGCCTTTCTGAATATCGTGGCGACTAACTTCCCTCTCCATTACATCAGTTGACTATGTTGAAAAAGATCGACAACATATAATACAGTGTCTAGGATAAAGAAGAAGAAAATTGACTGTGTAACTATGCAAGTTACAAGTACTATGAGGACTGAGAACGGAGTAACAGAATATTTTAAGAATACTTTTATTGTGCCATACCCACCATTCATCCATCTTTTCAGTCTGTAGTCTTACCTGGGGTATATGCAAATGAACCAAAAAGATTCAATAAGTGTTTCAGCTTTTATAGTTTATTTGTTTTTCCTCTGAGCAAATTTCTATGGGTACAAATGCTCCACTTGAGTACTGCTCTAGTGTTTATGCTGATTTTTCTTAAAGTAAATGTATTATAACAGTTATATATTAGAGGAAAATGTTTTTTCAGAGCTCCAAGGGGTTTGTCGTGTTGTGACCTTTGTGGGAGACTTGGATGTCGCGGCGCAAATGGGTAAGTTGAATGAAAATTAGGGGAACATGGCAAAATGGCCCTCAAAAATTAAATTTTAAGTTGTCCCGTCCGAGGTATTTCCTTATCTGTCAATCATCGCGCACTTTCAGTGGTCAAAAATAAAGTTGAGATTGGGTCCAAACGGCACATGGGTGGGGCAAAACGCCCCACCCTCTATTACATGTGTTTCAAAACCAAGATTAATCAATCAAGACTCGTATCTCACACGTTCAAACCTTAGACACATCAGGTATTCTTAAGCTCTACCATAATTCTAGCCATTCGATATGTGTCGGAAGGAAATACTTTACAAACCAAATGTTAAATTCGATATTTTTTGAAAATCAATTGTTCTTAATTGGCCACATACCCATATTTTCATATTTTAACGCCATACCTTTCAATTAAAAAAGTGATGAATCGTCATCTTATCTTTTTCCTGCAATGTCTGACTCTGCACTTTGAATATTGCAACGAGATATTTACATCCCAGAGCCATTCTCTCTCTCACACATAGGGTACATACACTAATGTATATAAACACGATGACAGGATTCGGCCTAATAAGGATATACACTTTCAGGGGCGAAGTATTTGTAGTTTACAACCAGGGACTTAATCACTGTGGGAAAATAAAGTTTTACATAAACAGTTAATATAATTTTGTTTGAAGTGTCTCTTGTTTGGCATAACTTATTTAAAAGAAATATATTTTATGATATATTTTAAAAGTACTTATATGCATATTATAGGAATATCCTATGGTTTTGAAATAATATCATTTATATCCATGAGTGGATATTGCTATCTTCATGAGTGAGCGCAGCGAATGAGTGAAGATATTTGTATCCATGAGTGGATATAATTGATATTTTTGAAAAACCATAGGATTGTCCGTTTATCCCATGGGAAATCATCATCAGCGAAAAAAATTGAAAAATATAATTTGAGAAAAAATTTGAAAAAATGTTGAAATTTTTTTTTGAAATTTTGAAATTTTTGAAAAATATTTTTGAAAATATTTAAAAAAAGTAAAAATAATTTTTTTTTGAAAAAATTCGAATCCATCGAATATCACTTTTCAAACCATTGAATATCACTTTGTAAGACGTGATATTCGACAGTTTAAAAGTGATATTCGATGGTATGTGAATTTTTTGCTAAAATACGTAGGATGTCTTGATCCACATATCAAATATATCTTCGTGTGATATTCTATCTTTATCCTTGCTACCATGGGATAAATAGGGGTTATGCACTGGGAGGTTTTGGATACAGGGAATATCCCGAGGGATATACAATATATCTTCCCGAGGGACCGAAGGGACCGAGGGAAGATGTACTGTATATCCCAAGGGATATTCCATGTATCCAAACCGACCGTGCATAACTGGTGTATCTCATACTTGAGTGGGTTTAGGGTAGATATAACCTTTTCCACCTTTTTCAAATGACAAGATATTTATATTTAACATTTTCGTAATATTCTTTTTGTTCAATACACTGAAATTGTAACATTTAAACTTAAAAAAAATAAATTTTAAAATTAAAAAATTAAAGCTTTTCATATTTAAACTTTTTTAAACTTTTGAAAAATTCCCGGGAGCGGGATGGATATATTATATCTGCCCGCATTTGGCCTGGAGCGGGACATATACAATATATCCTGCCCGCTCCTCAGATACGATATATATTCCCGGGTGATATCTACCCCAAACCAACTCAAGTATGAGATACACTTGTATATGCACATCAATTTTCACCATTTTCACTATTTCATTTTAGCATGCTTTGGCTTAACTGCCTGGAGTGTTTTGGGGGTGTAGCTCAAGGGGAATGTTACGTAGATGCGATATGTGTTGACGAGGAGTTCAGGGGGCAAGGTATTGGCAAAATCTTAATGGAACGAGCCGAGCAAGAGGCAAAAGGAATTGGATGTTCAGTGAGTAAATGCTATGCAATCAAATGCGCACCAATTTAGAACCTCAAACAATCTGAATATTGTTCTTTTTAGGAGGGGTCCCTCTTACAAAAATTCACTTGATATTATATCATTTGGTCACGAGACTCTGAAATGTGTGTCATTTACTGACGTGTTCCTCTTTACAGGTTTGACTGTTATATTGAACAAATATTTCACTCTATTGAGGTGAATACCTGTACATCTTTCACAAGTGATATTCCACGAAGCCCGAAGGGCAAGTGGAATATCACCTTGTGAAAGTGCTACAGGTATTCACCGAAAATAGAGTGAAATATTTGTTTTATTATATCACTGTCTAGCTAAACATCCCTAATATTATTAAGTCATTAAGTCTTCAGATATTTTTACGAATCTACTCGGTTCGTCTGCCATTTTGACTTAAACTGAACTAAATTATTTACACTGAACGAAAACAAATTCTTTGAAAATTCCCGGGAGCGTGGGATATCGCTAGATATCTCACGGTTGTCTTATCTGATTAGCATTGCCATTGAATATCGCCAGATATCCCACGACATGTGACCCGGTTTTGACCAATCATACTTTCGCTAGCTAGATAGTGATATAATAATATCAGTTATCACACGTTTCAGCATGTGATACAGGAAATATTCCACGAAAGGTAATACTTTATCACATGCTCTGTAAAATTCCAGTAATCTGATTGGTTGATTACCGTGTGAGTTTTCCCGTCTCACACGGCCGTCTCACACGTTACTAGAGACGATGACGATGTGACGTCACTGATTATATCACTTCTAGCTAAGGAAAACATTATGACGTCATACTATTTCACAAAAAGTACGAATACAACGGTATGACGTCATATTGTTTCAAAGCGAAATCAAAAATTATAATAGTTACCAGGAGTACAGAGTACTAAAAACAATCATAAGTGACCAAATGAAAATGCCTCAAAATTCCTAGACATGTGATAAAATCGTCATCACACGTTTCAGCTTATGTGATACTATCAGTTATCACACGTTTCAGCATGTGATACAGGAAATATTCCACGAAAGGTAATACTGTATCATCCACGAAAGCGAAGCTTGAGTGGTGATACATTGTTACCCGAGTGGTATATTTCCTGTATCACATAAGCTGAAACGTGTGATGACGATTTTACACATGTCTAGGAATTTTGAAGCATTTTGATTTGGTCAGTTATGATTGTGTTCAGTACCCTATGTACTTCTGGTAACTATTATAATTTTTGATTTCGCTTTGAAACAATATGACGTCATACCGTTGTATTCGTACTTGTTTGTGAAATAGTATGACGTCATATTGTTTTCCTTAGCTAGAAGTGATATAATCAGTGACGTCACATCGTTGCTATTGATCATCACTGGTTGCCTCTAGTAACGTGTGAGACGGCCGTGTGAGACGGGAAAACTCACACGGTAATCAACCAATCAGATTACTGGAATTTTACAGAGCATGTGATAACAACGATTATGGCATTTTCGTGATAATACAATATATACCATTTGCGCAAGCATTGCTAATACTCACCTACGTTAGCGAATAATTTTCTGGATGTTACATCAGCTTAAACAGAAACACAAAGGATAGATTTCTAAATGCGATTGACTAGTCATTGCCACGTCAATTTAATTTGTAACCGATTTTAAAACCAATTACCAATTACAACACAGAATATGATAGTTGCACATCCAACACCTTCTTCTTCCATATTTAAGGAACCATTATAAATTCAAAAAATAAAAGGTTTATATCTAGTATGTTTTACAATTATTTTTTCTCTTAAACACATTCAATTTTTTACTTTTTAGAAAATGACGCTCCATGTAGCTCAAAGTAACCGTGCGATATCTCTTTACCAAAGAGAAGGTTATGATATTTCCGAAAGTGTAGATGGATGTTGCTGTCTATGGTGTGCACTTGGTATAAGGGTATGTATGTTTTATCCAATCACAGGTCATGATACATGGTCATTTGGCCTCATTTGACCAATCGCAGTTCATTTTCATGGACATTCCATCGAGCGAGAATTGGATGGATGAGTGTACTATCCTTACTCTGTCTGTTTATCTCGTGGTATGAGGAGAGTACATGTAGTTCTATTAGAAACCTGTTTTGGGACTTCAATGGTATACTTCAGTACCATCTTTGGATAGAATACTCTCATTTGCTGGCATGTAATGCCCAGAATAACTGGGAAACATGTGATCACGATAACAGTGAACGGTAACATATTTGGGATTATTTTCTGCGGATGGATGATCTTGGTAGTGGTCAATGTACAGGGTGGTCCAAAAAAAGTGAACCCCTGCAACAGGCTATATTTTCCTTAATACTTGCATGAATAGGCTCATATTATCACATGTTGTAGAGAAAGGTCTAAAATTTTGGTTGATGCCATAACTCATTCTCAGTCTTAAATTTTGAAGAAATTACAAGAGTTTAACAAACATGCCTGAAAATAAGATATTGTGCAAAATTTTACCAATGTGATTCATGGAAATAGTTGAAACACATTGGATGATCTTAAAACAGCTTTCAGTTAGAGATACAAGTTTAAAACCCTACCATGTGACAAAAGGGACACTATTTAAGCAGAAAACACATTTCACAAGTTCATTGATCATTTTGAAGCAGTTTTAACCATTCAACAGCTCAGAGGTATGTTACTTACACAAACAGTTAGAAGGGGGCCTCTTGTGGAAGGAAGTTGCCCCCTGTGACCGGGTATCTGAGAAACCCTTCATCAATTAGCTTTAAAAAATCAAAAGAAAATCCAATATTCAATGTTTTGAGCCATATTTCATTAGAATTGGTCCATGATTTATGAAGATATTGACATTCCAAGATCATATAGGTGTATAATCCCGATTTCACTGGAAAATTTTTGTCTATGAAAGCTTAGAACATTTCTTTGGATCACAATAACTTTGCAACTAACAAAGGTAGGATGCTAATTTTAAGCCATAATGTGCAGGATTCAAAATTAAACAAAGTCAGAAAATATTAGTTCTTTAAGACTGCAGCTTAAAAAATGTCAGGGGAAGGGTGTTGAAGGGTTGAAGAATCGCGGATATTGAAAATCACATTTTATCCATTTTTCAGTAATGTTTGGTTAGGGCTTATAATTTCTGCAAATTTCAAGACTAAGAAAAATGTGTGGTAGCGACATAAATTTAGACCTTCCTCTACAACATGTGAAAATGTGAAAGAATTCCTGCTAGTAATAAGGGAAATATGGCCCGTTGCAGGGGTTCACTTTTTTTGGACCACCCTGTATATAATATGATGGAGTTTTGGTACTCGTATTATGTAAGAGAGCAGAACTTTTGATTTTCGTGGGATATTTTTGTTGAGATTTTCTGACATGGAGATGAGATGCTTGGCTGTAATTCTCTGAAATTCTTTGAAAATCGATGGGCTGCGATTTGAGAAATTCTAATTCGAACTTTGTCAATTTAACATGCATCTCAATGGTACAAAAAGTAAGGAGAGTTCTACCGATACAACCAGTACCAGTACAACCGAATCAGGGATAGTGGGATAAAAACATAGCTCCATAGATACACTATATTCCAAGAACTTTGTATGGAATATATAGTCAAATTCAATATGATGATTGCCTCATGGTTTGCTATTCTGATGATAGTTTCTATTGACTTAATTTATAGGCTCAACTAGGTCCTTAGTTTGTATTCGCGAATGCAACTAAAGTTTCCGGATTAACCTACTATTTTGTTGAAAACTCATTTAATATTAATAGTACCTGCCATTATTCCATTCATATTTAGATAAAATACAAGGTTAATCTGGTAGCCGACAGGCCTTAGTTGCATTCGTGAATACAAGGTTAGCTTAAATGCATGCAATGAACCCTCGGTGTTATATTCATATTTCCCTTTTCAGAAACTTTATATGATGACTAAGGTGATATAGATTGATGGATGTCGGCTTACTACGAATGAATCAGGATAAGTCTCTGGACAAGACACTGTCACAAAATGGCCATACATCAACTCAGGACATCGCATCAAACAAAACACATTTAGTGGTACACCTGTGTGGTATATGGATATGGAATCACTGACATTTTGGACATTTTATGTTAATCCTGGCTGTCACTTCGAGTTATGTGTTATGTTATTTTTGCTGGCGTTAATCCGAATAGAACTACAATTTACTCATCTCAATAAACAAACGTTTTGTGATTTAATTCCAGAAAACGAATTCTAAAATACCCAGGATTTTATTTAGGTAGGTATTTTAAGGTTGAGAGGCGTGGATAATAAGATAATCCAAATATCCTGAACGACTATAGGATGATCTGTTTATCCCATACCAATCTTGGGTGTAAAAGGGTAGGAGGTCCTATCAAATTATGGTCCTACTCTCCATTGATTTATATGGTGACCTAAATACAACTCTTTCCCTCATTATCTTATACGCAAATTTATATGCACATGGTCAATGTTTACATATGTTTGGAGTTATTGAAGAAAATGTGATATGGGGGTGGTTCCGAATTTGAAGTCATTGCTGGAAAATATGATTTTAATACGTGAAATTATATATATAAATACAGCACTAAAAATAACAGTACACATGAAGTACATGTATGATTGTGTCCAGAAATGTTTGAAACCCTTACGGAAAATTCGGTCTGCATTTTGTCACCATTGCTCTTTCTTCCCGCATTCTAGTGCTGTTTGAATGAATATATTTATTAATGTATTTCCAACTAAAATATATCACATTTTTTTATAAACCACAAACATTTAGATCATAAAAAAAATTATTCAATACTTGAGTGAGCACGATATGCAAGGGTTACTAAGTTGACACAGTAAATGACCACTGAAATTGTGTTAGTCCATGCACACAGCGTATTCTGCTAATACACATTTGCCTTGAACACCCCTAACTTTCATAGTGAAGTGATCGTCTGCCTAATTGGTTTATGTTTACGTTTTAATGTGTTTTGTGTTCCTTGTTACAGCAAGGGGGGCCATTAAAGTAGACTAACATGTTTGCATGGCAAATTTTGATCGAATATGTGAGACACTTTAAACGGCATACTGCTCCTTCCCTTCTTTAAAGCATCAAACAGATCGCGATTGTCTGCGTTTTCTCCATTGTCATTTACAGTATGCGAACGTTTCAAAGAATGAATCAATAGGAACAGCGATTATGATGTAGCGGGCAGATATACTATATAAGACGTAAAGCTATATCTGCCCGCTGATGAAAATATAAGTTTTTACAAACCGGATTTATGTACCTGTAACACGTCCAAGTATGGGATAAATGTCCTTACTGCATTAACATACATCCCACAAATGTACTCTGGTTGATAATCTGAAATGTAAGTGTCGATTAAAAAATGAAACATCCAAGCAAGCAGTTTCACATTTAATTGGAGCCTCCGTAGAATCATTTTTGTTGACTTCAAAATAATCTTGAAATCCAATATTAAAGAGATCGGGTCTCCTAAAAACACAATTAGAGTAATCCCCGGATTTTTTCATGTTATTTGATGTAAAACTAGTTTGTTTATCAACTTACCAATTCTGAGGCTTGAATTAATTTGTTAACAGTATCAATTCGATGATTGTTCCTAGCCATGAATTTCCACTTTCATCATTAGAAATTCAAAACAAAATTTAAAAAGCCTGCTCAAATTTGTTCCAGTCTGATTGGCTTTTGTATGTTTTTGTTCATAAAACATGATAAATAAAAAAGAAGCAGAGGAGGAAAACAAACACTAATTGTGCACTTCGCTTGCAAAACATAGGCTAATTGAATTCTTTCAACAAATCTGCTATAACCATGGACTTCTCCATGCTATCACTGGCCATATGATAAAAGACAATCACCCGTTGTTGACTGTAATAGTGCCAAAATTCTTAACATACCAACAGGAAAATACGAGGGTTGATCATAAAGTTCTCATAATATCTCTCTAATTTATTTATTTTTCAATATATTCCAATGAAATTTTCACAGAATGTACAGCATAGAATGTCTTATTAATTCAGCAAAAAATATTTAGTTTACCAGAAATATTAAATGAGAAACCGTTGCCATAGTAGCGGGAAATAAAGGCACCCGGGGCAAATAAAAATAATTGAGAGAATGAGCTTAATTAACCATGTTTACATACATAATAAACTCTCATGAATTACAAAACACGTTAAAATGTTAACTTGAATATGTTGTAAAGTGCTTTAACAATTAAATGAATCGATCGTGTGAATTAGGTGATGTCATAGGGGATGATTTCATGCTTCATTAGATGTGATACCAGAGTCTGACACTCAAAGCTAATGATCAGAAATGACTGAGTAAGAAAATGCAATAGATGCAGAGATCTTCAGAAAAATAAAGTTTAAACTGATAAAATGTTATGTTAAGTTTGTAAGATCCTTTGGTCAGACTAAACATGATCTAAAACAAATATATTGCTAAGATATCAACACAATTACACCATGAGTGTGGTCTGTACATGTTAAAAATGAACTAAAGGGGCAAAATCAATTTTCCTCAGGATATTTGACAAAACAGTCATGGGGTCTAACAGTCACTTCTAATGAAGCATAACAATCATCCATTATGCGATCACACAATTCACATGACCATTATAATAGTTCACAACAGTCAAGAGCACATATTATTTGACAATTTAATGTGTTTGATAGCTTATTTGACAACTTATTATGTATTTAAACATGCTTAATGGGGGCTGTTCTATCTAGTTTTTTTATTTGCCCCGGGTGCCTTGATTTCAAGTTTCTATGGCAACCATTTCTTATTTAATGCTTGTGTTATTTTAAATATTGTTTGCTGAATTAATATACCATTCAATGCTGCACATTCTGTGAAAATTTCATAGAAAATTATTGAAAAATAAAGAAATTTGAGAGACATTATGAGAACTTTATGATCAACCCTCGTAGGATAGATGGTCTAGAAAGATGACGTTATATAGTATCACCAGAGTGATAAGATGAATGATGATGGCCATCTTGATTTTTTTCTTGACCAGAGCCATCAAACAGCAAAAGATTTAGCCAATTTGTCAACTGGTATTTGAGCCATCAGATTGTATTTTTACGAATAATGGCGTCCATTTTGAATTGAGCGGATATATTGAAAATTTCATCTCATGCGGAGACCAATTCGAAATTTTTGGCCAAAATTACCGTAGTAAACCTGTCACCAAGACATTAGCAAATGGAACGAAATTCATCAGTTGGTATTTGACCTATTATTAAACATTATTTTTTTACGAAAAAATGCGATCATTTTGAATTGAGCGGCCATATTGGAAATCCTCAAGCAGATGTCTTGTTTCTATAAGACATTGGTTTATTCAATGTGGACCAAATGTGATTTAACGAGTATTTAAGTTATCATAAATTGTATTTCTTAATAAAAATGCTGGCCATTTGTAATTCAGTAGCCATCTTGAAACTTTCTTCATGAGAATCAGATTGTAATGGACCATTTTAATGTGAAATTTCCATAAGGCATAAAACTATAAAAAGTGAACCCAATCCGTGAACCAATATTTAGGATATCACCCGGACAAATAGACGGAAGGCTCCACTGTATCCCCATCGAACGTACAGATTAATAGGCTATCCACAACAATATTGTAAAAAGTCTCTATAAAACATGATAATATATAAAATCGATCAAATAACAATCAAAAAAGTTCATAACTGTGGAATATATTACGCAAAATAAGATACAACTTGAATTTATGACTGGGATTTAGTATCATCCAAGATGGTGGACAAAATTCGTTCGATAATAAACTGTTGATTTCCGCCAAACTAAGTAAAATCCGGAATCCAAATATTTCGTCATTTTTCTATCATCTTGAATGATAGCAACCTCAGTTACCATCATCGTGCAGTGAATGTTGTGCGTCGACAACAAAGATGGTCCTGTGCCAATCATTTTATCCAATCACTGCTCATTATTTATGGTCATGTGGACCTTATGTATCAAATCAAGGATAATTGAAGCGAAGCGATAACCCTCGAAGTAGCAAAAAATATTCATTTCTGCCTTTTCGCCAGAACTCGTTTCCGTTACCAGTGGCATAAAGATCGAATTCTCCCGTCTTTCCATACTTCATTCCTAGTACCCTTTTCATCTTTCCTGAATTAATTTCCCAGAGTCTTTTGCTTAATGTCACTTGAAAGCATCCATAACCCGGTTGTCCGTAGTAACCTACATATTTCTTTAACGGTAACTCTGCTTTGAGGTCTGTAGGAATGGGTTCGGGGAGCTCTTCGTCTGTCGTCTTCAATGGCTCTGGAAAACTACACCCGGTAGTTGTATTTAGCCAGGGAACATCCCCATTCATGACATCAAGAATATATATCATATTTGCAATCATGGCATCCCGTTGGTCAATATATCGTCTCCCATTTGAGGTAAGGAACAAGGCCAAGTCTAGATCGGGCCAGATAACGACATGAGTACGGTAATAAGCAAATTCTCCTTGTTGATGAACCATTGCATATCCTTAAACATTATAACATCGAACTTTTATCTGTCACGGCCAGCAGGCCAGGAAACCAATTACGTTAGGGATAAACTATGAGTATTGGGATTTAAGAGAAATAATAGCCGAGGGCGCTCGAGCCGAGGCTATTAATTCTCCCAAGACCCAATACGAATGGAATATCTAATTCATACCACACACTGGGCATCGACTTTTATGAAAGGTAAATGGTCCATGATCCAATTTTAGGAAAAATGAATTTCTTTTGACTATGAGGTAAATGTATTGAGAAGTGAGTGGGTATAATTAGTTCAGCCTTAGTGCACTGGATGTGACAGTCAATCATCTTTTGTGCCACACTGGTTTTGGATAGTTTGCCAAGTGTATATTCTTTAAAAACAATAGAAAAAGACTACACTCCTCTTTGTTACAGCTGGATATTCTTTAGAATAAACTACAGTTCATTCTATTGTGTTGCAACCTAAGGAGCTGGAATTTGGGTCTTACATTTGTTTGTAGCGGATGAGGTCAATGTAATGACATAACGTAATTAAATCGTTTATATTGGGAAAACCTGAATAACCTTAAACCTTACAATATAAGGTTAAATTTCAGCTGTTAATTAAAAGCCTGGGGTAGAACACTGAAACACCCTACAAAGTTGATATCAACGACTTTAATGTTATAAAAGCTTATTGTGTTACCTTTTTGGTATCCTTTGATCCATCCAAAGCCGTATGCCCCACTGATGAATCCATGTGGAAATGAAGGTCTTGATAATGTGTAGGGCTCGAACCCGAAAATATTCCAATATCCTTTTGTCACTTCTAACCAAGACTCATCGATGATTTGCTGTCCAGCCTGATTTTTTCCGTTATTCAAATGCATTTGAAGATATTTTGCCATATCTTTAGCGTTAGACGCCATACCCGCCCCGCCCAACGTATAACCACTCTGACTGAAATACGTATCACAAAACCTATTTTATTGTACAGAAAACAAAACCATACCCCGGATAGCCATTTGAGTGTTAGCCCAAATTGAGATAACCTCGGCTATTATTCCTTCTAAAACTATCCTATAACATAAGTATTTCCATTCTTAACTATGCAAAGTTAAAATTGGGTAAAATGTCTTCTAAGAGAGAATGAATGATATGTGTAAGTTTGGCTGAAAATTTCAATGAATCGAATATAGCCATACATTGATAATGTGAGACTTAAAAATGAAGAGATTAATATTAGAATGATTAGATTCATGATTACCTGATGTATTCAGGAGTAACTTCAATATCTGATTCGCCATCAGTTGTATAGGCGTGGGCCAAATCATCAATGTTTGTAACTTTTGATAAAACGTCCGAGTCTGTCATCTCAAGTGGGTCAAGAATGTATTCATGTATCAGCTCATTAAACGATTTCCCTGTCAGTTTCTCCAGAACCATCGAGAGGATAAGATAACCTGCTGTACTATCATGGTTCCCTACTCGGAACTGCCCTAATTGGCATTTATAGTATTTGAGGTTTCTGTAAACTACATAAAAAAGTAATTTTGATTGGTCAAATGGGTCACATGGCCATGAAAGAACTGTGATTAAAAATGGGTTTGATTTTTGAAGTATGAATGTTTTTCCCACTATTCGTTACATTACTAATGTACATTAGTATATCGATTCTAAATGCTAAAAACTTATAATTATGATACCCGCATTCTCAAGCGTGGAACCTGTAGTGAGTCAGATTTATGACAAAACGTTTCAGATTGTGATAGAAGCGTGAATTTTGGAATATAACTTCCTTATCCAATTTTAAAAAAATTGATCCGTGGCCGCAAGCTAACTTTTAAAAATTTCAGATAAAATTCAAGATGGCCGCCATAGCATGTCATTATCGTCAAGAATTTTACAAGAATAGAAAATGTTGAATGTATTCAGCTAAATAAGAGTTATGTGTCAGTAGAAACATTGACTTAAGACCTTAAATAGCTTTTGAGGTACACTTTACCTTATTATATGACTATTTCATAATAAGTAATGGTGTTTAACAAGGATCTATATTTGATCCCTCACTTATTTTATCATCCAGTCACTAATGCTCCAAATATAGATCTAAAATGTCAAATATTGCTGCTGTAACATTCTTTTAAAAGGTCACAGATAACTGTTGTCACTCTGAAGACAGGTCCACACTTTCTCATATGAATTGACATAGTTAAATGTTAACGTTTATCCTTCCATATTATGACAATTTCCATAACACTTGCAAAGTTCGGTGCATAAAAGTCCACTTTTGTGGCATGAGCATCTGGCTCCTTATGACGTCAGGATACAATAGGGCACTTAGTCCATTTGTTATCTCTGGATAAACATCCCACAGCTTCCATGCTTGAAGTTTCCTATGTCCGTAGAAACATGAAGTTGTATCAGATCTAGCACCCTGGCCACGCTTCAGTCTAGTTGACATTTTTAGACTTTTATCGAGATACTCATCCCACACCAAATCAAGGCGGGCAACATATTGTAATCCTGCCATCACGCTTGGTAGAAACACGGAGGTCAGATAGTCATTAAAGGTTCTTGCTGTTCCAGGATTTAGGAGGTGAATGAGGAAAGCACCATCTATGACTGTAGCTTCTGTAGTTGGGCGCTCTGTAACTAATCTTGCTTGCTGTTGGCATCTGTTAAGGGGTCCAAGCAGTTCTGATTTAGCTGAAGAACGAAGCTGACCATGCTTAGCAATAGATGAGGGAAACTCATTCATATCGACCTTTCTGGTTTGGCATGCAATGTATAGTCTTGAAAAGAGCTGACAGTCATTCCTTAGTTCAGTTATGGTAGCACTTGTGTTAGTTTGACTAGATATTTTGCTTCCAAACAAGGGGAGATTGTTCTTTGGTATAGTTGCTTTGATACTTTCAGATGACTTTACAAGGCGTTCATTACAGAATTCTTGGTATTTTCTGCGTCCCAGGTCTTCTATTGTTCTGACAGTTGTCACCACAGAAGGGTCTGTCATGTCCTTAGTGTCTATTGTATATAGAGTATCATCTGCAGCAAGAAATGGATTTCCTAGCTTGTCAATGACATCTGTCATGGCAGTTACATTTTGACTGAACTGTTTCTGTATACTTTGGCATTGCTCATGGTGACTGTTATCATCATCGTTTCTGAGATCACCAACCGCAGAGTTTTCATCAAATTCTTGGACAATCTGGGCAATTCCAGGACCAGCCACCATCCATCGTCTGAGAGCATTTGGGCTTTCTGTGATTCCTACAACGCCACCTTTGATGAGGGCATTATTTTGCTCATGAGCATGGTCCACAGCTAGTGATGAGAAAGAACGGGCTGACTTGGAGACCGTGAAATGTCCTGCAACAAAGGCCTCATGAATGGTTCGATGATTATTTTCAAGTTGAATCATATCTTTAATGTGAACTGGAATCCACCTTGAATAGTTCGTGTGGTCCAATGAAAAGAACCATGGGCACATTTCTATGAGCACGTCAATATACAGGGGGAAATCTCCAAGACGAAGAGACCTCACAAGAAGAAGTAGCAGCAGCTCCATATCAAGCCTTATAGCCCAAAACTGGATCATAGGGGACTCTGCTCTCATCTTTGTCTGCCAGTTTTCAAAGGACAAAGGGTCTTCACCAGCAAGTTCTGTTACTTGAAGATAGATAGCATGAGCTCTTTTCATCAAATTATACAACGCGCATGCAACTAGATCTGTAGTATTAAGTTTGACTAGGATCTTTGGATCTCGCACAATGTTTGCATTTTCACGGATTTTTTCCTCAAGGGCAAATGTAGATACAGAACATAGTTTATCAGTTTGCTGTTCACAAAATAAACATTTTCGATCATCGCTCGAACCTGTATTCATGCTTCTACGATACATGTTTTGTGTTTCTGGGAGTATATCATCATTCATCTTTTTCTTGCTAGATACACATTTTCTAGCACGTTCAAGTTCACTACTGCTGAATCGTCTGTGACAGCTATGGTGAAATTTTGCTTCATTTTTTAGCAGTGAAGCAAATAGTCCCGAGCCATCATTTAACTTGCTTAAGTCTACTTTCATAGGCAAACAGTTCAATTCATGAAACTCCTCAAGATTGGTAGCCAGTACCTCATACGTATGTCCTTTACTTTGTATGGGATTGTTTACTGGACATCTTAGAGGTTCATCTTTTACTTCCTTACATAAAACACATCTGTTCCAGATAATGTCTTTCTCAGATTTATTTGCAGTCTCCATGGTCTTAGCAAGATATAGTCCCTAACAGATCACCACATTTACTTATGAAGCACTTGTCATTATTTTATGATCATAGATTCATAGTTCATTTCTTTACAAAAGTATTCACACTACTTGGGTCAAATCAAGAAATTAAAACTACTAAAACCACTGCCTCACAGACTTTTTAGCAGTATTGAAAAATGCTTAAAGATGAAGAGAATTGACCAGTGCTAAAACATCTGGTATAGGCTAATCATTTAATAACAAATATAACTTTTTAGATGCAGTGTTTAGAGTATACATATTTCTTGATGTGTATTAAGTAATGTGATACTTTGGTAATATACATTTTGCAGTTAGATTGACAAAATAGATTTTAGGTTCATAATTCACAGTTTCTCAACTTTTCCTATCTCCTTACTGGAGAACTCTGTCACACACCACATATTCAATTAATGAAACTTCATCAAACTCAGAGTTACAGTAAAAGGTTCATTGTTGGTTTAATTTAAATAGGAAAGTCTGAACAACCAAAATTGTAATAAAATCATCAAAATAGAAAATAATGTCTGCTAATTGCTATCTCATCATACAGATTCATACAGTCCACTCAAAAGCACACACCATTTATTCATTTATGGATACATTAATATCATTTCAATTCCAAATGAAGTTTTTCTGAAGAAAGAATGCATATTAAGGTGAATAAAGTCAATGAATCACAACAGTAGCAGTAGTTCTCTTAAAACTAAGAATTGCGTTGATTGTGCCAGCACAATCTGGAGCACAACCAGTGACACATGCTATGTTTTCTTCTATTAAGCAACTGATATTGAATTCACACCCTTATATATGTTTGAACATATGTGATTGAGAGAGAATCTGATCTACAACATAACCATCTAAGCATAATATGAACATGTTTATGTTAATTCGCATAAAAAACATAATGGTAATAGTGCCGATCCTTGTTTTACACCTATTTTCTTCCCTTAGTGGGCACATAATGCATCTAAAATGATTGCTGAGGTTCAAGAGACATAAAAGTTTCATTTGAACTTAAATCTAGCACTTGTAGGTCAATACATGATTATATTTTTCATTTGTATTAACATTTGGAAAGATCGTCGGATATATTGGCGGCCATCTTGAATTTTGGGACCAAAAAGTGAAAAATTTTCTTGCGGCCACGGATCAATTTTTATTTTCCTTATTTCACATGTTGTAGGCAGAATTCCCATGACAATTTTAACACAAACGTGTATCAGTTAGTATCGTATGTTTAAGAAAATGTACATAATATACATGAAATAATTAGAATCGTCGACTTAATTCCTTATGTGAGAAAAAACGTCGTGGAGATTCTGCCTACAACACGTGAAAGTAGTCAGGGTACACGTATGGGCGCCTTAGTGCCGCCTGAGTGCACACAGTAGGCCCCCGCAGGGGGCCTACTTTGTGGATGTGGCCCCTACGTAGGCAACAGGTTTATCGTGTGATCAGGCTGACTGCCTAAAGTAGGTCCCGTGTAGTACACAGTAGGCCCCCGTAGGGGGCCTGCTGTGTTATCACGCCTGTCCACGGTAGGCCCTCGGGTAGTACACAGTAGGTCCCCGTAGGGGGACCTAGTGTGTAATCAGCTTGTCGCCCGGTAGGCGATAGGGTTAAGAGGTAGTTCAGGCTGAGTGGTCGCGATGGGGGATGTACTCTAGGCGGGTCTTGGGTTTATTTTAAAAATTGTTCCGCTAAGAAGGGAGAGTGTTTTAAATGGCTACGTGGTCGGTGGTTCGTGTCGGCTGATCGGCGAGTGGTGTGTGAAACGATATTTATAAATGTATCGGGGTTATTAAGAGAGAAGGCGTTATACGGTGTTAGGAGGGCTATCAACATGCATTGTAAACGAATCTGCTTAAATGCAGACGAGAATGGCACGTGTGTTACATTTCACTTGTCAATGGTGGATTTCAATAAACCGACTGGTTCTATCGTGAAACCACTTGAGGAAGATTTGCCTTGGATGCTGAAAGTAGGGAATAGATACGTCTATCGCGTAAAGGATAAAGTAGTTATCAGAGAGTATTCGTGGGCTCAACATGGGGCCAGAATGGTTATGCTACCAGAGTTTCAACCTGGTAAATTCGCGATCATGACTTACAGAGAGTTTGACTACCTAGTGCAGTGCTATTTCGAGCCGAAGGGTCTTCGCTCGTTGCTTCTATACTTGGATGCTACTGACTATGATGGAGTGCACGTGTCGGATGTGTTGGCCTCGTTCGAGTTTCGCCCGGACAGGTTTTATCATTTAGGATTGGGGTATGAGTTTCGAGTGTTCGGGGAAAATGACAAAGGCGTGATGCTTACCTCGACCAAAAACGACCGGAGCAAGAGTACCAGAATTTTAACCTGGCATATGGACTTTTCTTTCAAGGAGGTTTTCGAGATGTTTAAAGATATCCGATCACTTTTCCCTCAGCTGCCCATAGAGGACCGTAACTGCCTAGCCTATTTACCGCTTGATCACGCGACTCAACAAGGACTGTTATCCTGTATTGTATGTCAATACTTTAACGACGATGCGTATGACTGGTAATAAACTTGTATATTTATTTTCACCATTGCAATTTTACTTTAAAATGTACAATTGTCTATACTAAGTATTTGGTAGGACTCCAAATAAATAAGTGATACCAGCAGGTGTGCCGCATGGCTGACTTCGACTCATCCCGTCTAATGACTAATGCTCCACGGTTACTACACATCATACCGCGATTGGTTTCGCTAGGTGAACGGGCCCATACACGCCTGTAAATAAGTTGCAACACTATATAAGCTCTTGATATAAGCCAGTCGACATTAGTTGGTGAAAAGAGTCACATCTCGATCGGAACAGTATCAGTAACAACAGCGACATCGTGAATTCACTTCTATACGGGAAGGCAAACTTTGAATAGGACTAGCGACACAATTCACTAAAATGCAGTCTCAACAGGTCAACAAGTCGAGGGCTGGTGGCAGTGTTGCCATTTTCCAGATAAGCGAAACCATTTCGATCGATGTAAGGAAAGGGGACTACGCCAAGCCATACCTTTTGTTACAGGAAAAAAATTGGAGCAATGACACGGACTCCTACGCTTGTAAAAGCATACTAGTCACGGTGTGTCAGTGGAGTTCACTCAAGACTAACTTCCGTAATATCAAGGATTTGGTTGAACGTGTGAAAAGTGGTAAACTTGAAATGTCGATGGACTTGGGGGAGAGGAGGTTACTGAGGGTAGTCGTCAAACTAAGCGCCGATGGTGTTGTTGTCACCTTCCAACGAGTTAGAAGCAAGCCAGATGCGAGTGGGTCTATGCGATCGAGTATTACTCTGACATTGAGTGACATGGATAAACTGGAAAATTGGTTCTGTGTCGTGACCAGCTGCATCAGGGACAATTCCGATGTACCTATAGTAGATGGTAAGTTAAATTTTCAGTTAAACTATAATTGTATAGAGCTACGTAAAACATGAAACTTCTTTTTAAGTTACCACTGTATTTGCAAAGGGTTGATCTTAAAAAACATTTTTTTTGTTTATGCTTGCAGGTATAACAGACCCGAGTCAGTATAGATCACCCGGGGTTACTGATCGTAGCGGTCTACCCCCCAAACTACGCCCAACTAAACTGAATTTGGCTAAAACAGTCACAAGTGTGGGGACGCAGACAGACTTCGTGGATGGGTTCCATCAAACTGTGCCGCAGACACCTGTCACTCAACTAGACAACCCGTTCAAAATGTTGAACCCCGACTACATGTTCGACGAGGCAGCCAGTGTTTGTAGCAGTACACAAGGGTTCGGCAATATCAGCCCTATACCCATGGACATTCATCAATATACACCGCTAGCAAAACCCGAGGACTTTACTTTTGGTGCTAATAGTGCTTCTGACAATAGTAACCCATTTGGCTACTACAGTCCAATCTCACCTACTCTGTAAAGTAGTCGGGGGAGGGGTTTCAGTATATCTGTGTAAAATGGATAGTCGTGATTATTTAATTTAATTTAAAAGTAATAGGCAGGATTGTGCACTGTTGTGATTGTTACGTGTCGTTGTTGTACCTAAATATAATAAGTTGATTTATAAATAAATAAATAAAACCATATAGTGAAACATCGCCTCGTGTTGGTTTCTATAAGTAGCTGAGCCATTTTAATAATCAGTCATTTTAATCATTGCACTTGACACGATGGAGACGAGAGGTGGCACAACGTTTTTATCTGAAACTGGTTTTAGACCTTTTAGTTCATTCATATTAGCCGGGTCGAGTTATTCAGGAAAGTCGTATTGGCTGTACAAATTTTTGAAGGAAGCCCCAAACTTATATATAGAAAAAACCCCCACGGCAGTGCTGTACTGCTATGGTATATACGATGACTTCTACGCAAAAATGGAATCAGAGATACCAAATTTTAGCCTACACCACAACAAGTTGTAAGTCAACACTCGCAGGGGCAGGAGGATGGACACCTAATGGTGGTAATCGACGATTTGGCAAACAATGCAAGTAAAGACTCATACGTCGAAGGCCTGTTCACATATGGTGTACACCACGCTGGTGAGTTGCCAAGGGTTGGAATATAGCATTATTAAATTACTACCTGTGTTATTACGGTCTTTATTTATAGCGAGTGCACCAAAGCGTCAAATCATGTTGAAACATATACTTGCAGGCCTGTCTGTCATGTACGTCCTACAGCAGATATTCTACGACGGTCCGAAGAGTCGAGTCATCGCAAACAATGCCCAATACATGTGTCTGTTTCGTTCGCCACGAGCCATGACAAGTGTCAGAATTTTGGCTTCTCAATTGGGCTTGGGGGATAAGTTGACTAGGGCATATAGCGATGCGATGGAGTCATCAAAATGGCCGTATCTTATAATAGACTTACATCCACTCGGTAACCCCAAGCTGCGTCTACTCAGCAAGATATTTAAAGATGAATATCCGACGGTGGTATATGAAGTCTGACACGCTGGTTTTTTTTTCATTATCGCGAATAAAGCCGTGGCGTGAAGAGATGAGCTCGCTACTTAAGCGACATATAAGCTTTGTGCGTTATTTGGTTGATTTAAAACAGGAGAAGGTGACACGTCGAGTCCTGCGCTCATTGGGTCGAGACCAGCTAAAGGCTATACTCGAAATAGTACATAATCTACTGCAAACTGTCATTCCCACCTCGCCGGCTGAACGCCAATCGTTATTAAAGAATCGTTTGTTTTACGAAAGACTAGTTGACAAACGTGTGCCGCTTAATACCAAGAAACGTTTACTATTGAGTAAACAAAAAGCCTTAATACACGCGCTGAGGATTGCCCTACCCCATCTGGATGCGATATGAGCAACAACTTTAAATATGCGATGTTACCTATCGCCAAATACGAGCAAATGAAGGCCAAGTTGGACTCTTTAGCAGTTGTGTCGGGAATAAAAGACAATAAACAAAGTGTCGCTGGTGCCAACGAGGTCGGTGCATTGAAAAGCGATAGTGACCTTGACTTGGCCACACCTGAGATGGCCACTACTTCTACTGATCAGGCTACTACAATGCGCGTCGAACCAGGGGGTGCCAGAGGCGATGTCAGAAGTATGGAGGGGACGGAGGTAGATAAAGCACCGACAAAACGACCCGCTAAGGACTCAATGGACAATAAACGTGTTCAAAAGATTAGAACCCTGGGGCACATTAATGATAATACCAAAAATAATAGATCTGTCAATCTGGACAATGGTTTCAAGTCCCGACATTATGCTGTTAAAAGTAAAATGGGTCGTTCCCCAAAAACTGTACCCCCCGGCATACTTGATAAAGACGTTAAATCTGTGGGGAAAGGAGTAGCCAA